ATGAGTAAGCGTATAAGAAGAGAGCATGTGACGTCCAGAGGACGCTGACTGAGCGATGAGTAACGCTGAGTAAGGGAGCATAATCGACATAAGGTCAGATAGTCCATGGCTGAGTAATGCGAGTAATCCGGACGCTGTCTAGAATAGTCCGGAACATCGTAGAACGTACCAGAATCATGTGGAGGGATGGCAGGATGCCAAGTAAGTACAGAACAAAAGAATGTACGTATATGGTAAGTAGGAAAGTCCATGCTGGCGTATGGTAGACGCACAGCCACTATCACTGCCACTCCCGGTCCGGCACAGCCGTAGACACAGAAGTTCAACACGCCGCACATCATGCCAAAGAGCATGAGTGTTCGGTCATCGCTTGTGGCCTTCGAGCGTCACCAGGATTCCGCACATGTGCAGAGCCCGCCCACCGTGCACTAGACGAGTATCTCCGTCTCGAGAACCGAGCAATGTTCCAGCTGCGGCGACGTCTAGAGCAGCTTCACCCTGGCTCCAAATCGACATCCACCGCTCCTTCGACAATACTCTCCCCTTCTCAGCTTGGCAGACTCATCAACACTCCTGCACAATCAACTGGCGACACCTCCGTCCCTGTATCAGCGCCTGATGACAGTGCCCCATCGGATAGCACCCTATTGGGCGAGCTCGAGAGCCTGCTCGACAATGCTACGGTTGAATGCGCAGCCGAGAAGTCCCCCGCGGGCAACAAGCAACACCGAGCACAGTTCGGCCGTCGTCGAACGCACAATGAGGAGGTTGCCGTCGCCTCATGTGGTGTCATCCTAGGACGTGCCACATTCTATGGATCGGAAGCTATCAACGGGGTTCTCGTACGTCATTTCTCTCTATGTACCGCATTGTTTGATTATTTTCTAACATGCCGTACAGACTTTCTGGCGAAAGCTCTTCCCTACGAAGGCCTCGGTTCCGCACGTCCTCTGGCATGACCAGAACTGTCGGTTATGGTCTGTGCTCCAGGGTGCTGATGCGGATACCCGCGCGCATTTCTCGCACTGTGTGCTTCCTGTGGACGTGTTTCATTTCAAATGTAAGCATAAGGAGTCCGACGTAGTGTGCGGGACGCACTGTAACCCGTACATATGGCCGGAGTTACGAACAGAGAAGGGTGCCTGGCGATTCAACTCGTCGGCGGCGGAGCAGGCCAATGTCTGGCTTGATAAATTCCAGCCCATCGTCCGAGAGATGCAAGTAGACCGCTATAACTTCTTTTTGGACGAGGTTGTCAAGCGACGAAACCAGTACATCGTAGATGAATTACGTCGCCGTGGACATTCCCCATACAATATACCCGATGATGCATTCGATACGGACCATTAAACAAATCAGATGTATAGTACTAGCAGTAGATATCCCCAAAAATATGCCCCGGAAAATGGTGCGGATGTGTTCTATCACGAACCTTGCAGCGCACCCGACTAGTCCTCGAGCTCGAGTACCTCCCGCCCTTCGCTATCCTGTACTTCGCGGAACTGAAACGCCACATCACCTGCGGACAGCGATAGTATGGCTTCAGCGTCCTTCATCGGTTCTGTCTTGATATTCATTTGGGCTAGGCCCAGTAGTTCCCTCGCCTTTCGGAGCGCTGCATCAACAGGCGAGTCGTCGTCGTGATCCTTGTCAGTGGAGAACATGCGAGAGCCGTAGTCGCTGCTTTTGTCGAAGATGTTCAGAGCTTCTGCTCGTGCGCACTTACGATCTTCCATGATCAGACGAACTGAAACCTCGGGGATCAGGATACTTCCTACGAGCGTGTTGAGTTCGATGGGGGAGATGTGCGTGAGGTCCGTGTTGCGGAACATGTGCATGAGCATGAAATGAATAATTTCATGCCCTTGTTCCCCATAGCTATGATGCATAACGGTCAGATTATCTGACGGATGCGTAGAATGTGGGTACTCACTATCCTGTACACTCCATGTCCATAAGGAGCTCTTCACGCTCGGCATGCATAAGCCCTGATGGTGAGCAAAGAGTATCATGGGCTTCCACAAAGAATGAGTTTCGTCCGGGATCTGCCACGAGCGTCTTGAGGTATGTATGCAGCGCGAAGACCCGCTCGCAGAGACCAAGGAGGTCGAGTGATGTTGGCCATCCCTCTTTCTGTGCTATCGGAAGCGTTCGGGACTCAAACCGATGTTGCTGACAGTACCGTTCGGCTTTGAGCCAATGCAGAGCTGCACGGTGATTGCTGTTCTCTAGAGTCGGGTCGGGCGAAGAGTTCTCCTCAAGTTCCACACGTAGAGCGAGTAGCTTTGCGGACGGCTCGCAGTCGATCGGTTCATCGCAGAAATCACAGAGCGGGATGCCTGGGATCTTGTACGAATCCGCTGGCGCACAAATGACCATCAACATGCTGTATAAGTAGAGGCCGCAAGCGCGTAAGGGGACTCACTAAGTGATTCATTCATGTCGAGGCCATCTGCAGGGTCCGAAACCTGTGTGGCAGGAGGAGTTGGTAGCAGTTGCGGGAGAATGCGAGGCGAACTGGGAGGGGACATGTCTTCGAGAGGCCATGTCGAGGTGACTTTGGCAGAGTGCTGAACTGCGGCGGCCGCGATCACCGCTGAACCACCTATGCCCGCCATCAATATTAGCCAAACCATTCACAGGAATGCCACAAGGTAGCACGTACCATCGCCGCTGTCAGGCCCTGAGACTGCCCTCCATTTCCCTTTCTTATAAGCCTTGCACGCCTTCACGAAAGCGGGCCACCGTCCACGGCGGTCTGATACCCCATAGTTACCAATGAAGTGGTCCTTGAGAACGTCCGGTGCAGTCGTCCAGACATCCCAGTTAACCTTGTACGTCGTCCGTGATCGCGCCTTTCCGAAGACAGCTAGGAATGCTTGATCCTTGGTCAGACGACCTCCACGGCGCTGTGTGCTGAGATCGGTCGCCATAAGCGTGTTTCCGGCAACATCTTCGCCATCCATGAGATGCTGCATCTGCCTAAATCCGATTTGGATCTCCTCGACATTGAACTCGGAGGGCCAGCGACGTCCTTGCGGGATGATAGAAGTTGCATGTTCCACAAGCGGTACCAGTGATGGTGCTGATGTCGTCGACTCGGATGAGTCGACTGGGTGCGCGTCCTCGGTGTGCGGCGTCCTCGGCGGCACCGTGATCACTGCGGCACCAGGGCTTGTTGTAGGGCCCAGAGAGGGGGCAGATGGATTGAGCGAGCTCTCAGGAGCTAGTTCATGAGCCTCGGGGGTGATTGACTGGGAAGAGCGCTGACTAGGGTCAAGCCGAGGGGCCTTGGCCGGCGGTGCAGTCAATGGTGCTCCACGCCGCTTGTTCGAGCGCTGTAGTCGCTCCAATTCTTCAGCAAGTCCAGGGCAGTCCTCCCAGGTATGCAGAAGTGATGGCGGTAGACGGATGAGAAGTCGAGAAGCTGAGTCGACCGTGAGGACTGTTTGTGAGTCTCCCATCATCCATCCGCCTTCAACGATGTCATAACGCTCAACAGGTGATGCATCTTGAAGGTGGAATGCCTGGATAAGGTCGGGGAACTGTCTGAACTGAAGACGCGGATGGGTGGTGATTGACTTCTGCATAGTCAGCGGCATATGACCGTCCTGTGAACAGATTGTGTCAGGTTAATGAATTTGAGTATGCCATAGAACGTACCGTGTGCCAGATCAGCATCGTTATGGTGCGTTCTTGTTCGCTCTTCATAAGCAGTGCACTGGCCTTGCCTTCCTTGACTCTCTGTGTGATTGCTGACGCTCCCGTAGCTGCTCTCACCCACGACGGAGCTATCGGCTGTGCCAGTGGCTTGCGGCGCGGAACAGCAGCATCTTGAGCCGGCTCAGCGGAAACTGGTGGACTCGGCTTGTGCGTAGGGTTGTTTGCTCCCGGCGTCGACACAGCAGGTGTGATGACTTGGCTAGCGTTGAGAACACGTTGAAGTTGGTCCGGAGGGAGTACAGAGAGCGCAGCGGCATAGAAAGCATCGCTAGGGCTTGCGTGGGCAGTGTGCGAAGTACTGGATGATGCCTGCAGAGGCTCGGTCGGGGCGACTTGAGTCGCCTCTTGCGGAATGATGCTCGCTGTCTCGAAGCCCTCGACAGTGTGGGCTTTGCAAAATCTACGGCGTTGGCCCAGGGCTTTTGCGCTGGCCCCGGCCTTGACGCAGCATGTCCGGCACATGGTATCGACGCACTGACGGCTGGCGCGAGTCCGAGTACCGTTCAGACGGAAGCAGTCCGCAATCTTGCACGGAACTGGACCTGTTGCACTCGGTAGTGGTTGCTGGGTCGCTGCCGTGGGCTGAGAGGAGTCGGGAGATGGAAGTGGAGGGTCTAGTTCGGTGTCGCTGATGATCTGGTGAAGAACGGCGCCTTCGAGTGTGAAATACTCGGGATATTCATCTGGGAGCAGACGGCGTGCTTCCAGGCGGTGTAGAAGCAGTCGGGCATCGTCGTAGACATATGGGGCAGTCAGATACTTTGTCCAATGACAAGCTGCACGGTCGGAGCACTAGAAAACATCAGAAATTATATGATGGAGTAGCATTTGATCAACGTACTGTTTGCACAATCCTGCCGCGATCAGCTAAGCCGCGAACCCCCGTCCCTTCGTGAACTCTCAGTGGACCCATCGCGTGGTGACACTTGACACATTTCTCGATGGGGATAACTCGAGGGTCTGGGACGAGACGATATGTTTGCGTACCGGCAGAAGCCTGGGACATGCTGATACTCAGGGTGTTGGAATGCGAGGAGGAAAAACAGTGGAATCGTGCTCGACGTGCGTGTGTGTGAACAGCATTTTATATTCGCTACGCTACATACAGCAGTACCAAGCAGTAGAGAGTTTCGTGGCCAAGAACACTTACTCATGGTGTACAAAGCGCCGCAGGAGGGTGCTGTGGCCTTGGCCACATCCAGATGGTGGCCAAGCGTGGCTATGCGCAGAGTAGCAGGTAGTTTTGGGTGTCGTGGGATGCAGCGAGCACGAGAGCAAAGCACTATGAGTGGCGTGGGCGTGATGAAGCGAGTGGCGGGGGCGCAGCGAGTGGCGAGGGCGCGATGAAGCGAGTGGCGGGGGCGCAGCGAGTGGCGAGGGCGCGATGAAGGCGGGAGGAGAGCGGGGAGGCGTAGCTCATAGTGGCGTGTGTGATGTCATTCAAGTCACGGCGTGATTATACAGGCGCCCGCTTTGTACCGCGGAACAGTGGCACATGTTCTGCGGAACAAACCTCCCGGAAAACCGGACTTTCTGCCCGCCGGTCACAGTCCCAGGCGCCCGCGCCGCCTTCGGCGGCGGCGCCGCTTTCGGTCCCGCCGGTCACACCAAAACCGCTCACCGGTTTGGTCATATAGCTACAGTATCTGTACAATGAATTCACCGACTGGCTCAACTTTTGAGTACCTACTTTATAGGCGCCTACATGGCCGGAAATGTTACAATCCCTCTAATCGCACACCCTTCGGTCTTTGTACCAACCTCCTAGTACGAGCACTACGAGACAAGTAAGCAAAGTCTAGCATTCAAGTTGACGTAAGAAGTAACATCATATCACGAGCATATCGCAAGTTAGATACAATGATTCTTGGTAACGGTGAGGTCGCGCTATGGTCTGACTGCGGTCCCACCAAGGTTGCACCGCGGTTCCACTGAGGTTTCGCCACCGTTCTACTACGGTTCTACTCAATATGCGTGGCTTAGGTATACTTGTGGTATTCCGAACATTCATTATTCGAAATTAAGTTCTTGGCCTTCATATCAAAATACCTGCCTACTTGCGCTCGCTACCCACGCACGCCTGTACTGCGAGCTATGCGATATGCTCTCAGTGGCACGGGCTGGAGCTGGAGCTCCCCGGAGTGGCACTGGTTATCGCCTGGGGGCCCTTGTAGCGCACGAGGCAGCACCACGCAATCTCCACCCCCGGTGAACCAAATCATTTTGCCCTGTGGCAGACGGTACTCATCTTAACTCAAATTCCGCAGGCGGTGTTCCCTGTGCGGTGCTTTATCAGCTCTATCCTATGCGTAGCCGCTTCGGCGCGCGGTGTTTCATTTCAGACAACATTCTGAATACCCGTCCGGACGGAACAGCTACGGTCTAAGCATCCAGCTTAACATGACCATTATGGTCCGCATGTCGCATATCGTAAGCACTCACGGACCACGGTCACCCCTCCACTAGTGCGGGGAGACTGCTTTCCCGTGCGCCGAGCTTCTGCGCTGCATCTTGCCAGCCAAAGAGTAGTGCCGTTGTTAGAGCAGGACTTGTGCGTTCGCCATTGTTGCGGCCGAAGAGCGCTCACCCGGGCTCTCCCATATCAGACGCACACCGGCTGGGTGGCCACTACTCCATTGCGCTGTTTGGCTTACTGGTGGACGGCCGGGCCTACAGGCACGCGGCACTCCGATAATCAGAAAATGGACGATGCGCCCATACTCGAACTCATCGGCGCGTTCACGGGCGCAGACTCCCACCTCATCCCGTGCTGTTTGGGCGCACCGACAGAGCGCATTATGGCATACAGCTCGTGCTTGGACGGCTTGGACGGCCTAGGCAAGGTGCGGTGCACCTGCGGGATGGGCGTTCGAAGGCGGCGGCGCACGCCCTGTGGGCGTGTATCGTCGCCACGGATTCCGTGTTCTGCTCTATGGAAGTGCTCAGTATGTATTTCCCTAGTAGTGTCTCGAGCTCGTGTCTGATGTATTCACCTTGTTCGCAGTTGCGTCACCCCGCCCGCCGTACGTCTATCCGCTCGCATCAAGCTTAATGCCACCGACCGTCCTCCCTCGTCACATGCGTGTTGGGGCCTTGCTGTTCGATCCTAGACGGAGCACTGAGCCGTGAGGCGTGTTTCCCGACCTGCATGCTCTGTCAGCCCGACCATAAAGGTTCAGCAAACAGCTAGAAAGCATCCCTCTACGATCTCCGCGTTTCTCGCGGTCGTGCTGCTTAGGTGACAAGCGAAGCGCTTCTCGTCGACCTCCTGTCCCAGACGACAGATATCGCATATGAAGCTCGGTGGATTCGCACACCGCGCTCCATCCATACCTCGGTATGTCTCCCTTGCAGATACGGGCCCAGATATGGTTCCTGGCGTAGTCAGGATGTCAACACAGCCTGCCATTTCGAGTACATAGCATCCTGAGGTACTCACAGCTCAGCCGTCCCGTTCCAGAATACCAAGGAAGCTGCAGCCAGACATCGTCATCACATGCATCACAACATCCACTCACCAGATGGTGGCTCGTCGACGAGCACCGCAGAGACATACGGTGGCGACGTGCTGACATGACACGGCATCAAGGCAAGGCCTATCAGAGTGCCTGTGTAGTGCCATCTTGTATCGGGTCCCGACGTACATCTAGGTGAGCAGGTAGGCACAAACAAAACAGGCACAAGTCAATCCGAATTGACGAGCGCGCGCGGTGTAGGCGTCCCATTCTAGCGGAAATTGGAATAGGTAAGTGTAAGCAGCCAGACGGACTGCGGACGGTACTCACCGAGTTCCCTGCACATGCTGGATGGTGAGCGGATGAGAAACGGATTAATGGTCCCACACCAGTACTAGTACCAGGTTTGGCTGAGATCTCAGCCGTGTCACAAAGCTGAGAGCGCTTAGATCCTAGTACTCAACTTCGTGTTGGACGATTGGCGCCCTGTACTTATTATGCCCATACATGAAACATCATCTGGCGCGAAGATGGCCAGGACGTTGGAATTCCGGTGAGTGACAAGGAGAGCAACGAAAGCAATTGACTATGCTGTACATGGGTAGCGGTAGCAGAGTAGAGAGTGACTGTAGTAGGCTGTCTTCGTGAGTCTTCATACTATATCACCTATGTTACACCTTCAGCGGCTCTGCGACAACGAAGACATCCTCATTCCGCAACTTGGTCCAATCAATGAGGCCACCCAACGCACGACCCTGCGGGTGCGCTACCGCGAGGCGTCAGGTTCATGCCGGCTGATACGGCCGGTCCTTTCCGTCCCCAAGGCTAGTTCTCGATGTCGAGAACCCTGTCTTTAGGGCAAGCCTTAGAGATGCCATGGTCGCCTCAAGGAAGGGGAGTCGACGGCGTATCCGGTAGCTCGATATCGACCGGGTGGTGCAGACCCGCAAAGAGCGGGTCCTCGGACTCCTCCTCGAGCGTATCCGCATCCGTCTCGTCCGTCTCGCGGCTCCATCCGCTGCGGCCGCCCCAGCTGCTGCCGCTGAATGAGCGCGCGTGGCTCTTAGAGCCGACGCCGAACGTGTCGAGCGGCGCGCCCATATTCCCGACGACGCTTGTGGAGAAGCGCAGACGCGAGAGCTCGGCGTGTCCGGGCGCGAGCGTGTCGTCGCCGCCGTCGGAGTCCGGGTGTGAGCGGAGCGTATCGGCCAGGTACACTCCGCGGAGGTCGAGCATGAATCGGCAGGAGAAGATAACGGTGAAGCTGTGGGGTATGAAGGTTGCGTGTGAGTGGGGAACGCAGGGAGAGCGGGGTTATGGAGGAGGCGCACACTTGATCGAAGTATGGCCAGACGTCCCAAAGAATAAAGGTCTGCGGTCAGATGGAACCTGTGTGAGTGGAATACCTAGCGATAAGAGAAGGCGTGAACTGACGTTCCCGACCTGATTATGACCGCAGATGTCCGTCAGCTGTGCACGGCGTTCAAGCGGGCGGCTCACTCACAGAGACCGAGACGATTCCACAGATCTGGATGACCAGAATTATGCTAGCGCATGGGACGTCTCAGCGCGCCGCCCGGTCTGACGCTCAGTTGGCCCACTCACAGAAAATATAGGGTCCCTGGCAACGGTCAGACCTCAGAACGGAGCACAGTTCGAGTGACTCACCGTCACGAAGAAGGAGCGTCACCAAAGGCGTGTGTAGCCCCAAACGGCGCGACTCGCGCTGCATCCCCAGCGTTCGCAGCCAAGTCAAGACCAGAACGGTTGCATCGAGCGCGAGCCCTGCGGCACGCGACGCGATGCCCACTACAACGCGCGGTCAGTTTCGTGCCAGCAACGATGTCTATACAAGCGGTTTCCTACATCTTGATCAGGTGAGCACTCCCCACGTAGCTGAGAGCGGACTGACGTAGTACTCACTGTGCGTAGAGCGCGTTGTCAATGACCGCCCCGCATCCGAAGAGCGGCGCACCAAATGCGATTGGAGTATAATGCACTTGATTGTACTGTGGACAGCGGTCAGGATGGAGGACCGATAGGCAGGTGGACTACTTACGATGCTTAATATTGGTCTTAAGGGCGTTAGAATAGCGAGGAGGGCTAAGGGGACCCATCCTTTCCCCCAGATACCTCGCGCGCGCAACATCAGGAACACTAGGCGAATATGGTCAACCTTAATCGGTATGGTTGAGGACGGCGCCAGCTCACCTCCGAACATAAGGTAGCTGATATCTGTGAGTGCGTCATCCAACCGTAAAACGGGGACACAGCTGATAAGGAAAGCTTAGTCCATGCTTCGGAGACGTAAACATGCCAATGTCTGCACGAACCTCTGAAAGCACATGCGGAGTGCGATAAGGTCAGTCAGTGGCTGAAGGCTTGAACCTCAGACGTCTCCGCACTAACCTCGTCTTGAACAGTAGGCAGGAACACGCTGACCAACAACACGATCCTCTCCGCCACGGCCACATACCGCGTAACGAGGAAGACGGCGGTTGCACCGGTGAACTTCCTGCGCCATATCCGCTGCACTTCGCTCGTTAATGTCATAAGCGTGTCCGCGAAGAGGAGGGCTATGGTCATTCGCTCGATCATTTATATGTGCAAACATCATGAAATAGCGCGACGCTTACCCGAGGATGCGATGATGCAGTAATTTTCGACTAAACTGTGTCGATCGAGGAGGTCATTAGTATGTTTCAGATCCCGACGGAACAGGAACTGTGTTTCGTACACTCGGCCGTAGGCGTCGAAGATCTCTTGGGTGAGGTCCGGGTCCGAATCGTCGGAGGACATGGCGGCCTGCAGCTGGCGAGCTCCCCGACCGACGAGGGAGGCCTGCTACGTAGCAACGGCAATGGAGGACGGGGCGGGACGGAGATTAGTACGTGGTGGCTTTATCAGTAGTCGGGGTGCGCAGCTCTTATAACAGCCGCGGATTGGTGCAATCTGCATCGAGCGTTTCCCCGTGGAGAACGGGGGAAAGAGAGCAGAGGACGGGGAGCTAACCGCATCCGTCCTGGCCTGCGTGTGCTGTGCTCTCGGCTAAACAATGGCGGAGGTATGTAAGCGGTAACCCGCGCTTCAAAATTCGCTTCTCCTCCGTGTTCTCACGGCGCACATCAGGGCGACGATCACGCTCCTGCCTCTTCTATACTCTTCTGTCTCTTCTTGGACTCCTCGTGGCTCCGTGCATTGCCAGGGCACCGACTCGAACAGGTTAGTCCCCGTATTCCAGCCGGTGACCATCTGACAGACCTGCAGTCCGCGGAGAAAAGCCCAGGCCATCTGCATCAGCATTAGCACAGCGATATCCGTCGTGCCTTTCCGGGACAGCCTCTGCCGGGGTAAAGGACAAGGTCGCTGTGCGTGGTTATGGCTTTGAATGCACTCTGCAACACAACTAATCCGTATGGATAGTAAGAGACGACCATAGCTATCTTACACAGCTAAGCTGACTGTCCGTAGCTAACTACCGCCCAGCGCAGGTCCTCGTCAGCAAATACATGTGTGCCTCGATGCAATACGTCGACGTCAGCGTCCCCTCGGGCCCGAGTCGATCCTACGCTGTGCGAGGGTGAACACGCATCGGCGCAGCGTGCAGCGCCCAACGTCAACGCTCATCCACACGGCGCCGCCGCCCTGTGACGCCTAGAAACACTATTTGCGACGGTGGGCGCTGTGTGGCGTCGGGGCGATCCCCTTCCTCTACCCCTCGGGGCCTACGCATCATTGTGATGGTCGATCGTATGACCCTGCGCCTCCGGCAGCTCGATGCCCGTCGGATGATGCAATCCTGCCAACAGGGGATCCCGCGACATCTCTGGCGCCCCGCTTTCAAGCTCGTCGCTATCGCCTTCGCCCTCGCCCTCGCTGCTGGTGACCCAGCTATGATGCTTCGCGTCGGTGCCGAACGTGTCGAGCGGAGCGCCCATATTGCCGACGATGCTGGAGGAGAAGCGCATGGTGGAGAAGTACGCGGACGAGGCGTACGCGTCGCTGGTGCCCGCCGGCTCCGTGTCCGTGCTGCGGTCGCTGAGGTACACTCCGCGGAGGCTGAGCATGAACCGGCATGTGAAGATCACGGTGAATCTGAGCGCGAATACAGCGGTGAGCTCATGAGAGTGGCGTTTTCGGGGAGATAACGGCGTACACTTGATCAAAGTATGGCCAGACATCCCAGAGGACGAAGGACTAGCGTTACGCCGGTGGAGTCAGTGGGCGGTCTCCGCTGCGATCATGGGTAGGCCAAGCTCACATTTCCGACCTGCGAGATAGGAGCTACATGTTATCACTGCTGTACAGCCTGCACAAAATTCGGAACTCACAATCACGGACACGATGCTGAAGATCTGGACGAATAATATGATCCTGACGGATGGAGTATAGGTATCGTCATCCAGCTTTCAAAGCCTGAGTATCAAGAGACTCACACAAAGTAGATTGTACCTGGTCCAAATCAGTAATCACGCTCATCTGGAGCGTCACTGGATACTCACCGTCCCGGAGAAGGAGCGTAACGAGTGGGGTGTGCATGCCGAGTCTATGAGACTCCCTTTTGATGCTGAGCGTCCGTATCCAGGTTAACACGAGAACAAATGCGTCTATCGTAAGAGCTGCAGCCCGCGAGGCAATCCCCACTGCCGTACAGATTCCGAGGTGAGCAACATGTACTGAGGTAACAAGGGATACACTGACGTCTATGGACGCCGTGAACGAAATATTAGCACTTGCATCAGGACACAAAAACATCCTCAGAACTCACGGTCGAATGGTCGCGGGAGTCAAGTTAAATAGCGCCCCACATCCATACAGCGGCGCTCCAAAGGCGATAGGGATGTACTGCGTCTGGACGTACTGTTCACACGCGTTAGTCCAGTCACACACAGGCGGGTGAGCAAAGTGCAAGCCTACCACAGTTATGGCTGTGCGCACAGGTGTCAAGAGCGCCAGAAACGCTATCGGTATCCATCCGCGCCCCCAGATTCCTCGCGTTCGAAGCATCATGAATACTACGAAGAGCTCGGTGAGTGTTGTTCCCCGTCGTGGTGCCTGTGAAACGCTCACTGCCGAACATGAGGTAGCTGATGTCCGTGAGGACGTCGTCGAGTCGCAAAACTGGTGCGCAGCTGAACGGGACAGTGAGTAATAATGGCTTTGCAGTATGTCGAAGCAGCTCACGAACCTCTGTCGCAAGCACACGTAGAGCGTACACACGTAAGAGCGTTGTTCTGATGCTAACTCATTGCGGCTCACCTTGTCGAGCAGTGTGGGCAAGAAGACGCTAACCACTAAGACCAGCCTTTCCGCCACCGCTACGTATCTTGTGACGAGGAAGACCACCGTTGCCCCCGTAAATTTCCGGTGCCATATCCGCTGCACCTCATCCGTAAATGTGGTGATCGCGTCCGCAAAAAGGAGTACTATACAAGAGTCGTGAGCTATCTGAGTAGTCTACTGGATTCGCCGGCATCCACTCACCAGAAGACGCGATGATGCAGTAGTTTTCGATTGATCTGGCACAGGTACGTGAGCATCGATCTGTCATACAAGCATCAGCTTCGCGGGGCACTCACATTCGGGTGAACTCCGCCGCGATCTCCTGAATCACATCCTCGTCGTCGGCAGACATCAGTGTAAGATGGATGGCACCGCCGCCTGTCAAGGGTAGCTGCCCCTGTCAGTGTTATGTATCGCAAGTGTCCGTCGTGCAGTGCGCAGTGCGGGGCCGGTCCCGCGCGGGGCCTCTGGCTTATCAGAGCTCCTGGGTCATCCGCCAGCTCCCCGAACATATATAGGTTGCGCAACTGTGCTAGCGTGCAGCATCCCGGTCTAAGGAGCTTCCGCGAAGAAGCGCAGTTAACGCGCGCACGCACGCGCATGCACGCGCACGCGCGGTCCCTGGGACGGTTGAACCAGCGACCCGCCGGCTCCGAGAGAAACCGTTCTGCTGGCCTGCCTGCATGGATTTTGATGGGAAGGCGAGACCTGGGCGGAGTCTAGAGATACACACCCCTTGGTCTTGGCGCCCGATTAATATTCTGGCGGCATTCCGTGCTCGACTCGGACCATCGGTCATCATCCTTCGCGAGGGGATGTTCCTGGTGATGAACTAGACATCAAGATCGAAGTGTTCTGGGAGCTACAAGGCGGAGCATCCGCAAAGGATGCAGTAAAGAAATGGGAGTAGCGCTGTCAGGAACATGATCAGAGTTTGGTCATGTGTGGCTGCAGCGGTCTTTGGAGGGGACTGCGCCGTACAGAAAAAGAAAAGACACCGAATGTGATGTACGACGATCACCGCCTTTTTCCGATGCCGTCTTCCATGATGTGACTGTCGACGGATGTACTTACCACTGCGAAACGCCCGCGGGGCGGATAGTTGCATGGGATAAATCTGAAGTCAGGGCCACTATGCGGCCGTGATTGAAATGTGCAAAAGTAAAACCCAATATTAATGCGGGGGCTCGTCGACGATACAAAAAAATCAGCGCGCATGAAGCGTTTACAACAGCGGAGAATATGTGACACCGAGGCAGAGCTCCCCTGACCCCTGCGGCCCACGCTGAGAGGGCATCGCGATGACCATGGCCACCCTGAACTCGATAGGCTCCGGGTCGGGCGAAACCATGGCGGCGGGCGAAGACGCTCGAGAGAACATGCTGAAGGACTTTGGTCTGGTTTGGGAAGAATGGGAAGAAGAAGTCGAGAGCGAGGCGTCGTCTTTCGCGAGTTGTGAGAGAGACTCCCAGCGCTTTTGGTCGAGTTTGGAAGCGTAGTCAACTGAGACAGGCTGTAGAAGAAAAATGAGTATGCGGGCCGATTGTACTTTCTAGCTGAGAAGACTCACCGAAAGCCTGTCCCACTTGGCGGTGTATATATATTTTGAGGCGGAAGGAGAACCGAGCACGACGTCTGAGAGTATAGGTTTGGCGTCGCGCGCGTCCATGGGTGAGACCGAGGCACCTCTGCGACTGCGCCGAATGCGCGATACGATCCACCAGCCGAGTACTGAAGCCACAAAGAGGATCGCGACGGCCACCAATGCTGCGACGACGGGGGAGGTCTGGGTGTGAGTCGGCTGGCCACCCCCACTAGAACCCGTGATAGGGTCGGGGTGGCCGCCGCTCTTTCCGGTATCGGATGATCCTGTCACCATATCGCCTCCTGTTGACCTGGAGGAAAGTATCTGTAATGTACTGTCAGTGAGGACGTGAATTCCGCTGCAGGGTGGACGATGCAACGTACAGCGTGATATGACGGATCCGAATGCCATGGCTCTTTAGCCTTCGTGAAGGGCTCTATTTGCGGCATCGAGAAGGGGTACGGCCACGAGCGAGCATCGACGTGATTGCGGACATCTTGATTGTTCGAAGCGGAGAGCGGCTGAACAACGGCGGGAATGTTTGGAGAAGAGCGGGTGAACTTGGTCGAGGCAATTAGCTGATACGTAGACAAAGTCAATCGTAGTGACATACCTGCGGTGCGGTTTACGTGAATCGCTCGAGTGTTTGCTTGAAGGTGTGGTCGAGGGTGAATAGCGAGATGGGGGCGCTGTAGAATCCTCCTAGGCCTTTTGTACGCGCAACACGACCGGGCTCTTGAGGAAGGTTCGGGGCCGCTGCGGTCAGCCGGTGAGTCACATCGGTGTTGAGCGCCCGACGAAGTCATCCAGCTTCGCGATGGATGTGCTAGTGCATCGGTTAGCGATGACAGTTCGAGCCCCAGAACACTGCGCGTGCCATGCAACGTTCAGATTCGGGGATACAGCCATGCATTCGAGTCCGGGGAAAGCGGTGGCACCACCGGCGTGCGGGTCAAGGCCGATCGGCCTCATGTCGGAGGGTAGGCTTCTTGCGCGCTCGCTGTCGATGGGAGGTGAGTCACGCAAGAGAAGCCTGCGAAGAAATCGGAGAGCACCTTTCGTAGGCTTGTCCAGTTGGATGCAGTTAGAGTTACTCCGAGACAGGTCGGGATCTCTCGCTGACATCATGGCTATCTCGCAAAGCTATAGCGCTACTGGCAGCGGAAAAGTTTCCACACTCCAGCCTGCTTATGAAGCGGTGCTGAACCTGCATATATGTCTCCCTCATTATGTGTCTCTCGTGGACCGAGCAAATGCAGTTCAACAGAAAGAGATGGAACTGCAGTAGTTGGGATGGTCGATGATGGAACGTGGAGGGAGTCAAGCGCGGTGCGAGGCTCAGGATTGCGTCGCGTGGCTGTGTGGAAGTGTCTTTCCAGAAAAGGCAACACGATATGAACTCGTCAAGTGAACCGCTCACGCTCAGGCATGTAAAAAATATGGCACTGTATCGTATAGAAGAGGAACATATATGCTACATCTAACTGTCATCTAAGCTGTAACAGTCTTGGGATTATAGCAGATATTTGTATCTATGTTTTAGAATGGTAGGGGCAAGGTTAATCTAAGCAACGTACGCCAGTACGATTAAATACGGGAGGGTCGTCGTGATCTATTCGTTAATCATCTTGAGTGGCAGGAGAATAGAGAGATGATGGAGGGAAGAGGTCGTCATATACGGCCGAAGAAACGCTTGCCAAGCAGGAGTTGCCGCGCGATCCCCATGAGGGCCACGGATACCATGATGACAGTGCCTGCCATATCACATGTGTCAGACCTATCCAGGAGGGCAAATTTAACGAGTACAGAAACATACCGGCGTAGTACCCGACGTTCTCGAAAGAGCCGGTGCGGTCAAGAATGGCACCAGAAATGGGAGGGCCCGCAAGTGCGCCGAGAGACATGATGGTGAACGTCATGCCCACGCGCATTCCAACCTCGGTGACCTTTCCCATCTGCACCACAGGCGCGCCCATGACAGATACAAACACACCGGACGAGGCACTGAAGCAAAGATGATCCGTTAGGAATGCAGTCTCGCAACTCGCAAATACCGGACAAAAACGGCTCACCCATAGAGAATGGCCACCGCAATCAGGGAGCCTCGCGTAGTTGCGAATGGCCAGGCGTACGTCATGATACCCGCCATGAAAGTCGGAGGCATCAGCGCGTTTATGGGCCCTAGTACGAAGTCTGAGCATCGGCGAAACAGAGCGCAGGCGCAATTTACTCACCGAAGCGATCCGCGGCGAGGCCACCGCCGAGACGGCCGATGAGCGAGCACGCGTTTGCGATGGAGAGCAGGTAGAAAGACAGGTCTCTGTCGACGCCAGCCAGAATGCCGCTCAGAGATATGTAGGTCAAGCACTGCGGAAAGACATTCAGTAAGAATGTGATCGCGATGTCGCCACTCAAGAAGGGGACGTACAGTGTAGATGCCCAGGAAGCCCATGAATAGCGATAGGGAGAATATGGAGTACGGAGCTGACTTGAAGAGCGAAAGATCGATGAACGGGCCGTTATGAGGTTTCGGGGGAACTCTCCTCGCAATGGTCTGCACTAGTGTGAGAACGGACGGTCGCATTGAATCGGGTTCAAGGAAGCACGTACGAGGTTCAGTATTATGAGGAATGCTGTGACAATGAAGCCTGTGATGCGCAGGGTCCATTGGAAGCTGTAGGCCGGAGGTCAGAAGATGTACTCGACGACAACAATGTGGTGTCGGCGTACCTCTGGCGCTCGATGAGATTCTTCAATATGATAGGGAAGATCGTTCCGCCGACGCTCGAGCCCGTCGCCATTCCTGCGAGCGCCAACCCGAGCTTCTTGTCGAACCAGTGCGGAATCGTACCAACAGCGGCGTTGAAGACGATCCCGCTGCATATCTGTGGCCACAATGAGTACGGGGTAAACGACGAAAAATCTAGACCTGAAGGACTCACTCCGATCCCGAAGCCTTGGCACAACAAAAGCTGCCAAAACTCCGTGCACTCGGCGGTGAGGAACGTGCAGGTAATGAGCAGCCCGGATGCGAGGGACACAGGAAGCCGGAGGTAGCCGATATCGAACAGTCGGCCGAAAACGAGTCCGGGCATGAAGACGAGCGCATACTAGAAGGGTGTCAGCGGGAGAGAAACGATCGCGGCGGCTTTCGCTGACCTGAACAGATCCTATCCATGCGCTGTTGTGTGTAAGCGCAAGTCAGATACCATACAAAGAAGAGCGGCTCACATATCGGAGGGGGACATGTGTCGTAGGGTGTACTGCTCGTAGTATGCTTGGAAGACCTGCAGCCGATGTGAGCATGTTACTGCCTACGCGAGAAGCGTCGACACGACTTACGCCCCAGGCATTCACGAAGCCAAACGTCGCACACAAGCCGGATGCGAGCTATGGAATGTCGAACCTCAATATTTCCTGACACGAGAAAGCGACGTCAACGTACCCCGAAGACTACGAGCCATGCCCGCAGCCCGCCGTCCGGACATTCCTCGTGGTCTTCAACATCGACCTGAGCGGGCGCCTTCTCGACCTCGGAGTCTGCGTATGGTGTGTGTACATCTGCGAAGTGGGACTTGGGCACGAAGATCGTTGATGACGCCGCCGACGAGAGGGCGGTCTCAGGAAGGGCGGACATTAGGAAGGAAGAAAATAGAGAAGGATGAGAGGGGGCTGGACGGGTACAACAGTCAGTGGTCGCGGCGAGGCCCGAGCTTTATTGTGGGCAGCGTACCGGCGAAGAACGGATTAGCAGACAATGTCAGACCTCCCCGTCGTGGACCGTCCGCCCGGCTGAACTCCGCTTGCGGTGTCTTATCACAGCCAGACCGGAGGGCGGGGATCTACCGCGTTGATGCGCCGTTTAGTTCGTTCAGGTAAAGTCTATGCCGTCGAACGGACGGTCTCACACATGGCATTTGAGGTCCCAGTCGGACGGATGCGCGATGAATTAGCGGGCCAAGCACGTCTGGTCGGCCGTAGCATAGTTCCGAAAGATATGGGCTCCGGGATATGCGGTTCGAAACGGCGTTGCAGCGGCGTGCTCACCAACGCCATGATCTTCAATTGCACTACTGCTGCGTTGAGGCGTGTGCGGATGTCACAGATCGAGGACCGAGACATGTGAAAATGACAGTGCCTGGCGAGAACCCTTGCATCGCCGGCCTGCACAGCCTAAAGAGCCAAAAAGTTTAGCCGCGATACATCTTTCTAGGTTCAGCACACTCGGTGGAAGGGATACGCACCGAGTTGGCGGATCAGTGCGTGCACTGGCACCTATGACGTGCATTCATGGTCTTCCTTGCACATTCCGAGCTCAGGACGAGCCTCCTCGGCCATAGGTCGATTTAACACGCGCTTCCATTACCTGTTTGTAAGGTCCCGTACGTTCAGTGTCCAGTTATACGCTGCCATGCGGTGTCGTCCGTTGTCTTGATCCCAGATACACAGCCTGAAAACATCACTTACTTTGTGGTCTCACGGCGAGTCCGCCTTGATGGTACTGTGTTTGGCGCATCGGACGGGTAGCGGTTTACGGTCGCGCTGACATGATACAAAAATTTGCTGGGCCGCCGGCAATGGGTGGAAGAGGCTGGAAGAGGTGGCGGTCCCGAGTAAACGCCCGGACGATCGGACGATCGCCAATTTCATGCGGCTTCTTACTGCAGGACATGCATGTGATTTTGCAGCCGGTGGTATCTAGATCTCCTCCCGCTCGCCCTGTCTTCGATCGCCGGGTCTGAAGTCCTGAAGCAATGATGCAGTATCTGCTGAAAGAGCTCGGAGTCCCCGCTGCCCGGCGGCGCGACCCGGCGTAGAACGTTGTCGATAACACCACTCGCAATGATGCTATAAACGAGAATAATTTGAGATCCATAGAAAGCCCGAATACGCAGATATAGAATGATACGCATGCGCGAACTATGAGGTCGGCAGGCGCTCCGGTGGTAAGCAGAGGTGACCACTGTAGGCACTAGGAGGCAGCGAAAGGCAAGAGACGCTGGCCGGCTCGAAGCCTAGTCGCCCACGTGGCTCGCGTCCATCTCAAAAGAGCGCCCACACTGGCGGGACAAGTTGTGATACGTCCGACACTATAACGTCGGTACTACGCGCTGCTTTTTCAGCCATGTGGAGCTCAGAGAATTTGGCCTTATTCAAGATTCTTCACCGAGAACAGTCTTTCCCGCGAGTAAATGCGGGTCCTGTCGTGTATAAACGTGGACCGCTTCAACACACTGTAACTACTAGTACTGGCAGGCGCCGCGCGGCCTCCTCGCACACGCTGCAAAATGTACTGGCGGTGTACTCACCTCTTTGAGAGCTCTGCAATTCGGTGTATCTGTGACTCTCCAACGGCGATTCCGGGACGTACATTCATTTGCCCACCTCTCGAAGCTGCCTTCCTCCTTCCGCGTCAAGTTATCTTCATCCCGACCCGACGCCCCATGTGCGCGCACCCTTTATTGCCCTCCCTCGCGCAGACTTGACGAGGGCGGGAGTCTTTGTGTCGACAAAGCCCAATGTACCGACAAAGCCCTGGGCTGCGCGCCGACGAGGGCCCGCCGTCGGCGCGGATGCCGGAGTCAGGCGGCGACGAATGGCACGCGGCATGGGATGAGGCTTGAGGGCGGCGCATACGTGCTATGTAGCGCAGATGGATGACTTCGGGGAGTTTCGCGCGGCGTGGTTCATGAGGTACTACGAATGCGTGCAAGTGAGAATACGCCAGTAAGTACGATGGATGGTCATGAAAACCACTCACGTCCGCATTGGCGCTGACACCGGCAAGAGCAGACTCTGGAGAGGCCTGAGGGTAATATTGACGGTCAGCTCACCGCTGAATGCATGTGGCACAAGCACACATAGCAACACACCATAGCGGGAGTGGCTATGACCTGGATTACGGCGGTAGCGAGGACGCTGGCGAAGGCGGTGAAGGCGACGGTGAGCTGCATCTTGGGGTGGGCGGTCGGTAGTGAGACTGTGGTGTACACTGTAATGCTCGACTGTTCTGCTGGATTGAATGTGCCCAGCTTTTATACGTTCGCCCCGGGTCCGCTCGTTGGACCTGTACCTTGGAAAAGGGTGGTCGGCGAGTAGACGCGTATGGCTGGCCCAGACGGTATTCAGTCGAGCTGAGGACATCAACTCAGGGTGGGCCCATTTAAATGGCGCGAGACAGAACAGATTGATGCAGGGTGCATCGATGCCTGTTAAGCATTGCCTTTTGAATGCCAACATTACCCGCTTGATAGTCTACTTACCGGGGACATATGCTACATATAGGTGAGCGGCAGCGAAGGTCGCTGTGCCTTACTCTTGAGTGACGGTCGGAGCGATTGTAAGCAGTGCGCGAGAGAGCCCTATGAACCGGACCATAGTCTGGTTACTGGAGGGTACCATCGCTCTTCCCTTCAGGGCTGATGTCACAGCATCCCTAGTACCGGGTCTTGGCAGGTCCTTGCTGCTGGTAGCCACTACTTCTAGGATCTGGTATGTGAATGGTAAGTCGCGTTACCTTCTTTGATCGGAGGAGGGTCAACACGACGCGAGAGAAAAGATGATTTGACCGAATAGTACTCGACGCTGGTCAGACCTCGACCAGACAGCAGGACACACCAGCGGCGCGTCCGCTGCGGTCCCTGATGGTCAACAGAAGGTAGATATAATGCGCGGTACAATCTCTAGGGGGGCGGTCAGTCAACTGTTTAGATCATCGTGGCAGATACGAACACGAAACTCACAAAGTTACAACTCCAGGGCGACACGTCTGCCGCTCTCTATACAATCGCCGACGCTCACCCCACCTACACCAGCTCCTATAACTGCCGCGCCCTGACCCATCTTCTCCCGAACAGCTTCGCGAAGCTCCGCCATGCGCGCCACGTGACCCACCGTCAGCGTCGGGATGCAGTCGGGATGTCGCCTGACGCGAACTAAGCAGGGCTCGGGCAGAGGCTCGGGATGCCCCAAATGCTGCTGGAGCGCACCCAACAGCGCAGGAAGAAATTCCGCGGAACTTGGATCGGGGGAGGGAGGCCCGTACGGACCCCCGAGCATGACCGTCACCTTCGTGAATTTGGGCGAGCGGCGGTCTGCAGAGAACGATATGTCCTGGCCGTTTAGCGAACATGAGTCGAAGACGGTGCCTAGCATGCCGAGGGTGGTGCCCTGGGAGGGGTAGTCTGATACGGGACGCGGGATGAGGTAGCCGAACCCCTCTGGGTGGATCGGAGTGTCGGAGGGAGGGAAGACAATGTTGACGACAGTGACGGACGAGGAAGGATTGGCCAGGACGTGAGGGAGCGGGGGGACAGTGTTGCGGAGGGATGTCGATGCGTGCGAGCTGGCAGGAGGAACGATGTTCGGATGGGGATTTGACGCTTCATAACGTCCAGGTATACCACTGCGCGCGGATAGCGCTGGGTGAGGGAAAGGTGGAGGGGGCAACCTGCGCTGAACGGAGGGTGTTGCCGGATGCGACTGAGAAAGAGGGTTTGAGCTGGGGGCAAGAGAAGTATGATTCGAGGTGGTGAGCAGCCGGTGAAGGAGTGGCAGTGGTAGCGCAGATATGAGCTGCGAAGTAGCGATCTCTCTTCCGGAACTAGTGATCACCTAATACAGACTATGAACACGGTTGCCCATCATATAATCACGGAGAACTTACCTGGAAACCATCGACGGTCTTGATCAACGATGCAGCACCATCTCCATGGATAATTTCCACATTCTCCTGCTGTCGTAATCGGCTCGCCATCGCATCTGTGAGGGTCTGCATCCCGTCTCGGAAGGAGTAAACGCTAACACCCTTCATGAGATGCGCAACCTCGCCCATATCGTACGCCTCCGCCTCTTCGTCAACTGTCTTCCTTTGCGACTTGCGCTTTCGCAAGGAAGACATCATCTCCCTGAGGGCCCCGCGCACGACACTGCCATTTCCGCTTTCCTCCAATCGGCACACGGCACTAAACGCTGCCCGTACGCTGAGTAGTCGCGAGTCGGTGGCATATATGCCATGGATGAGCGCGCTACCAAAGGTCCGGGCAAACTCGGGCCCGAAGTGACGCGTGAAGAACGCATCAACCGACTCGTCATTGGGAGACGATGCGTTGAGGACTGTCTGACTAGTTAGCGGCGCACGATGATCACGAAAGCCCGTTGAGGCCATATACACGAATGGGTACCTGTGCCATTGATTCTGCGAAAGTCCCTGTACATGGCAGGGACCAGGATCTTCGCCAAGGGCGAGACGAGCAGAGCAGGGAGCGAACCCGGGATCGTCAGAAGGCCCTTGGATCCGGGAACATGTAGGAATCGGTTCCGGGCAGCGGGAGCATTCCGTGGGACAGTTAAGAGGGAAGACTCTAGGTTGAGTAGATGGATCTAAGACGACAGCATTAGCGGCAAAGTACATATTACGATCCAAGCAAAAGACGTTAGACTTCTGCCACCGTAAGCGATTTACGCGGCAGACAAAGGCCAAAACCGACATGCCACCATAGTCATGCGATAGCTAAAACCTGCTTTAAACTATCGTATCCTTTTCAGGCTGTACCCTGACTATAGTACTCGGGGGCTTCTACACCTTGCCTGCCGTGTTATCGTGTAGAGAAGCGCGCACAGCACGCCCTGCAGAAAGACACATCACAACAGGCGTGAAGATGCTCACAATCTCGAGAACAGCTTTCGAAGCGGGGCGCAGCGTGCGAGGGCCGCTCTCAAGCAGGATCTCAGCCTCGTGCCCGTGCTTGTCCTTTACGCGGACGCGCTCCGATTGTACCCATCCTCCTAGTCTGGACGACTTCTCCAAAAGAGTTATTCTGGTTCCAGTACGAGCAGGAAAGCGTCTGGAAAGATGAAAAGCTGCAGACAAGCCTGAGAGACCACCGCCGAGCACCGTGAATGAACGTGGAGAGCCCATGTCGTGTGCCGCTAGTTAACGAGTATTAGCAACGGTGGACCCGTAATCTTTGCGAGTCAAGACTATGTGAGCAGAGTATAATGGATCGAAACAAGCATCGTCGAGGCTGGAAGGAAAGTCGAGCGCATATAGTCCAGTTCAAGCCTCTCACTCACCGAACCCCGGTGCCGCGCAGGTTGCCTAATCCCGATTAGATCTGCCTGAGGTCGTCCAAATCAGGCTTTTATGATAAGATAACCACGTGGCTTCGGGTACATGGAAGCGCGGTCGCATATTCCAACTCTCTCACCAACCTCCACGAGGAAACCTGCACGCAAGACCCCGGCGAGCTCGGGAGGTACGTCGACATACCAACGGAACCTGCTGTCAGTGCTGACATCCGAGGATGCTGGCAGCGCAGCGTCTTCTCCGCAGCAGCAGCACTTGACGGCTTTGACTTGTCGTGGGATCTTCCCGGACGGTTCTCATGCACCCACGGCTATAATCACGACGAACGAATTCCCGACGTCCTCTCCTCTGTACCACGACGACTGTCCGCTCCTGATATCCATGTTTTGATACCCTTTCTTTGCCCTTGACGAGCCATGTCCTCTACAGGGTCCTCCGCTACTTTGAACTCAGTTTCCTCCGCTTCTACTTCTCCTTCGCCTTCATCCTCAGCGACCGGTAACACCAACACGGGCACGCCTATCAATCTTACCGGTTCTTCCCTCCCTTTCAGCTTTCTTATAACGTTCATCGCTATCTTTCTCTTTTTCCTTGGATGTGGTCTCGGATCTCGTCGCGTTACTCGCTCGCTTCGGCGCAACCTTGGTCTACAAATCACTCCCGCTGGCGGACCGCCCTCCCATCAAGCCGACGAGAAACCCAAACTATGGGACATATGTCCGCTACAGTCCCCACCGCCGATTAAATCCGAAGGCGGAGGGAACTGCTCCGCAGACAGGTATGCATGGGAGAACTTGTCCGTGAGTACTCCCAGCACCTAAGCGACGATCATCCTGATTATATTCGAACCTCTGTTGCAGCCTCTGTCTGCGACCTACGTGCGCACGCCTATCCACGGTGAGACATGCGACGTCTCCACGGACTCTGAGCCAGAGCCGCCTCCGCGCGTTCATTGGGGCGCTCAGGTCGCCTCTCTATTTCCCAGTGGGAGGATGATGCGTACACTCGCCGTTACTCCTGCTCTTGCACGCACTCTCCCCCCACATCTCGCCAACCACGCACCTACTCGGCGGGTCACACGAGCACAGCCGGAAGTCCGCTGGCGAGGACATCTACTACCCCAGTTCATCGCTCGACCCCTCCTTCCTCCTGGTATGAATCCACGCGGCTCTCCTCTCGGCGCGGAAGATGTCACACAGGGACCGGAGCCACCGGTTAGCGGACTTCAGCTTTCCGTCGTGATAGCCATGCCATCGCCGGAGACCTCGCATGCCAGACGCGCGCAGGAAAAGGCGAGGGGAGAGGGCGTTTACCCCGGTAAATCCAAGGGGAGCGTGGAGATCGAAGAGTTCGAGGTCATTCCTGTGGAGGGGTTAGGCAATTATATGCTCGGTTTCGCTCGTGTGCCATGGGCGGGAAAGCTTGACGGATTGGACGGTGCTGGCGGAAAGGGTGAGGCGTTGTAGGTTGTGTATAGTATGACACGGTACGGTCCTGTACATCCAATTCTTCGTCTTCGTTCTGTACTCATTACTAGGAGCAGTGTACATTGTTGTATGATGTTGGTCCACACTTGTATAAAGAAGGATCGCACCGATCGTCTTGTTCGGCCGCGCCGCTCGATCGCTCTCATCGGGGTCGTGGAGTGACTGTCAACCCCTGTTCTTCCTCTCGATCGAGAATCAAGATCGCATACTCCAGGCATACACGGGGACCCACAAGTGTGTTACCCGGGGTAAGCCCATCACAGAGAATGTTTCATGGGACACAAACGCTAAGCGGACTTGACAGACAGACTGCCGGATGGGGTATGTCATGGGACAACGCCGAGGGCTACACAAGGACCCACATGAATTTGCGAGGTTCTCGCCATCGTGGCACGCTCGCCGCGCACGGGCTGGCTACGTGCCGCCAAAGTGCATCAGCAGACTGCAATGGCCAAGCATAGCCCTTAGCCCTCCGTGCCTTGCCGGCATGCGCCCGCGGCCGCGCACGCGGACGGGGGTTCACCACCATCAGCTTGGCTCTTGGCCGCGCATGATGTCCACGAAGGTCGAGGTTGCGGAATCGGCGGTTTTAGCAAACCGTTCGGACATCCGCACGGACGATACGGACATGTATTAATACACACACAGCACACTACGGCGCGAGGACGGCCCTACATCGACCTGCCAAGCAGGGGCCGGCGGGTTTTGCGAGGGCTTCCTCGATATCTAGTTTCTTGCTGCGCTGGCACTTGACCTTCGTGGTACCTGGAGAAGCGCGGTAGATCATGGTGGGCCAGCTCCTTTTTGTGGCTGAGATGCAGCTTCGGACTTTGCAAATCGGGCCGCAGCTGAACATCATGTTAATGACGGCGGTCCGTGGCTGAGAGTCACGGTTCAATCCCGAGGAGTTGAGCGTATCTTAATAACTGCAGTTCAAGTTAATAGCAGACATTACCCTGAGTCCAACACAGATACAATAACGAGAGCACCCAGGTCCCAAACCATACAGGATGTGCCCGGAAGGCGAGCATATCGTAATCCAGAAGGCTTGGCGTTGAGTAAATGAGCCCGATCATCCATGTGCCTCAGCGCGCGGGCAACAAGCGCTGTTCCCCTCTCTCGCTTGACTACGCACTAACCATACTGATCTTCGCTACGCTTGAGCGTTTCAAAGTGTTCAGCTTGCTCACTCGGACGCCGATCATGTCCTTTGCTCGTCGTGCGTTCTGCTCTCGCGGCGGCTGGGTCCCCCATCCCTCTCTGCTGGTCTGCCCACGATCGTCAGAGCTTCACGTTATCACGAATCTCGGCGTACGAAACGTGACAAGGGTTTACCCACACGACCGCATGCGCATGTCAAAAAAAGTACAAGAGATCGTGACTGGACGGAGATTAGCACCGACCTTGGACCCTTGCACTCGAGATGGACGAGTGATGGCGACGGACCGCGCCAGAGCGGGGGCCCCGGGCTCTTCGCGAAGGTCGCTCAGGACACCATGTGCGGGGTATATAAGGGCGCGCTGATGGCGACGCGCTTCTGCGGTTCCCCTGCTCTTCCTCTTCCCCTGGTCCTTCTGCGATCTCCTCGCGAGCTCCCTGGATAGGCAGTCAGCATGGTCGCGTCCCGCAACTTCTTCGCCGCCCTCTCTGCGTTCTTCGCGTCTGCGACCCTCGCTGCCGCGGACGCGAACGTGCTCGACGTGCGCGCGGCAGACCCCTGCGCGGCCATCGCAGGCAAGACGTGGGTCGCGCCGAAGGACGTGCGCGCGTGCTACACGCACTTCAAAGTGGACCCTGCCATCAAGGCGAACGTGAGTCTGCTGCACGGCGCGTAGCAAGGGCATATCTAACTTTCGGCCGCGCAGACCATCGAAGTCGTGAACAAGACGCTCGCGTTCCACACGTCCGTGAACTACGAGAAGCTCGCGCCGGCCCCGTTCACCTCGGACGTGCACGAGGACTTGCTGGCGGACCTGGCGCGCATCAGCCACCAGTCGTACGCAAACGAGCTTGAGCTGCATGTCGACCTCTCGCGCACGCTCAAGCGTCTCAACGACGGTCATTGCGTTTACATCAACGAGTGCTTCGACTGTGAGTGCGCTCAGTCATGCACGTCTGTTTGAAATGACTTTCGGACTGACGTCTTCGCAATTTAGCCCTCTTTTTGACCTTCCTACCCACCCCTTTGGTTTTCCTTACCGACGCTGCTGGACATCAGAGCGTCCACATTGCCCCTGAGGCTTTCGACGTCGCCACGGCCGAGTTCAAGGACGAGGTCGCCGTCTGGCAGAACGCCCTCCCGGGCGCGCTCAAGGGCAAGCTCGCTTCGGTTAGCACGTCATGTTCCGTACCGACTGTTCCATACTGACGATGTCGTGCGCGGAGTTCAGCTTTCAGGCGCGAAGGTGCTCGCGATCAACGGCCTTAGCCCTCTTATCGCCGTCGACGAGAACGCAAAGATCACGGGCAGCTTCCAGGGTCTCGGCACACGCCAGAACTCGTGCGTATATGCTCATGTTCCTGACGCGTGTCTCTCCTGCTTACGCGGGCATGTGTTTGGCAGGTTCTTCTCGAGCTACAACAGTGCCGCAACGGGATGGACCTACATCTTGGGCAACTTCGCTCAGCAGTCGCTCCCGCTGAACGACTTCGCTACGCTCACCATCCAGCGCGTCAATAGCAGCACCATTGAGACCGTGACAGTAAGTGCACCCACGTCTTGGATTCGACAACACGAAGCTAACAGCATCTCCGCGCAGCTCCCCTACCGCTCGCGCATCGGCGCCGCAGCCGTGCCATGGACGGACGCGACTTCCTTCCACCAGAACAACTGCGTCGCGATCCCAGGCACGAACGGCGAGGACCTCAACGAGAACGGCGGGTCTGCGCGGCGCCGTGCGCTGCCCGAGAACCCCGCGAACAAGTTCCGCCAGGCGCCGATCCCGGAAGGGGTCACCGGCCGCAAGTACCATCTGAACGTCATCCTCGACAGCGCGCCGCAGCAGGACGTCGTGCTGCCGCCGACGCTGACCCCGGCGAACCCGCTGTCGGGCAGCTCGGGCATTGCGCAGTTCTTCTTGCTCGATGACAACAAGACTGGCGTGCTCGCGCTTGGTAGCTTCTCAGCGGCGAGCTTCACGGCGCTGGGCGACTCCCTCCTTACGGGTCTGCAGAACCTGAAGGAGCAGGGCGCGACCCAGCTCGTCGTCGATGTGGTACGTGCCATACCCGGCGGTCCAGTGTCCTAATCTGAAGACTTCCCGTAGTCGAACAACGGTGGTGGATTCATCTGTGTTGCTCATGTGAGTTTCACTGCTGCCTCTCAAGATGTATAGCAATCCTGACATACTTCTTAGTGGCTACACCGCATCGTCAGTGCCTTGCATCGCATAAACACGTCACCCTTCTCATGAATTCGCGCAGATCGCAGGCCCCAAGTCTACAACTGAGCCTCAAGCCGGTCTTAACACTGAGGCGCGCGACCCCCCACTCGCGCAACTCATCGTCAAGAACATCATCGCCGGTGCGGATCCCGAAGGCCAGCTCCTCTACAACCCGATCAACTGGCGGGACGCGAACAACACACCCTTCGCCGCGGGGACCGACTGGCTGCAGCCTCCGGTCAAGAAGGTGATCAACGGCCGCCAGGATGCATTCTCCCAGCAACTCGGTGACGAGTGCCAGCCGTTCGACTTCACTCAGGACGCCCCAGCCGAGGCGCTCTTTGACCCTAAGAAGGTCGCGATTGTGAGCAACGGTCGGTGCGCAAGCTCGTGCTCTCTGTTCTCGGTGAGTGCTTTGGGATGCCTGTGTATGATAGGCTTGCTGAGTCTGCTTGCAGATCACGATGGCGAAGGAAGAGGGCTCGAAGACGGTCGTGTACGGCGGCCGGAAGGGCGTGCAGCAGCAGTACTGCGGCACGGTTGGCGGACAATCCACGGATTACTCCACGATCGACACCGAGATCAAGACTGCCCAGCTGAAGAACAACACGCTCGCGCCACCAGACTTGTGAGCAGCCCCGACGTGTGCTTGACTGTGGCGGTTGCTTACTGCATGCACAATTCAGTGTGACCAACAGCGTCCAGGGTATCACCTGGAGGCTCGGGTTCGGTGTCGATGATCCCACGCAGCCCGAAGGTTCGTCGTCAGTCGCAGCTCAGAAAGCAGTATCACCGTACTGACTGACCTTGTCTAAAGAATGGCAGAACCACCCCGCCGATGTCAACCTTCCACTCACTGCCGACATGTACGTCTATGTTTGTCCTTTCCGCTCACTCCCTGTGGCTAACGAACACCTAGTGTTAACAAGCCGGTCGCGATCTGGACACAGATCGCCAAGAATGTACTGCAATGAAATGTAGGATTCAATATACCCGGGATCACGTAGGACGGAAAATCATAATGTAGCAGTTCACGGCGTCAGCGAAACGCATTCTACCTGGGATGAACATCGAGAAGGGACCGACTAACCCCAGCTAGTACCCTATACAAAGAGATTGACGTACCAAGCAGCTCTCCATAGTATTCATCGCTCACGCTAGACTGAAAGTCTTGAACGGAAGGGCGAGCTGGGTATGTATCTCGGAAGTGTTCGTGAATCCAATGGGCGACCGCGCCTATTGCGTGCGGATCGGCAACTGCCGATCGGAGCCACAAATGAGTGCACATCCGCGGGAGCGCTGGCTTTCTCTCTTCGAGCTCTTCCCGCAACCTCGCCGTCAGCCCACTCCCTCTTCCTCGTTCTTCAACAACCACGACGACACACATAGCGATGGCAGTATTTGGATTAGGTTCACATGATGAACCTATCGTGGTCTCCGACGATGAAGACGCTACTCATGTGGAGAACGAGCTCAACAGGTCTTTCTCCTCCAGTCTGGCGCGCTTAACCAGCTCACCTTGCGCTGTGTAGGTGGAACGGCTCTTCTCCCAGCTCCTCCAGCAGTTCTCCTGTCGTTCGTGAGTATCTTCACGCCCCATATCGTCCTATCATCCAGGCGGCACCAGGTACGTACCGCGATCCTGTCCATAGGGGCTTACTTGAACCTTGCAAAGCAGCCTATGCACCTACATTACCTACTGTCCACTTGAACCAGAAGCGCAAACGGCAGGAGATAGACTCTGCTAGCGGAAGCGCACTATCACACCCTATTGCGGACGCCCCTGGGAGGCGCACGAAGAAGAAACAGAAGGCACGACAGGATGCAAGCCTTGCTACCCAGCACGCTCGCGTTGCTTCACTAAAGTACGAGCAGTACGATCGCTCGGAACGCCACTGGTCTACTGCGTGGTCTGGTAACGACTGGACCTACCCGCCTGGGTATCTACCAGCTCAACACGCTCCGGGCCTGGATTCCACCCTGGATGCCGATGTGCCGATGTATCGGATGTCGGACATGGGTAGAGGTCACCCTGATCCTCTCCGTGTACCTTACCCACCTGTCTCTTACAGCCAGCAGGCCGGACCGTCCTGGCATCCGCCCGACTCAGCACTAGGCGACTCCTTGAGACGGTTACAGGCATTGTCGGATTCTCTCGTGGCCAAATCTATCGGGCCCTCTATGCCGGTTTCTACTCAAACTTCGCCGCCGCCACCTAATGTAGCCACTCCCCCCACCGACACCGACAAACGACATATAGGGAAGTTCGACGACAAGACGAACGCTGCGTCCTTCGATCTCCACTCGCCCACTCTTCTCTCACCTTCGACGCCTGCCCTGCCGCCCCCCACCCTGTCTCGCACTGTGGTTGTCGCACACTTGCCTAAGAAGTTCCGACATCTCGACTTTGTAACGTCGTGGGCTGAGCGTTTCGGTGTGATCACACGTCTGGAGCTGGACCCGAAGCCTGGCAAGGCTTTGGTGGAGTACGAGAGCGCCGCTCATGCGGAAGCCGCCTTCGCGAGCTTCAAGCTTCGCGGCGGAGGGAAGGAACACATTCGTGTGTACTGGTATAGGGGCTCGCCTGCTTCGGTGTCCACTTCGGCCGCACGACACAGCTACGCAGACGTCGAAGAAGGCGAGCTCGAGGAAGGGGAAGTACTAGAGGGAGTGATCACGCCCGCTCCGCCGAAGACGAGGTCGAAAAAGAAGAAAGGCAAGAAGAAGGCTCAACTACTCGAACAGCGCCTCACCGATCTGGCCCCTGTCCCGCCCTACAAGCTGACCCAGGTCATCTCGCTGCGTTCTGACGCAGCCTATGCGGCCCCACCCTCCATTTCCCCAACTCGTCCATCACTAGAGGAGCGCTTCACAGACGCTCCTGTTCTGGATAGCAGGGGATGGGAGGGGGATATGGAGGCTGAGATGGAGATGGACTCGGAGGACGACGATCTACAACGATTCTCGCCGCTCGGTTCTCCGCAGCTTTTGGCCACCCTTATCTCCACGCCGTTTGAGGATGCGGATTCTGAGGATTGGGAGGCTGACATGGACGTAGAGGCATCAAGCCCGATACGCGAAGAAACTCCGCCGCTTCCTCTCAGCCCTCCGCGCCAAACTTCTCCTTCGGCCCTACGGCCTCGATTCCTCAAACGACCTCGCGCCCTCTCGCCATCGAGTCTTGAGGAGCATCGCCCCAGTCCGGCTGCGAGCGCTGCTGAAGATCGTCGGAAGGGGTTGGAGTCGGCCATCGCGACTTCGAAGGCACGGCCTACCCCTTGGTCAAGCGTTACGGCCCCCTCAGCCATTTCCAGTGGCACTTCGGCGACCTCAGAGCCCGTTACGCCCTTCGACATCTTGGAAAACCCTCATGCACCCGTGGCCATCGTCGTGAGCTCGGAGCCTGTCGTCTCTCCTGCCATGATTACAGCGCATGACGCCGCCGCGCCCTCGGCTGCAAAGATCGACAAGCCAGCTATCAGCTTGGAGGACCTTGCGGTTTCCTTCATCACAGAGTCTATCCAGTCCGCCGTCGCGCCTGCCCCACTCCGTCCTCCTGAATCGTCTCTACCTCCCAAGCCATCTACCCTTCCCAGCCGTCCATTACTCGCAGACCCGCCTCTACTCCAAATCCCCGTCCCTCGACTACCCGTTCTATCTCACCCCTCAGCCCCCTCCGCCACATCCACACCACAGCTGTCCGGAGCAGCACAACTACTAGCAAAGAAGAAGCGCCTAGAAGACCACATCACGGCCAGCAAGGAGCTGCTCGGCAAGATCGCGGTCTGCAAGTCCAAGGCGGAGAAGGCGACGCTCATGCGCCTCCTCAAAGAGAAGCAACGGTGAGTGGCTCAGCCACGGACGATGCAGCTCTCTCCCGTGGGGCGACTAAGACGGCCTTCCACTGCAGGGCGATGGACGTGGAGATGAACGGCGGACACGCGCCGCCTTCCACGCCGGGCGCGAGCGTGGCGCCCGCCACGCCGACCCCAGCGCCGAAGGCGACGCCGTTCCGGTGGCCGCAGACGGCGCGCGAGCTGATCATCGACATCAGCGACAGCGAGGACGAGGCCGCCTCGGCGCGGTAGCGCACGGCGGCACGCAGGTAAGATGTTATGTGACACCCGTACAGGTATATGAGAGCCGTGTAATATGAGCGCACACGCGCGTTTAAGCGCAGCTGCTAGGGAGTATTTTATAAATGTTTTCTTTAAGAACGCCTGATGTATCTGTCTGTAGGGCACCGATTGGGTGCTCCTGCCATACTGCAAGAGGTGAGTGGGCGGTGTTTCTCCGAGGTCGTGTACTTACGTCAAGCTTTTGTCCGTAGGATGTACAGTACATTCGACCGCGTACGCACCCGTCCATCCCAGTATCGTCCACGTTGTCTGCTATCCCGCTTCGTCTGTCATCTTTGCCCGAAGGGGCGCGAATGCGGCTGTTCATGCCGGATGCTTGTCCATGCAGTGTGGCGGGCTCTGGTAGAACTTTCGCGTGCTGCCCTTTCCATATTCTCCGCCTTCTTTGTACCCTGCTTGTATAAATATTCCTAGTTGCAAGATTGATTCGATTTACCCACACATCTGGTGTATCGAGAGGATAGACGAATAACGAACGGCAAATAAAGCAAACGATAACATCGGGGAACATGCGCTAGTCAGGGAGTGCCCCTAGGTTACCGTAACGCGTCTTCCAACCTCGCGCCTGAGCCCCCGTTGCCGTACTTGGCCTTCAACGCTCAAGACGCCTCTCGGGCAGCGTGAACCGTCATGGTGGGGAGTACGCTCGGTCTTCTCGCATATGCGACGAAAGTACTTACACCGTGCTTACCTCGTATGAATATCGTCGGCGGATATCCCTGTCCATTCACGATACTCCGAGTGTTCGCTTATTCATTGGCATTCACCACTTACCCCGCTCCTGTCACCTCGCACAACCCTCTCCCCATCGCAACACGCCCAAGCGTCCTGGCACTTTGCTTTATCCTCTTTTATTTATCGTCAACCTCACGATCGGGACAGTTCATGCCCGCCGAAGGATGCAGGTACAAACGCGCCGACGAAGCCCATCTTTACGAAGTTAGGATGCGTGTTACACTGCTCCAGTATGAAGATCATTTATACGTGTAGACGGCTGGTATTCCCCGCTGGGAGAACCGCAGGAGCAAAATTCCTCCCAACACGTCCTTCAATTCCGTGGCCACCATCTCCCCGACGAAGAGCTTCAAAACGATGCCGTGCCGCCACTCGCCACACAACCGCCACCCTTACGGCGTGCATGAAGGAAGGCCACTGTCGCCACGCCGGTGGCGGTTCGCCGGGCGTGCTTCAGCTAAGAACCCCCCCCCCCCCCCGGCCCTCACGCCGTGCACCAGCTCTCTCGACTTGCGCTGACCTTTCCTCCCGCCGCTCAAGAAGTGGCGGTTCGCCACATGCGAATGGGGCTTTGCGCCACTGCAGGTGATGATGACCTCCGGTACCGGTGAGTGGCTGGACGAAGGCGAGTACTTACACGCTTCCCGTCTTTCCTACTACCTCAAAACAACTCACTCGGAGCACGGCGTCAGCGCCGTTTGCTGAGGGTCCTGGTGATCGGCGGGAACACCAGCCCCTGCTTGCTTTTCAATTCGGCGATCAGGGACGCCACCGCCGCGTTCGTCCCACCGCTGCACTGGGCGGTGCTAGCGCCACCGTGAAGTTGCGCACCACCTGCTCCTGTGGGTTCATAGCGAGTGGCGACTCAGGAGTGGCCGTACCGTATCATCTACTGGCATACTTGCTGGATGATGTTTGCGAGCTAAAGAAGACGCAAAAGCATGAAGGAATGGTGAGAAGATAACCGAAGCACAGAGCATCGCTGACTCGGTTCACCCGGGCGGATTTTTACTGGGTGCTTCGTGATATTTAGCGCTCACGTGTCAAACCTCGCGAAGTCACAACGTGCAGTACATACATCTACAGGTCGCTGCAGTACAAACCTCTAGATATCGCCCGGGGGTGCAACATCTCCAGGTGGCGCCAGGTGGCGACTCGACGGGCGGGATCGTCGTCTCCCGGGCGGCTACTTCTGTCATCCTATGGAAAGCGACGCCACAGTCGACGACAGACCGACTTCAGAGCAGGAGCAAGGGTGCCACCTACGCATGGCGTGGAATGACCCTGAGGCTCGTCTTCCAGGTTTTCCACGCATATTGCGGGATATGCGTGGCCGATTGAGCTGCTTGCTATTTTCCCTGCTCAAGTTGACGTCAGTCGTATTTCTTCTAGCTGCTGGTATCATGAACAGAACACGTACCTTACAGGATATCATATTTCCACCTTCTCGTCGTCCACCTCCATTGCGCTCGCAGGTTCGGCCTTGACCTCGACCTTCGGCGCGGCTGCATTTTCCAGCCACCCGACGCTCTCCTTCATCTTCAGCCAGACCTGTCTTGCGCCCTTTTCGGCCAGCTCCCGAGCCTTCGCAAGCTCCGCGACGTCAAACGGCGCCGCAGTGGTGTAGTTCGTCCACAGCAGAGAGCACTGCGGAACGTCCGACGCCGCCAACGGCGCAGCAGCCAGCACGGCTGAGAACAGGAACGCGAAGCACCCGCTCCCAGCCAAGCGCGACAGCTCCGTCTCCTCGGGGTCCAGGACGAGCGTCCCGTCCGGGAGGCGGCCCACGGCGACCGCGCACACGACGCCCATCATGGGCACCGAGCCCGCATTCACCAGTGCCGCGGTGGTCGCATTGACGAGGCTTGCGGTGAGGCCCGCGTTCCAGCCGCGCCCGGCACTCCCGAGCCCGCTTCCGCTTTGTGTGCCGCACAGTGCCTGGCCGACGATCTGCACGAGCGTGCGCGGGTGGTGCGCGAGATGGAGCGCGGGCGAGAAGATGGACTTGAGGGTCGTCGCGAGTGCTTTGGAGTCGGTGCCCGCGATCGCGGCGAGCGGGCGGATCTGGATGTCGAGCGTCGCCTGAGATGGGTTCTCGAGCGTCGGGCGCACCTCGATGGGCCCCGAAACGGAACTGAGCGAGAGTGTTGATCCTGTGCGTGTGGGTGTATGCTGCTTGAGTGGGTGTTCAGGCGAAGGAACTGGGAGACTCACCGAAGCCGAACCTGGCAGACCCGTCCACTCTGTCCAGACCCTCGTATGCGATAGTGACCTCTCTCATTTGATCGGGTCTCCTACCCTGTGGTCGCACGGAGAGTTCTGCGGACATCTTCGGCGCTGTTGTCGTTCGTAGGAGGGCAGAGAAACACAAGAACTGAGACGGGTGTGGTGAAGATTCGAGCAAGACGCCGGGAGCGATCCAGGCACGCCACCAAAGTGATTAGGCGCCCATTTAGCGCCCGTCTAGCACGGAAATCGACCGACATAATCGGAAAGGCGTACTCGGTTTGCTGACCACTGCCTGCGGCTTACCGACGACTGCTCGGAACACATGCAATCACGTCCGTAATACACCCGCAGCCTTCCAGGCATCGCCAGGCCACGACTACTAGGACGCCGAGGACAGCTTGCTCCACCAGCGCACCCCCATGGCCTCCGACTCAGGCAACGGCGGCGGCAACAGCTCGCAGTTCCTCACGTCGGGGAGCTCCGCGCTCATCCTCGCATTCCTCGCGATCGGGCTCTTCGTCGGCGGGCTGCTCGTCATGTTCGCGATGCGGCGGTACGTCGTGCTCAGCCGCCGCAGGGCCGGGTTGTGGGAGCCCGCGGGCGCGGGCCCGTGGAACTGGGAGGACACGACGTACGGGATGGAGCCGCTTTTCACGATCACCGTCGGACGGAGTCTCCAGCGTAGGCAGGAGAGGGGGTTTGGTGCTCGGCCAGAGCTGCTGGACGTGCATGCGGCCAAGGCCGCGAGCGATAGTTGGGAGGACATCATGGTGAGTTCGCATTGCAAATATGTCCTGTCGGCGGCATACTGAACTTGGGATTGCGCCCCCAAATAGCCCGTCTCCGTCACGGAAGTAGTTGAACAGACACCATCTGTGCCTGAACTCTCTGCACGAGAGCAGCACGACGCCGACAGAACGGAGGCTGTTGATGTTCCCCCGGCGCACGCCTCGTCCGGATACCTACGCCCCTTCGCCATCGGCGTTCACGACTTTGTAACGCAAATACGACCCTCGAGGCGGCGCACCTCTCCATCTTCATCTCCATCTCCAACTCCCGCGCCATCTACAGCCCTATCGTCGTCCTCCCCACCACCTCCCGCGCTCGAGTCTTCTATGTCCACGCCTGCGGGCGCAAGTGCCCCCTATCTGCGCGTTGTGTTGGCGATTGCGATGCCCACACAGCAACGATGTACATCCGGTGTCCCGCAATACGCCTTGGGAATTTCTGACGTTAAATGGATTGGCGAACCTGCCGAAGATCTACAGCGGGGAACGGGGGACGCTGGTACGGGTGGCTGAAGTTGTGCCATGTCTGATTATTATATATCTGTGACGATTTTAGTGTAGAGTATCTTGTATCCGTGGCCCCCACTCTTCAACTTCATCACCCGTAGTTCCAGCTTCGTTTCGTTTTGGAGCGGGTTTCGTGTGTCGGCGACCGCGGGAAGGATTGACGCTCGCGCATTCTCTCCTATCCTCTCGACCACCACTGCTTGCTGCTTGAAACACTCCGGAATAGTGCTACTGCCTACGTCCCTCATCATAGCTTTCTGGGTACTCGAGGCGTCTGCTTTTTCTCTGATCATGCTTAGGCTCTCCTGGCGTCATGGCCCCTCATGGCCCTCGGGACTCCGACGACATTGATTGAACCCTGCAACTGCGGATACTACCATCACTGATCACTGTCTCGACAGCTCAAACCTCCGCTGGAGCCCGACGAACAGCGATGCGGGGATGCCTGACAGCGGCCTGCTTTCTTCCAGTGAGATACGAAGCTCTTCTTGAGAAGCAGCCGGTGCCCGCCACCGCACTTCTTCTCCCGCTAACGTCTTCCGGAGCCTGGTGCTCACCACGCGCTGGCTGCTTGCTCTCAACTTTCTTCATATCGCACCTGGCTGGCCCGGTTCTCTTCTCCAGACCTCTGACACGCCTTTGCCGCGCTTGGCTAGACTGATTTCGTTTGCTGTATCTCTGCTGGGCGGATCTCGTACGAAGGCCGGCTCAAGACCGGTTCTAGGGAGGCATCACGGCGTGAGACGGTGAGTACCAGTAATCCTACGTCACGACCACCCAGGGATCCGCATGGTAGCTCTCCGAGCATGACTTACGCCACCGCGATGACCCCACAGGTATCATCTTTCGCATAGCGCTCTAGCGGCTGCTGCAGTAAGCAGAAGAGACACCTCCTGCGTCGCGCTCTCAAAGGTGGATCGATAGCTCGAGGATCTGTGGACTGTGCTTGGCTTCTGGCTCCCACCCCGCGTTATATGCCTGAGGAAGATTCCCTGGCGCACCTCTGGCCGGTGTTGCGCGATGCGGATGCGTGAGTATCCTTAGATCCGCTGGTGCCGCCATAGTCGATGAACCGGCCTTAACCCGTGTACATGTAGATCCTTCTTCATCTCATGTGCCGCCACAAGTACGTACACCCCCTTTTCCTCGGAGGGCAGGATCTGCGAACCGATCGTGCTGCTGCTGATACCTCCCACTAGCACTGGCCCTCTACGAGCACCTCATCACCATCCGGCTCGAGGCGCAGCAAATATGGAAGCGGGACCCCTCCGGGGCGACGATGCTTTTCATCATGACGCGGTACTTCATGCTCCTCAGTCGTATCTTCGTCATCCTCGGCTTCTACCCCATCCGCGATCCGGCAGTGAGCACCACCCTTTTCTCTGCGTTTGAGCAACGAACTCACGGGCGCCTATTGCGGTCGTAGAGGTCAGTAGATATGCGCAGCTGCGCGAACGTAGTTTCACAGCTGACGGACTCTCTGCAGTTGCAACACTATACTATGGATTCAGGCCATAACGACTTCTGTTTTGATTATTGTACTTTCTGGTCAGTATGCTCCAGGTCCCCCTTGTTGCTGCGTGTACGTGAAATCTGACGATGGTGCAGCTATTGGGGCGATCCGGGTCTACGCTCTGTGGAACCGCGACTACCGACTGCTGGTCATCATCATGCTCACCGGAATACTCCCCGCGATCGCCAATCTGGTGAGTTCCCCTCTGTGGCCTGTTCGTGCATGAGATGAACGTGTGGGATTGGCTAGTTCTTTCGCAGCGCGTCGTCCGCGTATATCGTGCCCACGAAGTTTTACTCTTGCCAGTCTGCGCCGACCGCAATGACGGCGCAAACCTACAAAGCGTGAGCACCTGTCCTAACATATAGCTATGGAATGCTGGCTGACGCGTCCTTTAGATGTGCGTCTGCATCGGTTTTCCGCTCTCTATATGCGCTCATCCACCCACAGTGTCGATCGCGATGCGCGTCATCTCCATCTTCTCGGACGGCCTAGTGGTGGCCCTGACGTGGAAGAAGACGTTCAGAATCTACGCGCTCACCCGGAATGCCAAGCTTCACGCCGACTACTCCGTGCTCATTCTGCGTGATGGTGAGTATCGAGCGCGTGCAATGTACTTTGATGACGGGCGGCTGATGATGTGCTTACAGGTACCATATATTTCCTGTGCGCCGGCGAGCAGCCTTTCCTGCCTTTGTCTTCGAGCGGTTAGCTTACCCTTCCCAGGACAATATGCGTCCTCAACCTCGTCGCCATAGTGTACATCACCACCACGGTAAGCACGAATACGCACCTGTAGGTCTTAGCATGCTGACTCTCTCTTACCCGCAGGGCACAAACCTCCTGAACGACCTCATCGTAACGTACGCACCTTCCCCCGCTTAATTTTCCTCTCCCATTGAACAAGAACCCGACCGCGCTCCCACAGTCTTAGCGCGATCCTCATGGCGCGCTTCCTCCTCAACCTCCGCGACCAGCGCTCGCACCTCGAAGACAAAGCGTGGCCCGTGGACAGCAGCCCGTCGACGCTCACGCTCGCGTTCTCGGCGTCGCCGTCGACAATACGCTTCCACCCCAGCGGGGTGCTCGACACGATGGGCGGGGCGATCAGCATGGGCTCTCACGAGGACGACATGGACGGTGACGACGATCTGGAGGGCGACGGGTCGGACGAGGATACGCGCTGCGGGGCCGAGTGCGCGAAGAAGGCGTTGGACGAGGAGAAGGTCTGGGTGTAGTCCATGTCTTCGCAAACGCGGAACACGCGGGCGGGACTGCGGGCGAGGCTGTCATGTGGGCTTCGTCTGAGCCGAGTTCATACTGCGAACGTGCAGTAGACGCAGAGTAGGCGCGGGCCAACATCTAGTAGGTACGCTTGTATTCGGTACGACGCTTGTAATCCCGTACATGTGCCCCTGTTTGCTGCTTCTCCTATGTCATCCGCACGCTGTGCCGTTCGTGCGCTCGCGGAGTTTGCAATTGGGCCTGTAGGTTGGTAATAATGAGAGAACATATTTGAGGGTTTGGTTTCTTCCGCGCAGGTCGCCCGTAGCTGTGGCGGCGGCTCGATTTGCTTTGTAGTTTATTTCTTTGACTAGGTTGATGTATAGTTCGGGGTCTTTGGTGTTGTGCTCTGTGTCGGTGGGATTTATTTGCGACGAGGTAAAAATTGTTTCGCTTCGGCCGAAGTAGTAGGAAATATTTCCTGCACGTAGGGCTTGACATCGTCTTCGCTTATGTTCGCTCCCACGATGGTCACTTTCACGTCCTGCGTTCGGCCTTCAATGTTATGAAGCAGGCGGGCAAGGGCCTCGTCCAGGGAGAGGGCGATGGCGCGCAGTTGGGCCAACCATCCAGGTACCAGTGCTCCCCTGGCGTCATTTAGATCGATTACAACACTGAGCATTATATTTGGATGTTTCTGGAGTAGGGTGCGGACGAACAAGCTAGCGTTATGGATGTCATCGCCCGCCTCTGCGGCCGGATGCATAAGAGCTGGGAGGTGGAGAACGAACTCGGAGAGTATCTTGAAATGTAAATCAATGAATGTGACGCTCGCCACCGAATCTATACATCGCGGGGGTAAGTCAGAAGAAGGTATCGGTGAAAAGAAAGGGTATGACATACGGGGAGGCCCTGGATTGCTTAGCCCGTCGATGGTCATTAAGTCGAGGGTGAGACTCTTGATGCTGTTCTGTGCTGCCTGAAATATCTCTATTGTAGGGCCCGCGCCACGCCGAGCATGCTACCTCCCCTGTAAGCTTGACGTCGTGGTACATCCCTGGCGGTTATCGTGCTCACCACCCTGTTTTCACTGAACACCTGGATTTCCATCAACGCCAATGATTCATATAGCGACGCGTCGAGCCTTGATGTTGTGGCGTCCGCGGTGTCGAATTCCCAGAGAATAGACTTCATTTGCAGGCACTGTATGCGCGAACCCAAACATTGCATGGCCTGCACGGCCTGCACTATGCTGAGGAGATCCTCCCTAGACGAGAACAGAACCGAGATATAGGACATAGAAGAAATAGGCGAATGAGAAGTGTCGTGGTAGCTCTTGAACAACATGGCTAGAGAGCAGTCCTTGCAGATTGTGATCCTGACATGGGGGGAAGAACAGAACGCACGTTGCACTTCGACCCATACCTGGGAGAGGGGTACAGGAGGGCCACTCGAGGATGCACCAGCCGTGATAGTCACCGGGCATTGGCGAGGGGGTACCGTTGTCGTGATGCTGGATGCGGCGGAGAGTTCCATGGTCTTCGAGGAAGGTGCACCAGTGACGATGTGGTTCGCATCGTCGAGTAAGGGCCTCTGGGAAGCACATATAGCGCTATCCACAGTTATCACGCCTGAGCTGGACTCTTGCGGGGGCGACCGCGCAGCTTGAAGACGGCATATCCCACCTCCATGCACTTCCAGAGTGCGGGGCACCGGCTCCACTAGTACGTGTACGGGGCGCAACATAGGCAAGAACAAGGGTGTGAGTACTGTGGGCTGGACGGTATGTCGAGAGGTATACAGCAGTTGGCCACTTGTCGGGAGTGGGCGCCATATGCGGGGCTGCACCGTTTCGGAGTTGTGGCGGGGGCGCAGGCGAGGGTGGCATGGACAGCGCGAGACGACATCATTTTGTCGCCGAGGTTGCGCAGAACGCTTAGGGACAGGGGAATGTGTGGTAAGCGAGCGAAGTGGTTTGAGGGAACGTACCGAGCGGAGAAGATGGCCCTGCTATGGTATAACGCGAGAACTTAAGACCATTATAATATGCTCACGTGATTGCACGTTAGAGCGCCGAATCCATGTATGAGACGCTCGCGTTTGAGTATCATGGGGATCGCGTCTTGACTGGTTGACTCTTGACGCATATTCGAAAATGGTAGGCCTACTTGAGGACTGCAGAGAAATGGGTCGAGGAGATTCGATAGATGATAGCGTGAACATTGCTGAGATTTAGCCCTACTCCGTGAACTTTGGTCTACGTGCAACAAGTATACCCTGGACCATCAGCTTCCACGAAAAGTGACAATCATATTGAGAAGCTCCCACCTTGCGATATGCTATAGGCACAGATCAAACGACTCACTCCTTCCGCTCTCCTTGACTACGCAACTCTTCAGTAGCCTGCGGTCCTACGTCATCCTGAATCTTCCAGTCTTTTGGGTCGTAGTAATCGGCGAATAGGCTCAAATCAGCGCTGTGTGCGGTTAAAGTAAGCAAATACGCCGACCAGGGAAGCTGTCGAAAAGCGCACCTGGGTAAAATGCATACCACGTTCTCTATAACACTACTCTTCCACAAACGTGGAAATATCTCCGCGAACTGTTCGTCCCACCAATATCTTCCAGCAAAGGTGGAGTCGACGTCGAAACGAATCTTCATAAGACGAGGGAAGTGACTCTGATCGAACAGCTCTTCGAGTTCATCGTTGAGCGCTGCGAGACCGTCGAGGGTCTTCCACTTGTACAGCTCGAACTGGCTGATGTGCACAGAGACGATGCGGAGTTTCTTGGCACGTAGCGCCCGCAGTAGCTTTGGCACCCTCGCGACACGCGCGGCGTATGATTCCTTGACAAGACCGCCGCGCGGGCCTCGGAGGTAGACATCGAAGTCCTCGAGGTTCGGGAGGTCATATGTGGTTGTGCAATGTCGATCTGGGTCTGTTGTAACTCATCAGCCCTTGTAGAGGTCTCGCAGTCTCATGTGTGACCGAGATCGATCTGAACGATGCTACTTACGCAGATTTGGATGAGTGAAGTAACTGAACGTCCCGATGTTGATCTTGAGGTAAGTCAATGTGTTGGCGAAGGTATGGAGCAGGGTCATCAGCCCGCCGAGCTGAGCGCTCAAGGTCGGGAGAGGCTGGGTTCAAACGTTGAATTTTAGATAGGGCATTGCGTATGCAACTTGATTACATACCTCGGTATAAACATTAATGCGCATCTCGGAAGTTGCTATAGCAAGCCGTGTGATGAGTGGTAGCAATGAAATTTGCCGCGGTCGTAGCGGTAGAATCTTTGCTATTGAACCGTCTTCGCGGATCTCGGGCCAGACGATATCGGCGAAAGTCAAGTCGTGGAGGTTGGGGAACAGTGAGAGTACGTCGTAGATATTCGTCCACTCGAGCTGTACCAAGTTCTTCATATGGAGCGAGGTGATGGTGGGGGCTTTGAAGGCGGGCGCACGGAACATCCTATGGCAGTAAAGCGGTGTAGTCAGACCGCCAATTTCCAACTCGCGTAGCAACGGGAAGTATGGTGCCAAGACGGTAAGGAATATCGGGTAAAGTGGACGGCCAAGGAGCGGATGTACTTCAGCTAGATTGAATTGTTGCACGTATTTGCACAGATGGGGCCGAGCATCGAAGACCTCGCGCAACTGATAGACGCGCATCGGGGCGTTGGCAAGCAGTGGCAACCACCGCCGTTTGAAGAGATGGAATCGGCAGCGCGGGAGCCAGGCGCGGCAAACCAGGCTGCAATCCATGAGCATGATTGCCCACGCTCCGCTTTTGACCTCTTCTAGCATGAAATCTATGATCCATTCGATGATTTCGATCGGGAGCGCAGGTTGCACCATGCCGCAAGCAAGAGAGGTGAGCAGTGAGAGGTAGTGGTGGGCGTCGAGGGCCCTGCGAAGCGATCGATGACCTGGCACGTAGGGCATGTGTCCACTATGGCCACGCATCAAACCGGAAGACATGGGCAAAAGCGTGGGGAGACTCACAGACTACTAGTTTGGCGTTCGCACACACTCGCGCGTCTATACAAAGCGTGACATCATGCCAAACCCGTTGGACATTGTGTGTCGCGTTGAATTGAAGGACCTGCATCGTTCGAGGTCTTTCGCTTGTGATGCAGTGTCGGAGAGCGGAGAGGAGTTGAGCCCACCGCCTCATACACCTAAGATGCTGTGGTGAAGGCGGGCGATGAGGCAGCGTCGGGAAGGTTGAAGGATCTTGTTAAGTACGTGTATAGCGCGCGAGAGCAGCATCTGACGAAAAACCATGTATATTGCGAGAACTGTCCGACATGGCTTATCGCGCGTACGTCTGAAAGGATCGGCGTTGACTGCTCCAACGACACCTATGATCGAACGCGGCTTCGGCATTCATTACGGGCGCGAACAAAAAAGAGGATGTTATGCACTCACACACTGAGGGCGCCCGTACCTGACTTCGAGCATTAAAAGGCGGGCAGAGAGAGCGTGCTCCCCATAGTGCGATCAGCCATCAATAATAACGCATGCTGACGCTGCACCTCGGCACGAACCTGGCAACCCAACTCATCGCTCATAACACGTCGTTTTCGGGGTGCATAGGAGGCCTCTCCCTCCAGGTTACGTAAAGGATAGGCCGCGTCCTCAGTACTACGGAGAGATGCCATTGAGGACAAAGTTGCAGGTGGGGACTCGGCCGACAGACAAAGTTCTGGTGCAATGTGCATGCGAGTACTAGTCGTAATCTGGCCGGTGGCTAGCCCAGCACTCGGTTTCTGATAGCAAGCAAAGAGGGCCTGCATTAGCTGCGGATGGAATCAGATACAGAGCAGATGAAGGCTTAGCCGTGAGCGAGGGTCGAACGTACCGCCAGCCCGGAAGAACATGGACGTTGAAGGCAAAGACGCCGAGGAGTACTTGCGCGTAGCGGCGTAGATGCGGCAACTTCCGGCGCTTACCAACTTGTCCTTTTACTTAATTATCGCTGCATCTGGGGCCGGCCTTCCATCCACTTATGCTTGACTGACGACAACGACGACAACGACGGCGACGAGCAGTATGGACGCTTTCATGCTCAGCGGCTTCAACCAACATGTTCGGCGTTCTTCCGCTCCGAAAGTATCTCTCGCCTCGAGGAACCACATCGAGAGCATGGACGCGGGTTTGGCGTCCGTAGCAGGTACGTTTTTGTACCACCCCACCACGCTGTGACCATTCAAAGAAGATACAGGGGCTCAGGAGGTCATCAAGGATATGCTGTCGCGACGATCCGTCACGAAGCTCATCCTCGGCCACAATACCCTCGGCGACGAGGGCTGCGAGGAGCTCTTCGGCTTCCTATCCTCGGAAGCAGGTCGGAAATACAAGATTGCAGAGATCAGCCTCAACTCGAATCATATCGGCAACCGCGGACTCCTCGCCATCAGCCGGTACCTCCAAGATAACACTACGTTGAGGGAACTCTTCCTCCAGAACGTGAGTCCCTTCATTTCACCATGCCCGCCCGCATGCCGTGCTACTCGGCGCACTTACTAACGAGCCCTGCAGAACGCATTCATTGGGGACACGAATGTAGCACTCGTCTTTGCCCTCTCTATCAATTCCTCTCGGTTGGACACCCTGTCCTTGGCCACCAACGATTCCCTTTCGGACACCTTCGTGGCCAGTTTCTTCTCTGTACTCGACGCGCCTTACTTCCGCGAGATCCACCTCTCCGTCTGCGGTCTCACCCAGGCGGCCACACCACATCTTGTCGAATACATCACGTCGCCTCGATGTCACCTCCAGGTGCTCAAGCTGAACGGCAATCAGCTCCGCGTTCGAGGGGTGTGGCCTATCGTGCGGGCCATTCGCTATGCGAATTATACTCTTTTGCGCATGGAGCTCTACGCTACAGGCCTGTCCAAGCAGCCGGACGAGAGCGACTTATCCTCTGAGGAGGATTCCGGCGACCGCCTTTCCAGGTGGCAGGACGTAGAGACCGACCTCAAGCGGTCGCTCACGCGGAACTCGACTCTGAAGAACCTGGTCGAGAGGGAAGCTTTGGCGCTCCTGCGATATTCGCGCGTTCTTCTCCTGCGGCCGAAGGCCCGCGACGCATCACCTGCGACACCTATCGTCTCCCCTTGTTCGGAGTCGTGTTCGTGTGTTCAGGTCTCCAACACCACTCTCTTCTCGTCAATTGGTCAACCTTACCCACTCTCCGTCACGCCTTCGCCACCGCACGGCTTCTTCCCCTTCGCGCGGCTTCCAACGGAGCTGCAGTTACACGTCCTTTCGTTCCTGGCGCCCATACTATCCATCCCCCAACGCCTCCGGATCTTCACCTACGCCTCGTCGTCTTCGACGCTTCCCACCCTCCTACCCTGTCTGTCGAACGGTGGCTGCATCCCCGACCCCGCGAGTCCGCAGTTCACCCTGGGCGGTCCCGCTGCCGGCGGGTTTGGGGTGAGTTCGAGCATCATGCTTCGTAAGCGCGGTGGAGGGTCCGTCTCTGCGTGCGCGAATGGGAAGTGTATGGGTGCGGGGAACAGCGTGCTGTGCCGGAAAGAGGCGGAGCGCTCGCAATGGCTCACGGAGGTGCGGTGCACGGCGTTCGAGCTGGAGGACGAAATGGCAGGGACGCGGGAATATTGACTCTGGACGATTGGCATTATGGACGGTCGGAACGGATCGCGACGTATTGTATCGTTGGCTATGTACGGCACGTTATGAACGATATCCTGTGTAATTGATAGCTGTACTATTATCCTATGTATTCCTTGGATTGCGAACAATCTTCAGCTCGGCAATTAAGAGAGCCGCCTCGACTATTGGACGCGAAGACTCAAGAGACGCGCGCATTTTGGCGGGCGGATAGTGAGCGCCTATTCTCATTCACGGCTGTCTCTGTACCACCATCATCTTGAGAGGCTACACTCACTCTAGCTCGCGCTCTCTGCATTTTCGCGGCCTTTGTGGCCCTCATGGCGTCTGGCCTGTCGAAGGACGAGCAAGAGACCCTCCGTCTTCTGGTGCAACATGTTTCGCGGGCGTTCTACGAACCCAGGTTCACTGTTGTCATGGACCAGCTCGTCCGTCATCCTGTGTAAGTATTACATGTTGGAAGGCCGCAGGGGAACGGCTGGTGGCTGTTGGTGGCATTTCGAGCGGGGGACGTTATGGATGTGCTTAATCACTCACGCGCCACAGTCTCAAAGATGACGATCTGGCCGGCCGGATGGGCTTGCAGCTGAAGGAGCTGAACAAGATTATGGCGACGCTGGAGGTCCACAAGCTGGTTCGAATGTACGTGCTCAGTTTATCCTCGGCACGACCATGTACCGAACAACTTGTGAAGATACCGGCAGAACGAGCTCAAGGAGGGTGCGCAGCGCTCGGTCGGCCGGCAGTACTTCTACATCGACTACCAGAACTTCTGCAACGTCGTGAAGTGGCGCATGGCCGAGATGCGGCGGGTCATTGACCAGGGACTCCGGAATGAACTCGACAGCAAGGGCTATATCTGCCCACAGTGCCACAAGTCCTTCCTGCCGCTCGAGGTCGATCGTCTGTTCACCCCGGCGACGATGACGTTCAACTGCGATATCTGCAGCGCGGAGCTGATCGACAACGAGAATGCGGAGAACGTGGTCGGAAGCCAGGACCGCATGCAGCGCTTCAATCGGCAGATGCGCTTCATCCTCGAGGGGCTGCGCAAGACGGAGGATATGGTGCTACCTGCGTATGTTCCCATCTTGATCACTCACATTGCGATATTCACCTGTGGCTCTCAGCTTCGATGTTGCACTCTGGATTAAGAACCACCTCGCTGAGCAGGAGCGAGCCAAGGCAGCCTCACGAGACGGCGGCCTCAAAATCGCTGGCGCCTCCGGGGAAGGCCGCCAGGGCGACACCATCGGCGTCGTCCTGTCTGTGGACAAGGACGAGGAAACGGCCCGCCTCGAACGCGACCGTGAAGCCGCAGCGAAGCGCCAGCAGAACGCATTGCCACTTTGGCACTTGCAGAGTACGATCTCGGGCGATCTGACTGCGTTGGGCATCAAGGAGAGCGCGCGTGCGGACGTGTCGGACGCGAACCGTCTACCAAGCTCGAACGATGCGATACTGAGAGGGCTGGGTGCTGCCCAGGGCCCGCCGCCGATTACGAACGGGGAGGACGTCAAGCCCATAGTGGTGCATGCGGACGAGACAGATTGTACGTGTCGGTGGCATATTGCTATTGCTTCTTCGGGCTACTAACATCTCGCAGATTACGACCAATACTATGCTTCCTTGGCAGCGTCCGCGCCTCCCTCAGGGGAGCCAACGCCAGGGTTCAATGGATTTGGAGAGGAAGAGGACGTGAAGCCGACGGTTGAGTATCTCGACTCGTTGAACGAGTACCGCAAACGGTCACGGTCTCGAGACGACGTTGGCACTGGGGCCGCCACGCCGAAAATGTCGCGGGTGGACGACCATGCGAGTGCTGCAGAGACGGAGTCAGCACTGTACACGAACGGTGTCGAGGCTGAGGCGCCGCCACAGACGAACGGCGTTGCCGTAGAAGATGACCCTATGGTATATGGTATGTCGTATTGCTGGCGTTTTTTGGATGCAGCTAACGCTTTACCCGTTTCAGTGAACGGGGAGCCGGTGCCGCTTTCGCAGGTCACGGAGGAGCACCAGGAGGCGATGACGACAGACGAGTACACGGCGTACTACGAGGTGCTGAGCGCGCAGTCGTAGTGGCGGTGCGTGTCGGATCGGGGGTTTCAGGCGGATGGCGAGAGGTGGGTGATGTCGAATGGACATTTGCACGCTTGCACGTCGTGTGATGTACCGTTAGTATGAGTATTGTATCATCAACTCGTGAATAATACATGTGCCTGCTAATGCAACAGATTTACCGCCCTGCATGGAGCTCGTCGTTCGATCGCATTCAGTTTGGTTCTACCTAGGTTGCAACCACCATCCAGGACAGCGTCCGGCTGTAGAAAGGTGAGTGTCCGGTTTAGCTACGAGGTTGTGCATTTTCAGCTGATCTGCCCGTAGCCAGCTAGAGCCCGCCGATAGACACTGACCATGGCGGCACGTTTGGTTAGGTGCACGTAGGCAGCGAGTCCTCCAGATAACACCACTTGCGCTGGAGTCATCATCCTCCTCGATCAATACTCTTCTGCGTTTCGAATTCAAAGACTGTCAGTCTTCAGTTTTTCTTCAATGTGCCGTAGAAGCATTTATCATAGCCTTGCTGTAGAATACCCATGCCGCACCCTTGTGCTATGTGCTATCTCCTGCATACCTACCCGCACGAGGTCATGGGACCTTCATGTGCGATGCAGGGTGTCTGGACTGTCAAGACTGGACAAAGCCGACGTGTAGCGTCCTCGGGGTTGTATGCGCTTTGTTAGGAATATAGCATCAACCACGCGGATGTTCGGAGCCCCGGCGGCCACAGGTCCAGAATTCAGTATGGAGGAAAGCGATCGTGGGCCAGCTAGAGGACGTGAAAGGCAAGTCTTGCATAGGCACTACACTCTAGATGCTTCGCGATGACGCACATGGCGATATATAAGCTCCTCGGCATCCCGCGCACAAGGATTACCCCAAGGCATCCCCACGTCTACACGCCCTCAAGCTCGCACATTCCAGACCGTCATGGCGGACACAGCGCTCACCTCCCTGACTGCAAGCAACCTTTTCGACCTCACTGGCGTTGTAGCTGTTGTCACTGGCGGCGGAAGCGTACGTAGAGGCCCCGAGCCTACACCGATGTAAACCGAGTGTTGACTGAACCTCCCCCAGGGAATTGGTTTGATGATTGCCAGCACTTTGCTTGCCAACGGTGCTACGGTATACATCATCGGACCCAAGCAGGCGGATCTCGACAGGTACACATCGCGTTTTTTTAGGCTCTAGGGGCGAGGCTGACAGTTGTTGTTCTCAGGGTTGCGAATGTCTACAACGACGCTGCCGAGAAGGCAAGCAAGCCGGGGAAAATGTATGGCATCGAGGGTGATATCCGGCTCAAGGTCTGTAGGTGGATTGTTAGTAAGTTGCTGCCCGAGCTCACCTCGTTCTAGTCGGAAGCGCTGCGCCTTGCGGAAGAAGTTGGAAAGCGGGAGAAGCACATCACCGTGCTCTTCAACAACGCGGGGTACGTCTAGGGCTGTCGCGTCCCCGCTACGATGAGTACTGACACCTCGTCTCACCTACACAGGGTATTGAGCGGGTCATTCAAGAAGCCCACGGTAGCATCGGCGGACGCATTTCGTACAGCCTACTTCGACGAGGTGCCGGAGAGTTCGTTCGACGACAACTTGAGGACGAACGCTATCGGCCCGTACTGGCTCACCTTCGCCTTCCTTCCGCTCCTCGAGAAGTGGAAGCAGAATCCTGAGGGGGCTCGGTTCGCCCCACAAATCGTCATGACATCGAGCATGAATGGGTGGACGAAGGTGCGCTCTGTGCACGGCACAACTTGCTGTACTCTGATCACCATATTGCGGTGCAGGATCCTGCCACCGCAGGCTCTTCGTTCCCATACATGTACTCCAAGTCTGCAATCGGACACGCCACGTCGTCGCTCGCGCACGAGCTGCTGCCCCTTGGCATCCGCGTGAATGGGATCGCGCCCGGACTATTCATCACAGAGATGTCGGCGCCTGGAAGTGCGGACGCCATCGGCCAGTCGCGGCTGCCGCCCGACTACGTTGCAAGTTTCGAGGTGCCCGTGTCGCGCCCCGTTGACCCTGGCACCCAGCGAGCGGGAACGAACAAGGATATGGGCGCGCTGGTCTTGTTCTTGGTCGCGAACTGGTTTGTCGATGGAGAGACCGTCCTCATCGATGGAGGGGTGAGTTACGCCGCTGCTCTTGGCGTGCGAATGTACCCCTGATGATGTGCTAATGCGTTGAACAGACCCTGTTGAAGCATCCATCGTCTTACTGAGTTTGAGGCACCCGCACGTTCAGCCACTGCGGCTGAAGCTACCGAAGGTAAGGGAGTCGTGATGGCTATTAGTCTCGATCATACGCCACTTCACTAATTTAATGACTTTAGAAACAAACCATCCTCTGTATTATATGCCTTTGTACCAATGCATAGTTTCAGGCTCAATCAACTATCCGGATGGCAAAGAGCACGTATTGAAAGGGAAACCGGAAACCGTGCCCATGGACACCGCATCGCTGTGGGCTTCGGCGATACGGCATGTGTTGCGCCATCTAATCTTATCCCTCGAACCCATCGTATTGACCTTGCCCTGGAATCCCTCATCCGTCCACGATCATCTCGCATGCTGCGAATTCGAAACACTGCCGTCTGACCATCTCTCTGATTTGGCAGATGCCCCACACAGGAAACCGGCCGCTTCATGTGGCCCTCGGCGACTTTGCGGTATCGCGTTCCACATGAGCCGATAGCTCGTCGACATGGCAGCCTCTCCAGGACTTCTCACTCAGTAGGCTCATCGCTAGGGTGGATGCATTCCCATGGCCCCAGCGGCGAAACCGCGCCACTCCGAAATGCGTCCGTGGCAATGAGCGCTTTCCAACATCCAGCTAGCTGGCCGTTACGTCGTGATTGTGCAGTTCCTCGAGCACAGGTCTCGCAATATTGAACTCCCGAGTCGCTCGTCAGAACTAGGTAGCTCATTTCCGTTTGGAGCTCATTTTTCCGATTCATGCCTAGGTACACTCCGGGCACACGGGGGTTCATCACGCGCGTTTCCTTTCTCATGACAGTATTCACAGGTTGTCATAGTCGGAGATGCCGTCGCAGAAGCCACTCGGTGGCATTGCTCGCATCTGGCAATCGCGGTATGGTCGGGCGGACAGACCCTGGTGCGCGAACACATCTTGTTGCGCGAACTGCATTGCGCGCCGGTCGGCATCCTGCGTCGACCCCGAGGCGCGGGCTTAAAGCGAGGATACGTCGTCCCGGCGTTACGCCCCTCGGACGTCCTGCACGCGCCCTCACTTTGCCTGCGTTGACCGCACCCTGTGAGGTCCACGGCTACCGAGCAGCTTTTCTTTTCGTAGGTAAGCACTCGGCCGGTTCTTCCGTTTGAATACGCATGCTAAAGGCAGTGTTGATATAGGCAAGGCCTCTTCTATCGGCAACAGGTTTGCATCTCTTCAACAACCGGCCATGGCAAGTCTTATTGCTACGTACGCGCGGCGGAGGCAAATGTCACGCGGTTTGTGTCCGTCTTCCTTTGTGTTGAACTGCGCTCTCATACCAACGCAGACTTAGTACTGAACTCCACGTTCACCCCTCTCCACCAATCTGATAACCACAATGGCCCTGGCTCGGGTCACGGTAATGGAGAAAACCTGGACACAGAGGGCTCCCATGGAGGTAGCGATAATGGTCAGTCCGGGAGCAACGGCGATAAAAACAGCGGGGATAGCGGAGACGACAGCAAAAGCGGAGACGGCAGTAACGGTAACTCTCAGGGCGGGAGCAGTAGTTCTCAGAACGGGCAACACGGAAATGTAAGTATAACTCGTCGTTGTTATAATTGTTGCTCACGCGTCGGTCGGTGCACTACACAGGCGGGCGGCGGGAACGATTCCGGCCAAGGCGGGAGCCCAGGGCAGAACTCGAACAACTGCGGTGCCGCGATGAACCCCCTTATGCCTGATCCAAGACTCTGCACGGGTGTCAACGAGAATGATGGACGACTGAAGTACGGTACAGGATGGGTTCTGGCATCGAGGGATCCAAACGGCAAAAGCCTGACGTCTCACTCGACCATGGTCAACGGCTCGTCTGTCGTGGTCGATTTTTCCGGTGTGTTCTAGCACGACGTGCATCCCCTATCTCGGTCGCTCATATGCGTTCTCCACAGGAACAAGTATCGTCGTTTTTGGCACCGTTCCTCCTAGCAATATGAGCGAGATTCCCCCCTCTGCCTCCTACTCGATCGATGGTAGAAGGGCATTCGAGCTCTCCCTCCCCGCGAGCGATAGATGCATCCCCAACCAACAGTTCTTCCAGTCGCCCATGCTTTCGCCTGGCACGCACAACCTCACAATCAACGTCACCACCGCTGGCACTCCGTATATCCTCGACTACCTGTGGTTCTGTGGGTCTTCAGTGCCGTCTGCCGACTCGTCCGGCACGAGCCCGAAGACGGCCCACGGGGGGTTCTCGCGCGTGGACGCGATCGTGGTCGGCTCTGTCGTGGGTGGCGTAATCTTCTTACTGGGGATAGCTTCCCTCGTGTGGTTCTTCCTAAGGCGGCGAAGGAGGCGGAGAAGGCTGCGTAAACTGAAGATCGCGGCGAGCCCCGTGAGCAGCTGGTTGCACTCGCAGAACAATAGTACGCCTCCCGCTCTAGTGCACCTAGTCGCCCTACCAAGGCTCACTGATACCTGTGCGCACTTTGTATAGGCGGGAGCGGGACAGAAATCGTGTTCACGTCTACCGAGTCGATCATGCGCGACAACCCCACGTGTTCGAGCACCGCGGACTCAAAGGAGCACCAACGCAAAGCACTGGAGCTTTCCATGCCCATAACAACAACCTTTCACGAGCAACCTCCCGGACTGACTTCGTCGACGGTGGTCGATCACATTCCCGAGGGATACACCAGCCTCGCTCCTCCGCCTTGGATCGTTCGCCCGCTCTCGACCGCGAGCTGACGATGAGTTATATTTCTTCTGTCGAATTCATTGACAACTTTCCGTTGCTTGTCACGTTGTATTTTAATCTTCTTGCTCCCGCTGTGCGCGACGGACGCTTACTACTTGTATTGTTCATGATCATTGAAACATTGTATTTGTACGACTTTTCATGCGGCTCTTGTTGACTGCTTCGCCCATCCAGTGCCCCGCTACTGTGGCTACATTTCATCATCATGACACGGGCGCCGTATATCGATATCCACACCGAGCCCAAGGACTCGTTACTGTAGGCTGACCGCATTCGTCGTTCTCGTCGTATCAGCATACTTCGTTTCCCATCTACGCGTGCGTGCCGAACTCACGCATGAACCTACATCGGCGGCCGGCACCTCCTGCGCTTCCCATGGAGTGCATGCTCGGTGATTCGGGGAGTCTTGCGCTTTATCGGAAGGGATCCCTCCTGAAGCTGGCGCTGAGCTCCCGTCGATGCGATTGCAAGCTTGATAATGTCAGCATGGGAGTGCCTGGACTGTCGTCATTCGCCGCTGTCGTAACAGCGCGAGCCGCCCCCGGATGTGCGGCGCCCCGCCCCCGCACGCCATGGCCGGCAGTATATATAAAGCCGCTGGATAATCTCCTCCATGGTCCCCAGACAATCGATTCCCAACCACGAACTCACCCAACCTCGAACACTGCAGCACCAATCCTGAAACAACATGCCCGCCTCGAAGTCCGTAAAGCTCAACACTGGCGCTGAGATGCCCACGCTCGGGTTGGGTGAGTATCCGTCCTCTATGAATTGAGTTGACCGGCGAAGCAGTTTGAGTTTGCTCACCTGCACCCCAGGGACGTGGAAGTCGCAACCCGGCGCGGTTGAGAAGGCAGTCGCCCATGCGCTCAAGAGCGGCTACAGGCACATCGACACGGCAACTGCATACGGTACGTCAGACTCGCGCGAGATCTGCGCGACCGGTTACTCACGTAGGATATACAGACAATGAGAAGGAGGTCGGCCTCGGCATTAAGGATTCGGGCGTGCCCCGCGAGCAGATCTTCCTGACGACGAAGCTGAACAACTCGGACCAGCGGGATGTCGAGGGCGCCCTCGAACGCTCGCTGCAGCGGCTCGACACGCCCTACCTGGACCTCTGGCTCATGCACTGGCCCTGTCCCATGACGAAGGAGGGGAAGCCCGACAGGGAGATCGACTGGCTCGATACCTGGAAAGAGATGGAGCGCGTCTTCAAGGCGCACCCGGACAAGGTCAAGGCCATCGGTGTCTCCAACTTCTCTGTGTCCTACTTGGAGAGACTGTTGAAGGCTGCGACCGTCGTGCCGGCGGTGAACCAGATTGAATCGCACCCGTAGGTCTTCTGATCATCGTCCCCACGGAGTGTACTCACTTCTTGTTACAGTGCCCTCTTGCAGGAGGACATCGTGGAGGAGAGCAGGAAGCACGGGATTTCCGTGACCGCCTACTCGCCTCTAGGCTCCGACGATGCGCCTCTTCGCAGCAACCCCATCGTGCAGAAGCTCGCGCAGAAGTACAACGTCCAGCCTGCGAACATCCTCGTTTCGTTCCAGGCCAACCGACCGGGCTTCACGGGTACGTTCGTCCCAGACGCAGTAGATGCCAGTATGTGTGCTCACCACGCCTTTCGATGCAGTGATCCCCAAGTCCGTCACCCCGAGCCGTATCGAGGAGAATGCGACGATCGTCGACCTCACCGACGAGGACATCAAGGAGATCGCGTCAATTGAGAAAGAGAATCACAACCGCGTGTGCAAGCCATACTGGACCGGCTGGGGTAACATTGGGTTCCCTGACCTCGAGTAAACGGGCCAACGTCGTCTAGAGCGTAGAGTCCAGAGAGCATATGCAACCCAATGTAGCCGTAGAGCGTTCTGAACACACGAAGAGTTGCCAGATGAAGCACACCACGAATATGGGGGCTCGCTGTTGTCGTGGTCGTGGTGGCGGGTCGAAAGGGACGGCGCGTTAGCGCCGGCGTTTCTCCGACGACGAGCGCGTCCACTCCCCTCCTCCTGCCCACACTCCTGCCCTTCAACGTCCATTCACTCGCTTGTGTGTCGAAATATCTTTGCTTTGATATCCCTTGACCTGGGATGATTTTCAATTTCGCTTCGACGCAAAGAGCCTGATTCACACCGCGGGGACGCCGCCGATATCTATATCTTCCACGCTCTTCACGACTTTCGACGAACCACGACGACGGCATGGCCGATAGCGCGAGCTCACCGCCTAAGACAGGCTTTCTGCAGATACCGCAGACGCTGTCGCGACCACACTCTGATCTTGAGTTCGACTCCGGAGTCAATACGTCGGCCGCTTGGACCGTCTCCCTCGCGAGCCCTGAGGGTGGTGCACGGTTGAGCTTGAACAGCCTGTCAAGCACCGGTATCGACACCGGAAGAGGCGTGGCTATCGCAGAAGAAGAGGAACCGCTTTCAGTTCCGGCCCATGAACAGGATCAAGATGGCGCAGAAAGCGTCGCGGGAGACGACGCGTTTGACGACGAAGAGGGACGCCCCGCGCGTGCGCTCTACGGATTCCAGGGCAAGGCGGAGTTCAGGGAGATTACATCCGTGGAGGCAGGCGATGAACTCGAGATCATGCGCGAGGACGTCGGCGAGGGCTGGAGCCTCGCTCGGCTCGCGCAGGGGTCGCGAGAGGGAGAACAGGGTAGCGAGATGGGGCTCATCCCGCGCTCGTACTACATTGTGCGTATTCCTCCGGCGCTGTGTTGAGCATCTGTTGTGAATTTGACGATAGTTCACAGCGGAGTTCGCGCAGACAGAGGGTCTGCTCGTGCCGGCTACCCATTCGCGCATGCGGAGTCGCAGAGAGGCCTCAGGCGGCTCTATCACCCCGCGAGGTTCCCCGACGCGGGCTCCTGTAGCTTTGCCGATTGTCCCGCAAACCACGGGGGAATGGTTCCCGAGTTTCCGGCGTAGCCTTTTGGGCGGCAAGAGCCTGAACAGGTTCTCAAGTTTCGTAACGAGCGGTGCGGAGGAGTTCGTCCTTCAAGGCAGCTCGGAGGACACAACTACAAAAGAACCGGCTCCCGTCCACCGACACGAAAGGAGCGTCAGCGACGATGACTCTAGGCGGGAGAGCGTCCTTGGCCATATGGCCGAAGCAGAGCGACATTTTGTCGAGGCTGGGCCGTCATGGAAGACTAAAGTGCCGCCGTTCCGTGTTCTCATTCACTCACCGTCGAAGCGGACGTCTACTCTCTCGGGCGCATTTACCGTGTACACAGTAACAACCGCCTTTGACGCACTCTCGCACTCGCGGACCGCGTCAGATCCGGACAACGAGGACGAAGACGAAGATCAACCGCCCTCGCCCATGCGGATCACGGTGCACCGACGGTTCTCGCATTTTGTTGCGCTGCACACAGCGCTCACGAGGCTATTGCCTGGTATCGCTCTGCCTCCGCTTCCCGAAAAGCAGTATGCGGGTCGATTCAGCGACGACTTCGTCGAGGCGCGGCGAGGAGATCTCGAGCGGTACATCAATCGCGTAGCACGTCATCCCGTCGCGCGGTACGCCGAGGTGCTCACGTTCTTCCTGGGCTGCGAGAGTGACGCGGTGAGTGCATATGCGGGCAGGTAGACAACCGGGCTCTGCTGATACTACCGCAGGAATGGACAAAGCAGCTGCCATACTACCTTTCCCTGCCACCGAAGGGTCCCTCTTTCTACGCGAATGTCTACCACCCGGCGTTCAACGTCGACGCGGACGAGGCGCTGGAGGCGGTCGACCGGTTTGTCAACCACACCCGCGCCGTCGGAAAGGGCGTACAGAGCCTGCGCAACATCTTCGGCAAGGTGCGCGAGGCGCGCGTCGGTCGGTGCATTTCCCCGCGGCGATGGGAGCTGGTAGCTCACGGGCACAACAGAGATGTCGAAGGCGGAGCGGCTCTTATCCTACACGCTGCAATCCTTGATCACCTCGAAGTCGCTCGCTTCGGCGCCTACCACTGGACTCAGTGAAGACGACGATGAGGAACAAGAGCATAGCAACACCACGCAGGGCCACCTCAACGAGGATGGCGCATGGTGCTGGCGAGAGAACTGCGACAGTACGCACTATTGACCTTGGACTAGTGCTCTGAAACTCATGCGCGCTATACAGGTTGTCTAAAGCTCACGAAAGCGATGCAGAAAACGTCGGAGACCCTGCAGATTGTTGCTGACATTTACGATGATCATGTACACTCTCATCTCTTCCGCGGTGTGGACCCCGCTGATGTAGTTATGTGTTGGGGTCTATCAGGCACGGAGAACACAGCTCGCCACACACGAGACGCTCAAGAACGTCGCCCATCCATCCGCATTATATGCAGTGAGTGTTTCAGCAATATGCGCCCATACCACCATCATTGCTCACCGCATCCCTGGGCGCGCTATAGCCAGTTATTGATACCCACAAGTCTACCCTGTCAAGATACCAGGACTCGGTGCGCGAAGGGGCTGTAAGTGTACATGTATGTCGTGTGGCTCTGTGGCTGATCTAAACGACCGCGTCTAGGAGGACGAAGAGATGGCAGCGCGGTGTGAGACCGTGCTGAACATCACCATGGCGGAGATGGACACGTACCACGCGCAGAAAGTCGAAGACTTCCAGGAACTCGCCATAGAACATCTGGATGGAGAGATAGCTGTGTATGAGCAGGCGAGTTGCTATGTTTTGGCCTCCGTTTACACGACCGGCTCCCGCTGACATAGAGACTAGATCTTGACTCGACTGCGGGCCGCACGTCGGACCTTCGATTCACCGCAGTATGACGAGCTCGCACGGAGCCCACGGCAGCCATCGATATACGAGCGCGAGTTAGAGCATCCGCGAGTGAATCCGCCGCTGCCGCAGCCATGCCCACATGTCTTCGACTCAGCACCTATGCGCCCCGTCAGCGTTGCCATCCAGGAAGGTGTGGGCATGCTTCTCGGGGGAGGGGCAACCCCGGCGCGGGGTAGCGTCTTCGGGAAGTTTTGGTAGACGATGCAGCGATGACGAACTGTTCAGGGCGTCCGGCCTGCTCCGTGAAAGGTGACATACGGCTTAGACTCTGTATAAACCCGATGCGGTGTCAATATACCTCTACTGACCATATCAACGTTGGCGTCTCCGTGTCCTCTCGAGCGCGGGCTTGTTTTGAAGGTAAGTTAATATCTCAACTCAGCTTAACGACTTTCTAGCGCTCACTGCGACAGTCTTTGTGTGTGTTCAGTGTACAAGTAGCATCTCATCACGACTGCATGCATCCGCAGAGAACTCTGCCCGAGCCTGTGCGGCTATACTCCGACGGCTGTTCATTTGTCTGATACCACGAAGCCGCAGTGGTCTTCGAAGTGTTTGCCGTTTGCCTAGGTGCGTCCATTAAATACGAGGTCCCCTACAGAGACTATCGTCATAAGTCCTACTTCTGCCCTCCCATCCTCTTCTAACATGGGGACTCTCGACATGCCTACTTCTGACATTCAACTTCGCAAACTGGAAATTTACACCCAGTTGTATGTGCCTTGTTGTCTCGTCCTACTCAACGTCGATTACTCATAGGCGGATGTGTATATGTGCTGCACAGCACGGTTGCCGAGTACATCCACACATCGGCTACTGGTAAGCGGTGTTCGATTTTATGCTCAACGTGGTATACTAAAACAACATGATTTGATACAGCGTTGCTTATATACGACACCATTTTGACTGCAGGCCGTGAGGTAACCCACGTGTGGAGTGGGGGCCACCTCGGATTTTCCGTGCTTTACTGCGCCAACCGTTACGCGATGCTGCTGAATCGACTCATGTTGATCCTGGAGCGCCTGCGATGGACGGGGCAATCTCAGTTGGTACGTGGAACTCATTACGAACACGTTACAATGGCGCTCATGAATATCGCAGAGGCGCGTCTGGCCAGGTCTTGTGAAGGGTCGCATGCCCTAACGCTGTTGTTAGCTGTGCAGTCATTTTGTGGCTCGACGCACTCTTCCTCATAATCACTTGGGTCTCAATTGCAAGTGCGAATCATGTCCTCTCAGATCCCTTGTTGGCCAAACTGACAGAGGCGAATTGTCGCAGCTTTCTCCGCCCTGAGGGTGTACGCCTTGAGCGGAAAACGCGTCTGGCTTCTGGCGGTGGTGCTATGTTTTGGCATGGTATTGCCTGTCGCGGAATTTGTCCGTCTTCCAGCTCCAAATTCTTTCCACACCGTCGCTGATGCCGTGTGGTTCACAGTACCAACGAATCGAGCTGGACGTGTATCTATACAAGCCTCCTCTTCATGGCTGCGGAACCTCGAGTATCATACCACTCAGCACTTACCAAATGTGAGTGGTCTCGATATCTACAAACCTTCATGATAGCTCACCATTTCGATACAGACGTAAGTGTAGGTGTGACGTCGTAGTCCAACCGCTGAACTCATATCGTGCACGCGAACTAGTGGCCACTGGCGCAAGAGCGTCAGCTATCACTTCCGACATGTTGGTCTTGACTGTAACGCTGTATCAAACGTACAAAATATACGGCCCCGGCCGACAGGAAGGGGCTGTACCATTGAGCAAGTTCTTGTATCGAGACGGTGAGTGCTTTCCTGCGCTTCAGTTCCGGGTATTCTGAATGTTCACATATCGCGGTGGATATAGGATCCGTATACTTCGCGTATGTTTCTGACCCTCTTGTAAGGAAACGAGTGTGTCCACTGAGCACGAATGTAGTGTACTGTTCCTCTTCAATCTCTGTGATATCATCTTTCTCCAGCTAGCGGTGAGTCAAGCTTTCTTCGGTCGAACCCACGACTGCTTTACTAAATCAGGCCTGCTCTAGATCAACGGTGCTCTCGCGGATCTCGTAACAGTGTCAGTGGCCTGCTAGTGGCCTGACATAATATTGCTGTCAAGGTGCTGAACGATGTTTTTCAGGTTGAGTGTACTACTGGTAGCGAGATTCTTGTTACGACTCCGCGAGATAGGACAGCAGACCCAGAGAAGATCCAGCGTCCTTTTGTCCTCGGTCGAAGTCTCGCATTCGCAGTTCGCCTCTGTATCGTTGTTCGACAGCTTTGGATACTCTGTAGACGACGACGAAGAAGATAGGGACGACCCAGACGAAGGAGCCCTATGACCTCAGGTGCGCCCATGATACAGACCTCTGGCTTGACGCAGTCCACTGATGCTCGCGTTGATCACTAGTCGATAGCGGCGCGTAACACGCCATTGCTCCCATCTCGTATCTCTGTTCTTCTTGCTACCTCAATAATTTACCTTGCTTCATGCTAAACCCACCCGCCCGGAAATACACCCAATAGGCAGTGATAGAAGACGCGGAAGGCTCTGCTTCTAGCCAAAGGCTGTTCTCCAAAGGTGTGTGACGTGCGTCTGCAGCATTGCACCCTCGGCTGCGGACGTGTTCGCCCGGAAGACCGCCCCCAATCAGGACGTGTGGATTGAGCGTCCTTGCGAGCGTCGCGCGCACCGCTCCGACACTTCATAATAGAACCGCTGCGACATATCCATGAAAGTCGGGGGGCCTGCGTTGGACTACCGGACGTATTCATGGCAGCGTGGCAAGGCAACACTCCCGGGGTGACAGATGACTACAAGCCTGCACTTCCGCGCTTCTTTGGCAGGAGCGTCTAGTGGATCAAGCACCCACCCAAGAATCGAACCTGTTCGACACCGGCTGCAGCGAGAGACGGACAGACTGCAGACGTGTCACACTAGGCGGAACGAAGAGACATTGCAAACAGCTATTCCGCTCTCTATTAGACCGTGTGGGTTACTATATACTCTATACAAGCGAGACCGAGATCGACAGCGAAGCATTTCGACGGAGGGCGACAAACAGCGAAGGACACCTGACGAACTCAAGGGTTCCACATCTTGCTCTGCACGAACGCGAGCAGCTCCTTGTCTGACATCTTGCGCAGGTCGCTCGAGCGGTCCACGCCCTGCAAACAAAAACACCACACCACACGTCAGCACACGCCCACAGCAGCGCGAAGGGGATCTGGACGTACCGCTTTCTGCGCGGCGCGGATGACGCTGAGCGCGATCTGCGCGGAGATCTCGCGGATGCGCTCGACGCGCGGGTACAGCAGGTCGTACGCGCGCTCGTCCTCCGTGAGCGCGTTCGCGAGCCCGAGCGAGGACGCCTCGACCATCGAGTCCGTCACCGCGGCCGCGCGCGCGAGGATCGCGCCGAGCCCGAGGCCGGGGAAGATGTACATGTTGTTGCCTGCGCGCGGCGCCGTGAGCATTCCCGCGATAACGTGGGCGTGTGTGGGAAGGGCACTCACCCTGGCCGGGGTACAGCATGTGGCCGTTGTACTCCTCCTCGGGGAAGGGAGAGCCGGACGCGAAGAGGACTTGGCCCTTGGACCACTCGACGGCTTCGTGGAACTCGCACTCGGACAGGCGGACGGGGTTCGACAGGGGGAAGATGATCGGGCGCGGGTTGATAGCGGACATGGTCTCGATGACGGATTGGTCGAACGCGCCCTGCAACGCACAGTCAGACATATGGTCCCTGTGAGGAGAAGCGAATCTTACCTTCGTGGTGGAGAGGCCGAGAAGTGCGGTGGGCTGCACGTAGTTAATGATGTCCGTGAGGTTCGTCATGGGCGGGCCATTGTAGTCCTTGCGCGAGAAGTCTGCGGGCGAGTCAGTACACGCAGGCACAGGCACGTCCATATCGCGCCAACTCACACTTCTTGTGCTCCGCCATGGGGCCGCGGCCGTCGTAGATGAGGCCCTGCGAGTCGACGAGCCAGATCTTCTCGCGCGCCTGCTCGGTGGACAAGCCCTGGAGCTTGAAGAAGCTCATGAGCTGCATGCCGACACCCACACCCGCCGAGCCCGCGCCCAAGAACAGGATGCGGTGCTCCGCAAGCGGACGCCCAGAGGCAGCAGACGAGAGGCGTGCGGCGTTGAGGAACCCGGAGAGGACGACGGCGCCGGTGCCCTGGATGTCGTCGTTGAAGAGCGGGTAGCGGTCGCGGAACGCCTCGAGGTACGCGAACGCCTTGTCCGTCGCGAAGTCCTCGAACTGGATGAGCAGCTTCGGGAAGACGGCGGCCATCTCGGTCATAAACTCCTCCATGAAGCCCTCGAGCTCGGCCATCGGCGGGCGCCGCTGGCGCAGGCCGAGGTAGAGAGGGTCGTCGAGGAACTTCTGGTTGTCCGTGCCGAGGTCGAGGCAGATGGGTACGGTGGACTCCGGGCGGATACTGAGTATGTGTTAGTATGCGACAAAGGCAGCTAGATAGAGGTAGCTCACCCAGCACCCGCAACGTAGAGCGAAAGCTTGCCGATGGAGATGGGCATGCCGTTCACGCCCAGGTCGCCAAGACCGAGGATACGCGAACCTGTGGCAGTGTTAGCTACACACCAAGAACGACAAGTAGGTTTGCTGACCATCGGTCACGACGGAAATACGAGCATCGTCAGTTCGGTGCCAGTTCCGGAGGATCTTGCCGATGTTGCCCTTGTCCTTAATGGAGATGAACTGAAGGCATAGCTCAGGAAATGAGCGACACGATGCAAGGGAGCATGCGCACTAGACCCTCGGGCCTCCGGAAGATGTGGGAGTACTGCAGGCAGGCGTCGCCAACAGTAGGGGTATAGATAAGAGGAGTGAATTCCTGGAAACGCGAAGCGTCAGTGTGCAAGTACCACTACTAGTGACGAACCACGTACGGCCATGTTCGCCATGCAGAGGCGGTAGAACATCGCAGGGTCCGCATCCTTCAGCTGGGAGAGATAAATATACTTTTCGATGGGGGAGGTCTTGGAGCGGAGTTGCGCAATGCAACGGAGAGCGTGGATTTGGTCATCGTGAGCGGGAGGGAGGAGTCCGCGGGCGGGCTTCGGGGGCGCTAACGGAAACAGTGTTCAGTAACCTTGCGGCACGGATGCTATAGAGTAGCATGCTTACGTGCTGAGACCACCTTGAGCTTCTGGACGCCGTTGGACCAGACGGGGTGAAGGACTATAGTCATGTTGAGAGGGAAGAGGTCGTAAGTAAGAGATGAGCGGCCAAAGCGCGAGTCGGTGCGAAGGAGTCAACGGGAGCGTCGGGGTATTAATACGAGTACAGTGAGAGCGACCGGGGCCAGGAGAAATAGGATTCGTCTAGACAGAGAAGGCGGTGGTACGAGACGGAACGAGTTTGAGAGAAAGCAGGCTCGACGGGCCCGGAGGACTTTATAGCGGGCGCCCGTCGCAGCCACGGAGGCATGGGGTCTAGATGATCAGCACCTGCCCACAGCTCGTTGATGGACGGACGAATGATTTGTTGAGCAGCGGTCAGCTCCCGCGGGAGGCCGTCGCCGGCAACCACAGCACGTCTAAATTCGTCCGTCGTGACAGGCACGGGCGAGATAGTCAACTGTTGGCATCCGCTCCCAGTCCGCGATCTGCCAGCTGGATACCGCCGGGAGCGGCATGCGCAAGATTAAGCCAACTCTCACCTCGGGCGGCGGTCACTCTCACAGCGTTCATGCCGGTCGTATTCAAGGATGTGAAGACACGGAAGAGGATAAAAAGCTAGAAAAAGCCCTGAGCGGGCGTCGCACGACAAGTCTGGCACTCAGGAGTTCAGCGAGCGTAATATGTAGGGCAGCCATGACTCAACTCACCGTCGGACCATCCAGGCCAATCGACTGATTTCGTTCGCTCTTCCGACGGGACAGCCCGGAGAGGCGTTGGCGCGGGGGAGAACAGATCATCTGCGTCGCCGTCAGGGCATGCGGGGTCGCCGGCGGCGTCCGTCCAATCGCCTGTCGTTTCACTGGCGCACTGCTTTCTGCGTCTGCGCTCATCTGCGCAACGTTTGACGGAGATGGTCCGGCGAACAGCCATGAACTATGAATGCCTTCTTGTGCCATGGATGACCCAGACAGCGGCTGGGGTTGCCGGGAGGTACGTAGAAAACGGAGGGTGGTGAAAATACTTCGTTTGGCGGTTGTTTTGCCGGCTGGGATCAGGGTACCTGCGTTTTGCGTACCTGAATGCGCAAAGATGCCTGGACGCATGTGCAAAGGCCGGTAGGAGCAACATCCTCTTGTTGTGGGGAAATAGCAGCGGGGAGCGCAGTATGTGTAGATTATCAAGAGTTGACATCGTCGAAGTAGAAACAAGGATGCGATGCGGGCACGACACGGAAGATGAACAAGATATGCATTTGGGATCATGGTGGGGACAACATGAGGCGAGACTGGGGCAACTCGAGGGGTGATGTACCGGGAAGCCTCTTCGTGGCTGTCGAGATATGGAAGGATAGTTTGCGGAACACTCACATTCACGAGTGGGCCTGTACCAACGACTTCTGCTCCATCATGAGCCTCCGCATCTTGGTTCGAAGAGGATGACTTCGCGCGAGAGCGTATGTCCGAGGTGAAGGCTTAAGACTCAGAGAATTGCTGTATAGTCGATCGGGCATTCGCAAATGTGGACATCGCGGATTAAGGACTAGAGATTCTGAGCCTGTAGTAGCTGATTGGACTTCGACGGCCTGTATCTCGTAGACGGTGACGCAGCAGAGTCGTTTCGATAAGCTGTAGAAGGAACTCAGGAGAGCCAGGAGGGCAACACGGCAAAAGTGATGGTGAGATGTGGTCTGGGGAAAGTGGGGGGAGAAACAGTGTGGCCGGAGGAGGGTGGTGGTGGCGGCGAAGAAGGAAGATGCAGCGATGCCGGACTTCCCTCCTGCCGCGATTCAGACCCTCTCGCCTCTTCCGCTCATATCCGCCGTCGTCTCTCTACCCTCTCCATCTCGATCTCTCTCTGCAAGCACCGTCGGAACAACACCCGTCGACGAAAGCGCAGTCGCCTGGCCGAGATGACCGTCGAGTCTAACCGCTTGCTGCCAGTCAGCATGTATTGTAACTCGGCCGCTGCGACACGCTGATATACATGGACGCACACATTGGCTCAGGGTCAACAGCGTGAGGACTTTTACGACGTTCCGAACGTCCGCAGCAGACGAAAGCGGGTCGTGGCACTGCACGCGATCGCTTTCTCACCAGACACCCCGGATGTGGGAGCCCAAATCTCACTCCCCTATCCGCGCTCCTTTCCGCGTCTTATTATCATGGGCCCCGCGCCTTGACTACCTGCTCCCATCCCCCCACGCTCTCCAAGATGTCTTCGCCATCGGCATCTGCTCCTGCGTCGACGTCGAGCGCGCCGGCGTCGGGCTTCTCGTCGCTCTTCCAGTCCGCAGGCGGGCCGCCCCTCATCCTCGTGTGCATCGCTGCAGGGCTCCTGTTCGGCGCCTTCGTGGGCATGTTCCTCATGAAGCGCCTCCGGCCGACCGTGGTCCTCCAGAGAGCAGGCGGAGCGGGGCTTGGTGGAGAGGCGAAGCTGGGCGAGAAGCCGCGGTTGTACGACATCTACGTCGCGCCACTGGGAGATGGCAGCGAGGAGAACCCATGGGCCCACATATCCGTACGTCCATTCCGCGATCGCTTGTGTAGTACGATTCCTCACCGTCGGGTGCTCTATGTTATTCGTTGCATAGCCCTTTGCTGCCCTGTATCTCCCGTCGTCCGACGCCGATGTCAAGACCCCTCAGCCACCTCCGCCATCTCCCAGCGCACTGTCCCGCGTGACTGCCCGCCTTCACTGGAGTGCACGGCCTAGCAAGGGCCATGTTCCACCACCGCCTGCCCCTGAGCTGCGCTCCCTGCAGCTCGCGGTCACGGTTTCCATGCCGAACCCTGCCCTCCATGCACCGAAAGACGTGGACATTACGGACGACTACGCTCACGACGACCCCATGCCGGACTGCTGCATAGGCACAGCCGTCCTGCCATATAGGCTGGACTCGGTATAATGACTCTGACGCCCCTTCATTGGAGAGTGAGTCCGTATCGCCCCGAGCTTGTGATTTCAATCTGACGAGGTGCGGCTTGGCAGTGCCCCCTAGTTCTTGCATTGGCGCATAACATGCACGGACTGACCTTGATGACCCGACCCCTCTTGTTCCTGGATGTATCAATATTGCTACCCTCCTAATCTGCACGTTCCCGTTCCGCTTACTAGCCCCTGGCTGTACGATGCAGCACTGCTGCCTTTCCGCCAACACAACAACTCCGCAAAACGGGCACACAGATGGACGACGTCTGCGTCGGTAAGACCCCGCCGTCCACAGGGGAAACCCCACACTACGACTCCGTCCAAAGCTTACCCTTCCCGATCTGTTCGAAAAGCTGTTCGAGACGATGACCCATCAGGCATGCTATATGCACCGCATCCAGGCCTTAGCTCGCCTCCCCGGTAGGCCTTCCCTGATACTGCAGCGATGTTCCCACATAAAAGCTAACTGAATTCCGATTCCGCACTCCGCCACAGCAAAACATGACTGTGGGTGCTTTCGTGTGCGTCATGCACAGCGACTTCGCACGCTCGCGGGGCGGGGTGCCACGGGCCTGTCAGCTTGCCTGCGTTTGCGCTGCGGTCGTCGGGCGTGAGCCGATAGGCTGTGAGGCCCGTACGGGTATGTCATAACACCCAGGTGAGTACTTAAGCATCAGTACGCAGAGCTATGTTCGTGCGCTTACCCGCCGACGCCCACTAGGTTAGGTACTCTATAAGCGCGTCCTGTGCGCATAGAGTTCGCACAGGCTTAGACTCGGCTTGCTATTTGCACCAAGCCGACACGGTCTGCCCTGACCAGCATCCAGGAATCATCTTCCGATGCTTGCGCGCAGTTGCAGCTATATATATATATATATGGTCGTGTCGTGCCATATCGTGGTGCTGCCATAGTCTATTCCAAGTCGACATAGTATTCATTCAAGAGTGTAATGCACCCCTGCACACATCCTGCGCCGTTTCTCGCTGACGGCGTTCTCGGCCGCTCCGATCGAGCATCCATCCGCTTCTCTCCTCCCGAGAACACCATCAGGGTGCGCCTTTTCGCTGCCTATGTGCGCCATCTTCCGAAACCTGACTTTGCCCCGCAGCAGCCTGATTATCAGCGACTCTAGAAGACGTCCCTCTAGTCGACGTGGCTTCCCACACGGGTCCACAAGTGTCATGTGCCACGCTTCGGGATTTGCACCACTTCGCTATCGCATTCGCCGCGTTCATTTCGGGATTTGTGTGTATCCTTGCGCATGTAGCTGCCCCGCTATCGCTCACAGGCGGCCTCGCTTGAGAGGCGACGACCTACAAGTCGGACAGGTTGCGTATGGTCGTTGGACGTCTCGGGTAGGCACCGCCAAGTATCCGACGCTATACTCCTTCAGGCCCATGGCGAGTCGGATCATCTGGCCTGATTTACGTCCACCTCATCTCCTGTTGCGTACTTAAAACGCGCCATAGGCTTGACGGCTTCTTCACCGAGTCCACCGCAATGGTTGATATCTCTTCTCCAGCCACTCCTCCTCATGCCGCCGCCGATCCCGTCGAGGATGTTCCGGCCGACTTTCACCTCGACTACGTTTCTGCCAAAACAGAGACTGACGACGCTACCGGTTCATCACATGGTAGGCGTCGCTATGCGCGGAAGATGGGCGAGTCCGAGCTCGCGTACTACCTTCCTTCGCGCCAGAACGGAGTGAACGATATGTGCGTGGCTCCTCACAACATGCGACTCGATGTGCCGCGCTGACCGCCTGTTCGTACAGGTACTTGCATCTCGGCTTCAAAGCGTCCGCGCATATCGTCCAGCGCTCTCGAGTGTGCACAGTGTGGGCCATTTTGCGTATCCGCCATCCGATGCTCTGCGCGCGCGTGGAGATGCGTGATTATGATGATGTAGGGTTCATGTGTGTTACGACTCTGTTTTGTTCCGCCAGCCACTTTCTGACTCAAACTGCACCTTACAGCTATGACGCTCCTACATCGCCGGTCGACGCCTACCATGACGCAGATACTCGCCTAGAATACCGCACACAGTCACAGGAAGGTATGCTCCCGCACTTCTTTGGCATTTTTCACATCTCTCATTGCTTGCGTTTTCTTAGAACTAATCAATGCTCACCTGAACGGACCGCGGACTCTCTCAGATTCTAGGTTGTCATACCTCACCATCTCTGAGCCCCCGACCTCGTCAAGCCTTATGCTTACGCCGCCTCGTACCCCATCACCCATCAACCGTATGCTCGACCATAAACATGTGCCTAAACACAACAACGAGGCAGAGCCCTGGCGGCAGTACGAGTTCCTACTATGCACTACCCACTTCGTCGGCGACGGTATGGCGCTGCATCAATTTGGGAACGACTTCTTCACCCTCCTCGCTGGTGGAAGGTCTGACGACGAGCTCAAAGAACTCTTACGTGAAGAGTGGCATGTCCGATGGCGTGTTCCTCCCGAAACGGTGAGCATCTCCTTTTGCCTGCCGGAGCGTCTCGTCATTCATAGCACTGCTGTTGGGACCGCAGTGCGTTCTCCCGTCTTCACTCGAAGACAACATACCACTTCCTCCCCTCAAGTTACGCCGCACCGCCGCGCAAGTCGACTTCCAGCTCTCGCAGCAGCGACTCGTCGGTGGACAAGTCTTCCCCCGACGAGCGCACCCCGAGCGACACAGCATCATCCCCACCGCCAGCTTCACCGAAGACCGCACGAAGGCGATCCTGCAGAACTGCAAGGCCCACGGCGTCTCCATCTCCGCCGCGCTCTTCGCCATCTGCAACCTCGCGTGGGCGCGCATGGGCGCGGGCGGAGACAAGACCGCGCCCACGCTCATGTACTCTGCGCTGAACCTCCGCCCATACTTCTCGCCCTCGCGCGCGCGCCCCGCGCCGTGGGACTCGTACTGGTACCTGGCGCTCGGGTATTTCCACGTCGTGCTCCCGAGCTTCCTTCCATCCGATCCCGCGCTGGTGGCGCGAACGTTCTGGCTGCGTGCGCGTCAGGCGAAGGAGCAGAGCACTCGCGCTGCGCGGAGCCCGCTTGCGGCCTCTCGGACGCACGAGATGGCCCGGGAACGCGCAGATCGTGCGCGTGCATGGGCGAAGGAGGATCGCGCTCGCGAGAAGGGTACTTGGATGGCCTCCTGCCCTAGCACCCGCCAAAGCTCGGACGTGGACTCGCCTCCGAAGGTGTCTGTGCTTCCGGAACGCGCAAAAGCATCGTCGGCAGCCTTCATGGGCCTCTCGATGCTGGGCAACCTGGACGGCATCTACAATCATGCTGCGTTCCCTGAAGCCGGGGTCCATACGCTCACGACGGGCTCGCGGCAGCGTCATGGTGCGATGCTTCTCTTGGCGTACACGTTCAAGGGCCGATTGCGCATCATCCTGGGATACGACAGCAATGGCTTTGAAGGTGACGTTGTGGATCGCTTCTGGAAGGAGGCTCTGGGGTGTGTCGATGAGTTCCTGGGGTGATACGGTGAAGTCAGGCGTGGAGTGGCTTCGGTAGTTCAGCTCTATCGTACCACCTTCTCTTATCGGGAGAGGTCTCTTCATGTGTTCGTATGTATGTCCTTGCTCTGGGGACAGTCACCCGAGTGCAAAGGTGTGTGGCATTTCTTGACCGAGACCTGTTTCCGCCCTGACGCTGTCTCTGCAGGAGCCTTGTCTATGTAGCGCGGCATAATATACTTCGAGCGCAACCACAAGGGCTTGCGATGTGTGCGCTTCTGCCTTCAGCCTGCAACGTCACCATTCGATCTGTCCCTTGCTTCATCGGACGACGTAAGCGCATTTCTTCTCTCAAACTCCTATCAGGCTGAGCGCGTAGCGAGCAGAAAACTTCTTCCCGCTATACGCCGTTCAACAGTGTGGTCCGCACGTTGCCCTCAGCACCAAGCCCACTAGTATGGCCTTGAACAAGAGCTGGCTGTGACTGGCATGGATGTACTCCTACGTCGCCAGCGAGCAAAGCTCGAGCTGACTTCCTCAAGGACACGGATACCATGTGCGTGGTATGCTCTTCGGTTCAGACCCTGCGGCTCTGAGTTCATTCTCCCCGTCAGCTGACGTTTCGCTGTCAAGGCTTCCCCCAAAACTTCCATGAATGCCGTAACCTTTAGGTTCACCTGCGGGTCACGTCTTATGCTCCGGTAGATATAAAGGCCAGCCATGAGCTCTCTGAGGGGTTTACCAGACAGTGCAAGGATACGCCCTCGGGGTGCGCTCGTGAAGATGGTCTTCCGACTCCAGCTCGCCTCACTTTCAGACGAAGATCACGCTCTGCTTCTTATAGTTGCGCTCGGATTGGTAGGTCCCTGCCATCGTCCCCTCAAAGCGCGAGTCGTTCTCAAAGCTGACGGCTCGCAGGTAGCACATCAAGCCTTCAAGAGACACGAGACGTTTTCCATCTCGTTCCATCTCTCTCTGTTACTGCTTCCTCCCGCCTTCGGGGCGACTCTGCTTGTCCCGACGTTCGCACCTCTCAACGCGATCCTCACCTCTTTCACATTATATATATGCGCTCTCGTATCTTCAACGCTGGCGTATCGCGCCTCGCCGTATCATCCCCTGGCTCGGTATCCTGGCCCAATCGTATATCGCCTAACAAAGTTTTACATGGCGCGCGTCGGATTCGGAGGGCACCAATATCTCCATGTCAAGAGTCTCCACGACCGGTACGGCGATATCGTCAGGATAGGTATGGAGTGGCTAGTGATAAATCGCATGTCTGCCTGGCTAATTATTGGTCTGTCTTACATGCAGGCCCAAATGAGCTGTCATTGCGGGACCCGTCCCTCTTGAATCCCGTATATGGCACCTCTGGTCTCCCGCATGGCCCTCGTACGTCTCGTCCCACGTGCACTTTGCGGCGTACGTTCATAGCTGAACCATGATATGTATTCACAGTATTCGTGGGGCGCCTTCTGACGTCCACAAATCTCCCTCTCGTCGGTATCATGGATACCGAGGAACATCTCGAACGGCGGAAGCCATGGGCTCGCGCCTTTACTCCCGCCGCACTGAAAGAATACCAACCTATGGTCGCAGCACGTGCCAGGCAGCTCGTTGAGGCTCTCGGTAAGCAGGCCGGCGAGGTCGACATCGCGAAGTGGGTCAATTACTTTAGGTGAGTTAAACTTTCATCTTCGGTACCGAACGTCTCGAGCTTCATCCCGTCTTGTGCCCTTCTAGTTATGACATGATGTCCGACATGGCGTAAGTCATTGGTATCTTGTGGACTCGATTATCGTCTGAATGACTGTTACAAATCCAGGTTCGGCGGAGGCTCAGAGCTACTTAGAGATGGCGACGTCAACAACGTCTGGCACATACTCGATCACAGCTTTCCGTGCGTACAAATCTCATTCCGTCGATCTCAGCCGGCCACGTATCGTTCACGGGTATTGATAAGTGCTTGTAATGTAGAGCTGCTACGTTCACGAGCCATGTTCCCTGGCTCGGGCCATACTTGGGTCGCGTTCCATCCATCGCTGCTGCTCAAGCACAGTTGACGGTATACAGCCATAAACTGGCCTTGGCCCGCATAAAGAGGGGTTCTGACCACAAGGACATCTTCCACTACCTGGTAAGCGGCACCTTGGGATGTCGTACCTCCATTCATGAGCCATACTGCCAGAGTGAGGAGGACCGGCCCAATAATCCGCAGCTCCCGCTCTCACGGCTGATCGATGACGGGGTGCTCGCTATCGTTGCTGGGGCGGACACGACCTCTAGCGCACTGACGAGCATATTCTACTGCTTGCTCACGCACCCGGACGCGTGTCAGAAGCTGCAAGCGGAGATCGATCAGTTCTACCCGCCTGGCGAGGACCCTGGCGATATCAAGCACCACCTTGACATGCACTACCTGACAGCCGTCATGTGAGTCTCCGTCACTCCCATGCGTTCCTTTCCTAACGGAAGAAACGCCAACAGTAACGAAGGCATGCGCGTATGGCCGCCCGTGCCTAGCGGTGTGCAGCGTCTCGTTCCCCACAACAGTGGAGGCGTCACCTTCGGATCGACGTACGTCTCGCGCCCACCCGGTCCTTCCGCGCCCACACTCATACACTGTGTCCCTTCTCGCAGCTTCATACCCGCCGGCACCGCCGTCTCCCTACACACGTACTCAATCTTCCACGACTCGCGCAACTTCTCCCCACGCCCGTCCGACTTCTGGCCCGAGCGCTGGCTGCTCGCCGCCGGGCGCATGTCGCGCGCTGACGCCGGGCTCGCCGCGGACGCGCCGTTCGCGCACAACGACGCCGCGTTCACGCCGTTCTCGCACGGGCCGATGAACTGCGTAGGGAAGAACCTCGCGATGCAGGAGATGCGCGTCGTGCTGTGCGCGTTGCTGCAGAAGTACGAGCTGCGGCCGGGCGCGGGGTGGGACCCGCGTTCGTACAAGGATGGGTACAGAGATTTCTTTGTGACGACGCGCCCGCCCGTGCCCGTGCTCCTGCGTACGCGCCGTTGACGGGGAAGCGTTTTGAATGAACAGACAATTATGATCCATATCTTTGTTTTTCAACGACCACGCAGAACTGTCTAAGCTGCGGGTTGCTTCGCGTTCACGGTTCTCCGCGTCGTAGCTTCAGAGGATACGAATTGAGCTAACTCGGTTAATCGGCACATCTAGAGGGCCAAACATCGACTTCAAGAGCGGACTGACATTTGCATCGGCAGATACGTCTGGGGATGTTAAAGTATGAAATGAACGAATATCCGATCGTTAAGCCCGTTCCTCTACAATACTTATTATCCATGGTCACTGAGCGGTTTGTTCTTAGGCCCGTATACGGTTTGATTTCTCTGCGTCTTTGCCATATATCATTTTGAAGCGTCTATATATGGTACGCAGCAGACTCGCCGAAGTTCTGATCCGATTAGGGACTCTCGAGCCCGACCGCGAACTTCACCCTTAGCTCTCGAGCTTACTATCACCGGTACGTTTCATAAAATGCCATGCCTAGACGAGAATGCGATCAGAGCGCTGAGCCGCTGACGGCCAGCGTAGCGTTTATACTAAGGAGTTCACTTGTTATATCATCCATTGGGGCGTCTGGTAGGCAGGTGAGCACCCCGACCCTGTGAGCAGCATGGTTGATCGGTGACTTGTCTAGTGACCATGTCCTTTTTTGTACATTCATAGTACCCTTGGAGGCGATGGAGCGTGCGGGTCGCGATGTCGCCTGTCTCGATCTCCCGGCCATCTCATGGAACTTCACCGACACATGCCAGATCATAGGGTCTTGACTAACTTCCCCAACAGTTTATTTGCCAGCTGTTCCGTCGAGTCATCCTTGTGCAACCATAGCTAGTATTCGACTGGACAAAACTGGTGTGAGATTGAACACGTGAACCCCGGCGAGCAACCGTTCCGATGTCAACTTTTGAACTTCTCGTGCGCTCACAAGCTCGCCTCAGCCGCCCTCGTTGAGGTATAAATGCAGACGGGCTCAGAGCAAGCAGGCAGCCCACACGCAAAGCAGTCGAACACCCACTAGCTTCCCCAATCGCCACCCCAGCATGCTCAATATTTCCAAGCTCTTCGCTCTAGCGGTCTTTGCGGTGACAGCGGCGGTCGCTATACCGGCCACGGTGAGTGGTATGGTACTCTTCACATGTGCCATGCGAGCTCATGACTCTCACATCTATAGACGGTCACGGAGGCACAAGAAGTGGACGTGAGTAGCACTCTTCTGGTTACAAATTCGTAGTTGTTGACTCATCGGCTCCCGGTGTTTGTCGCTCTCTCTATGTGCCAAAAGCCTGCCTCCTACCTCGTCAGCCACGAGGCCATGATGCACTGGCTCGCCACGACCGACGCCGAGCTCACCTTCATCGGCGAACCGCCCAACCCCCTCACGCCGCGCGCCGCGCAGAACACCATGGTCACGTACTGCTCTTCCCGCACCCAGAACGTCTGCGGCGGACATTGCACGGTGTACAACGGCGGCGCGGCATGCCTGAACGCGCCGAAGACGAAGTGCCTTAGCGCGACGAAAAATGTTGGCTTCTGCGACCGCGGCGGGTGCGGCGGCAGTTGCAACCAGCTCTCCACCTGCGGCACCCGCCTGGACAACGGCTTCTGCTTCACGCCGGGCACAGCCTCGATTATTGTCTCGCCTGCTTGAGCGGAAAGTCGTGAGTACTACATCTCCGCTTACGAACTCTCTCGGGCTCATCACATACTAGCTATGTGCCAGTACGTCGTCAACTAGGAATGTCAGTCATATAGGCGAGGGACAAAGAAGCCATAGTTACGGGTTTGGCGCTTATGTGCTTTAAATGGAGGGCTCTGTGGAACTAGCGTGGGCGGATGTGCCGGGAGATTGAGGTGTATACGCGTATGACACGGAGTGTATGATTCGATTGAGAATCGGTTTGGCGACACTCGCCCATTTCTTCGTAGAAACTGGCGTGAAGATCAAGACGTTCAAATTCTCCATCCAAATGCAGATCAACACAGTGCAGAACCCTACAAACAGTCTGGCGTACTTCAGATATCTCGTAAGTTATATGAGGACAATACTAGGTGGAATGCTCTGAGTGTAATCCCGAATGCGCGGCCGGCGCCCGTAATCGTCTCCCACTCCTGTGAGCGTACGCCTTCTCCTGTGTTCGTACCTGCAAGAACCATTTATAGTAAAATGCCACTTCCCTCCACGCTGCCTCCTCGGTGGGGTCCCACATACTCTCGAGATGCGGAAATGCAAGCGAGAGGAACGACGCAATCGCGGATCTGCGGAATCCGAGCACGGAACCCCGGACATCGAGCTCTCGCAGCGCAGACACCGCGGGCCCCGAGAGGTGCACGGGAGGGACGGGCGCGAGCGCATAATAGTCGCAGGTAGGCGTCCAGTGCCAGTCGACCACGATCGCGAGTTTGGTCAAGCGAGGACAGCGACGCGCGAGGTGGAGGAGCCCCCAGGGCGTCACGTACGGGAAGTCATCGTCCTCCGGCGAGCGCTTGTAGTCTGACTCGGGCAAATCATCCATGTCCCACCCGACGGCGAGCTCGACGAGGTCAGGCCAAGATAGCGACATAGTTTCGAGCGTGGCGTCGTCAAGGCTGAATTTGCATTTTCCCTCGATGACGAGACGTTGGACGGCGGGCAGGGCGAAGAGCGGTGTGATATGCTCGGGCGAGTATATTTGGGACCCGGTGTTTCTATCCGCAGTTCCAGGCCTGTTTTTGATGTACCCGTCCGGTTTGATGAATATGTCTACGAGCGAGTGAGCGGACGGAAGTTCGCTGATCGCAGCGCAGAGCGCTTCGAGGAGGGGCGGAAGAAGAAGCGGGTCGATTCCGCCGTGGACGGATAACCCGCGCAGAGACGTGGAGGACAGGACCCGCAGGAAGAGCGTGCACCACTCGAAGCTGATCTGGTACAGAGTGAGCTGTACGAGGGCGGGAAAGAAGTCGACGCCTCCTTCGTGAGGCAGCGAATCCCATGAATACTCGGCTGGATCGACGTAGAGTGTCAAGTACTCCAAACAGGGAACGCGGCCGAGAGCTACAAGAGCATCTGGTGCGACGCACACGGAGCGGCTGCTAAAGCTGGACAGACGGTGGAAGAGGCCAATCTCCGGGCCGTAAAGCGAGCTGGTTGCATCATAGTGCCAGCGGATGCGATTGTCTGGTTGAGCCTCGATGCTGAGGTCCTTCAGCGAGAGAGCGGCCACGTTTTCCAGGCTGCGGATGAGCTGAGTGGCGCGCGAGGGATAGTGTTCCGGGTCGGGGCAGCAGATTTCTACCTTTTGCAGGCGGGGCCCGAAGAGCATGTCGGCGTATTGGATAGGTATTTGGTGGTCCTCGGTATCCAGGCGCCCTTCCCATTCTTTGTGATGAATGGACTGCAGATTGGGGAAGAGGGGTCTCGGCGCGAAAGCTGAGAGGAAATCCCAGACCCCGAAAGGGATTCGATGAGACGTAGACAGGATGTATCCGTGTTCGACACAGGGCAGACGCTCGCCGTTCAGAGTCACTTGAGGAAATATGCGACTCCCGAGCTTTTTGACGCGCCGGGAGTATGAGAAGAAACGCACGAAGTCTTGTTGCACCGGGGCTCGTAAGAACACCTATACATGCCAGACCTTGTAAGTGTGTGTTGGTGTACGGGTGATATGGTACGTACAAACTGGGATCCTAAACGCTGTATGAGAAATCCTTCACTATGTTTTCGCTCGTATTTGAACGGGATTGCGACACAAAGGTCCTCGGGCAACGTACACAGCAGTGGGGAAAGCGAATGAATTGTGTGCCAGAGCGTGTTTAAGGCGGGGTCGCTGAGCGAACGGCATGCAAGAGCCACGGCGACAAGATCATGGCGTATGGAACAATTGGAAGTGTAGTGTTGATCATAGCACAGAGACCCAGACATATGTCGACATATCCTGAGGATGACCGCTGGAGGTAGGGAACAGATGGTAGGCGAACCAGACATGATTGCCTCTATGGAGCTCGGGAATGCACGGTGGATGGTGGTAGGGCGACGAGTGCGGGCTCCCACGTCTTTGGCTCGGGTACATGTGGCAGAAGAGCGCTCATGTACTGTCGTAGGTGGATAGGGGGTTTCTATTTCAAAAGTTGGATTCAGGGAAGCTCGGGAGAGCCACGCGTCGCACCTACAAAGGTGTCACTTGCACTTACCGTCACTGATCCAGGGTTGACGAGCGTGTGGGGGTGCGATGGGCCAGTACGAGGAACCCGGCTAATTACGAGCATTGACGCATAATACAGCTAGCAGAAGGGAGACAATTTGCAGCAGAGGATGACGGTAGTATACTGGCCAACTTTCGAAGCGCTTTCCGATGAGTCCCACACAGGCGGCTATGTGGGTATCCCACTTAAGGCGCCTGAATTTGGGCGTCTTTCCTGCTTGGTTTCTGCCGCCATATACCCAAAATCATTTGCCAGGCTGCAGACAACGCACATCGCTCTGCCGTGCGCGATGATAGCGCAATCGTAGTACGTATGGTGTCGTGCAACAGGTGGGACACGCGGTCGTACGCGGATGGTCACAATCGCTACTCCGTACGGCCCTTACTACAAAGTATTATGCCGGTGATACTGTGAGTGTGTGGGCCTTGGTTCGGGGTACACACTTTCTGACTATACACTCAGGGGACACGCAAGAAGAGGTCTGGACCGGCCATTCATTGGCAGCTGGCTCGGAATAGGCACCATCGCGGCCTGAGACGACCATTCGAATATTCAGGACCAATCGTATAAGTACAAGTGAATATCAGTGCCGAAAGCGAGTTTGTTACGCCCTGGAAGCTCACTACTTTCGCTTAGGTCTACTCGGATAACGTTGAAGCCCGACTGTTCACTGAAATAATGCTCACATCATCTGTGTATCAGGTTACGAGTGCTCGAGTCTTGGATGCAATTCCTCTCACATACTTCTATTTCAGTGAATATTTATTTACTCAAATTTTGCAACGCTTCCGGGTGCGGCCATCGATTTATGGGAGCCAAACCGCCGATACCTGATTCTGTTTGCCTATGACCACTCTGAGCCAGCGTAATCAACGACGAACTCGGGCTACAAGAGTGTTCCGCGCTCTTCCACGAAGCTGATACTCAAGTCCAGCTCTCGACATCTAGCGTGATCGAACCGTCGTGAACGACACAACGTGCGACGGGAACTCCAACTCTACCTACTCAGTCATGTGGTCAACTCAGACAGGATATAGGTGTGCCTTAATCCTCGACTTCGACCCATAGTATCAAGGCCCGTTGCTGGGGACGTATAAAAGCCATGTCGACTGTGTCAAAGTGGAAGTTGAGTACCAGCACTTCGCAGTCTTAGTGGCACACCGTGTTATCAGTATGCAGTTTTTTGCGTCCCTCACCTCCCTCACCTCCCTCGCCACCCTCGCCACCCTCGCCAGGTTTGTCCTCGCCTCGCCGCCACCGTATCCTCAGCTATGGGCGGCGCCACTTCCGACTCCGTGAGTATCAGTCCGATCACTTTTATACGTCAAAGTTCAGACATCGATTTAACCTGCGACTTTGCAGATCGTTTACAGGGGTCATCCCGTCCTTCATCTCCTCAGCTACGCCGAAGTGATGCATTGGCGAGCTCATAAACCCCCTCGCGGCGCGCGCGGCGCAGAACACCATCGTCACCTTTTGCTCCGATCATAGCCAGAACGTCTGCGGCGAGCCGTGCACGATGTACAACGGCGGCGCCTCGTGGCCGCCCGCCCCGAACATGAACTGCCTCTCCGCAACGAACAACGTCGCATTCTGCAGCGGCAACGCATGCAACGATGCGTGCAAACAGCTCTCGAGCTGCGGAACGTGGATAGACAATGGGTTATGCTTCACGCGGAACACGAACTCGATTATCGTGTCGCCTGCTCGAGCGAGACCCTAATCTGGCGAGTACTTTGCTGCTCTGCTGATTGAATGTTGCTAGCTTATTGCGGCGATATACAGCACAGCACATCGTTGGTGTCCACAAGTGATCTGGGAGGGCCAACCTCGTGCAAAGGCAGTGGAAAAGGTACATATATGCGCTGGAGGAAGTCGAGCGGCCCCTTATCTCTCGGCAGAGGGTGTACCAGACTGATTGAAGATCTAGTGAAGATCTAGTGACTTGCTGAATCGATGTTTTGTTATATGCAATATCCTCGCACATGGAGAGTCCGTCATGCGGAAAAGATGTCAAACTATCCATAGACTCCTCTGTTGTAGCCGTTGAACCCATTGCGATAGTAATCAAACCAAAAATATGTTGTACAGTAAGTAGTCAAAGGATCGGACATGGATATGGGTATCGTTGAGACTTGGATTCGAGGGAAGCATTCGCACTTCAGCGCTTCAGCAACTATGAGCCTATACAATATGGGTGAGACGAGGTAAGGTTGAGAAAGAAGGCGCCTTGTGTCCGTATACAGCAGACCGTAGACGAGTCGAGGTGTCTTCAGGAGCCAATGAGAAGGTATACTCTTGTAGCCGTGCACGAAGTGAGCCGATGTGAACAAGATTTGGAAGAGCGAGGCGAGTCGAGTAACGTTGTAGGGTCGTACCATGCATAGATCTAAGGACTAGGTCGACGCCGAAGCATGCGGCGTGTTCATGAGGACCTTAGCACTGCGCCACTCCGGAGGCGCCGATGTGCCTGGGGGAACGAAGCGGCGGCGGCAGAGCGCCGAGTTCAATGGAGGGTGAAGATTTCGTACTGCATCGCAGACGCTCAGGTGGGCGGTTTGTCATAGCCCCCGGACGTATGCCCAAAGTCGAAGTAGGCAGGGTATTCGGGATGTAATACGTCGGAAGAGGGGGAGGCGATCTGGGAGAGCAGTGCGTCCACGCCCTCAAACCGGTCGGAATCGGGGTACCATGCCGGGAAGCAGCTGGCAGCTTGAAGAAACCCAGGCTCAGCTACATCTCATTGTCAGTATACAATTTAGTCGCAAGCTGGAAAATCGACTCGCCGTTGACCTGCTGGTACTGAATTTGTGTGGTGCCGGAAGGCTCACCAGGAGATTGTTGGGGGGCGTGTACCGCGGGATCCTGTGCAGCTCGGGGTGCGCGAGCCTTGCGGGGGAGCTGCTTGCGTGGGACACATGGAAGGTGCATCCGCTTGCAGCGCGGACACGGTCGCTGGCCTCCGCATCGCTTCCGAGCCTGGTAGCAGCTCTCGCACTGAGCGACCACAGTGATCAGCGGCGTGACGCATGGATCCTAAGGGAAACGACAGCTTACAGCAGCCTGACGGGCGCGTCTGCTTGTGTTAGTCAAGTGGGAAATCGTGCGCTGACCCTCTGACGCCACCGAGGCATCCGTCGTCTGGACAGTGGATGCGGGGGATACTACCGCCGGGAACAGCGAGGAAACCTCGGGATGTACATCGCTGGCCTCTTGCACGACCTCCTCCTGTGGAGCGTTACCCGACCTCTCGCTACGTGTGAAGTGTGTTGCGGGATCATGGAAGGACGGTAGTTGGCCTTGCTCAATCGCATCTAGATGCTCATTGCGGTCAGGTAATAGTCGCAGAAGAAATGTGCAGGTATACACGCACAGAGTAGTGTAGATTCCGACAGGATGTACATGCGTTCCTGGGACGGATTGAGCATGGTGCATATGTTGGGGCTCGCAACGAAGGGAGGCAAACTTCTCGCCGGTAGCGGCATCGTAGGGATCTGAAGGAAGAAGAGTGCCTGTGAGGAGAACAGAGCTACGAAGAGATCTTACTTATAGTGTGAGGACAAGCAGAACGCGCAGCCGGGAACAACATGATGACCGCAGTTCATACCGACCAATTACTATTAGAGAGTGCTCAGGCCAGGGGGTCTAAGGGTTCTTGAAAAATTCGGAGGCGATCGCACTTCGCCGACTAGGCAGCACAAGACCCCGACTGAAGCTATGCAAGACACTACCCATGGTCAACTCCCGCGGTGTTCGTCGATGACAGCATTGATGTTACGACGATTGTCGCTGACGCGCATCGTGGTGGACGCCCCCGTGGGAGAGACCTGGAAAGGAAAATTTCAACACTATGATGCAGCACAATGTATATGGCAGATCGCGGGGAAGGACACGAGACTCGTAAGTGGCAGGAGCCGCACCCACGAAGCCGATTGGTTGGTGAAAATTTTCCTGGGCCGGCGGCTCACCCCGAAAAAAAATGGTTCTGTTGGGTCGTTGGCCGCGGCAGCGCGGCGGCAGGTCCGCGCGACAGCGTCAAGGACCTTGGAGCCACATAGCACGCAACGTCACCGGTGCTAGCCAACCTACAGCACTCGGGCTATGCGAGTGGGTAGTAGCTCAAGTGACTAAACCCGCCTGAACACTCGATGCCCGACATGCCTGTGATGTTTCTGCACAATCACAGCCAGACACAGTGGCAAGTATTTGTGTGTGATACTCTTATTCCATACACCGTCACTGCGGCTCATAACCGTGACGTGTGCTCGATGCATTCTCTCTAACGTCTGACCTCATCAAATCCCGAATATACGAAGACAGAGAAAGGCAGTGGAACGCACCGACACATGTGTAACAGCCTCACGGCGCGGAGGTGTTCCTCTATGGAAGGTCACTGGATATGGCCTGGTAACGCCGAACACGAGCCTCACAGCCCCCAGTGATGGAGCTCTGGGCCATCCATGCGCACTTATTGGGGGAAGAGTGCGGTGTGCAGTAGCTAAAATCCACGCGTCGCATACATGCGGGGAGTGACATCTGCCTCGTGCGCGTCAGGTTCGGTAGCAATCAGTCTCCCGCCACACGCACCCGACCGGATCCATCTCGATATCGCTCCTGTAAAATTTTCAGTGAGCCTGAACAGCCTTGGCGTACGCCGGCGGTGAAAACCTCATTCTCGGGTATAAGGTTCGACGCTCGCGCGAGCTCCGGGGGTTGGGAAGGGCTTGGGAAGGGCTGATTGACCGATACTGAAATTGTGGGCTTGGAAAAGTGTACCGCCGGGAACTTGGATAGCGTAGAGTGATGGCCGCAGTATTCGACCAAGCTCTGGTTCCCGGTCTTCTCCTAGCACATAGCATGCCCGAGGATTATCTAGCAATAGTCGTCAATAACTTGAACGTGTTGAATTAGTGACGCTTCTCGGCCGACGGCGACGTACAACATCCCAGTACTTAGTCATCCATGTATTCCCGAGTGCGTGTGTCACCAAATCGGGTCATAGGCGTATGTGGCACAATGGCAATGGGTACATTACACGTGAATTTTGGCCCGAGGAGGTTGAGACGTAGAATGACATAGCGCCAAAGGGCGCTTGAAGAACGACTTTAGAACTATAGATGGTTTGATGAAGTGTGTAGTTGGTGGCGCGTAGTGCCAGAAGCACAGCGAAGCGTGGCTGTCCCAGAGTATCGCTGGCCGGGGGCACGCGAGGCCTTCGGAAGTTGCCCTGCAGTGGCTTGATTATGCGTACGACCCTGGCGTTGTATATTTATCGGCCGCTGGCGTCAAGGATGGGCGTGTCATCCTTATCTTCAGCGCGGAGAGGGCACAGAGCATGCGAGTGTGACGTACGTGCGTCCATCTGCGCAGCACTCCGACTGGGTGTCGAGGAGCGCGAATTCCAGCGGCTGTGTCGCTGACTTGAAGCTGGGCGTAAACTGGCTGGGGATGTCGACTGACCCAACGGCCGCGATCCTGAAGCCGCTGAAGATCGTGCCTGGCTTCGCTCTCGTCGCATCCGGTCTCATTTACATTGCGGGCGGAGCAGGTGAGCTGACCCGGGAAAGAGCGTCCTCCTCGGCGCGCCGGCTCCTTACAGCTGTAGAATACTGTTCACATAATCTGTCAGCATGTGAAAAGGCTTTTTCGAAGTAGAGTCAATGCAATACCTGGTCTAGGTCGAACACGATGTGTCCGGGCCGTTGCTGAGCACTGATAGCCCGAGATGCAGGTGTTTGCAAGTCAGCACGTCATCTTCAAGCCGTATAACAAGGTATGAGAAATGACGGCTTGAGGACGCATCTCTCGCTCAAATGTTCGAGACGCGATATTGAATGTTAGCGGGCCGACCGACTCGGAGTTCGACGCACAAGAGATTGAATATTGATAATGAAGTCGTATCTTACCTGGTCCCTAAGCGACCAGACAACTTTGAAAATATCTCAGCGCTGTGAATGCAAGAAGTGATGCACAAGAATCAAAACAGCAAAGCCATCGAGAGATTCAGTCGTCGGTGAGTGAGAGAGACAGGCGTGTGGTATGTGAGGCGCCCGTGGCGCTTCGCTCCTCCTTTGATTTCATTTTCACACGGTCGACGTCCACTCCTATATGGTACTCGGACAAAACACTCAACACAGAAGAGAGGTAAGCTCATAGTACGAGACGATAATGGTGGCTTCAGTACTGAGACACATTGGTACAGTGTTTCCATTCTTTCCAGCGGGCCCTTCCTCTACGCAAGCGCTGCGGCCGCCTGCAGCTGTGTGCCACGGCTAATGGCACGCCTTGCTCAAAACGATCTCATATCTCTCGCCCATGCATCGATTCGAGACAGACATATTTTGCTACCACAAGAAACGCTAACATATGTGTATATCGTACTGCGGGCCCCGGGTACTCTGATCTCGCCGGTACCAGTGATACTCTGTGACAGCAGGTCGTTTGGTGGGTATAATATTGCAAGCAGTTCATCTATGAACCTTCCATAGCCATGGTAGACTGATTGATATTATGATTCAGGAGGGTATTGAGAAGACGCCTAGACCTACCGTCCATCGCCACATCTGGCTTCGCCAGGTCCCGCTGGATGCAGTTCAGAACTTGTTTGACAGGGAACCAATCGTGTGTGAGGCTGTATACTGTTTCCGAGAGCCTCCGTGTTGCAGGTCCTCACAAAAGCTTACCGTCCCGCGAGTCTCATATGTATCTCTCTGGTTGATCGTGAAATATTGAAGCCGAGATTTGGTATGAATTAAATCCACGGTGCGTAACATCACATATTGGCATACAAGTGCCTGTCAGTTCCGTCCTATACAATCTTTGAGTACGTGCACTTGTTTGTTTTCAGAGCCACTAACATGTGCTCACGGGTTGTCTTCCGGCAATTAGATCGTCAAGCGGATACTCAGGCAGCTGATCAGCGACATCGGTGGATAGATCATCCAATTCCATCCGGTCTTGGAAATGGAACTGGTACGTCTTCCGGTTACTAGAACCGTAGGCTTGTGCTTGGCCTCATCCATTCATGCCTACATTCATCCAGGAACATCCGGCCTCGAGTACGGAGAAGTTCCAAGAAGCTGGCACGGAAGCATAATTCGTTCAACATCTGTCGTGATGAAAACCCTGTAGACCACACACGTGCGACCAGCTTTTTACCGACACAGTCATGCGGCTCAACGGACAGGGCATACCGTGAGTCCGCAACCTTAGACTCACTCGCAAATATCCTACGCTCATGGTGGCAGAAACCTATAAAACTAGATGCGACGGGCTCACATAACAGCCGAGCACTGGATCCCCTCAGTCTCACCCCCTCGCCTGTTTGACCACTACGATGCAGCTCACCACCGCCCTCGCCGCCCTCACCGGTCTTCTTACTGCCGCCGCTATGACCTCGGCCATGGTCCTCACCGCTTCCGACGTACCCGTGAGCGTTCGTTCTACTTTATGCGAACGTCCAGACAACGAGCTAACCCGCATCTCTACAGGGCGCCGTTGGAGTCACTCCTGCCAACGAGCGCGAGGTGAGCGGACATGTAGCACGCTCCGGTCCAGCATACATACATGTGCTGACGGCATCGTTCTAGCCCTCCTCTTGGCTCCTCAGCCACGACGCCATGATGCACTGGCTCGCGACCACCGACGCTGAGCTCACCTTTATCGGCGAGCCGCCCAACCCCCTCACGCCGCGCGCCGCGCAGAACACCATGGTCACGTACTGCTCCTCCCGTACCCAAAACGTCTGCGGCGGAGCCTGCACGGTGTACAACGGCGGCGCGGCGTGCCTCAACGCGCCGGACACGAACTGCCTCGCTGCGACGAACAACGTCGGGTTCTGTGACCGTGGCGGGTGCGGCGGGAGCTGCAACCAGCTCTCGAGCTGCGGCACCCGCCTCGACAACGGGTTCTGCTTCACGCCGGGCACGAAGTCGATCATCGTCCCGCCGTCTTGAACGTGGGCTGGGAGCGGTCAGTGTCCGCCGTTCTCCTCTTTGCCAGAGATACTAGACTAATTGCAAAATCAGATCAGGGTCGCGTATCGTCAAGAGGAAAGTCAAGATGGTGAACTTGAGGACCGGTCAACCATGACGAGCGGTGAGGTGCAAATGCAGTGGAAAAGAAATCACAAATATGTTTCTGGCTTTGGCTTTCTTGCACGAGGAAAGGCTCTGTTGAATCAATGTAGGCTGAAGCATCAGATGTACGATACAATGTTGACGGAGGATGTGCGATACGTTGGGGACATGTATGACAAGAAGCGAAGTTAGGTGCTGTATTAGTCAGAAATCAAGCCCGTAAAGCCATATCTGCTTAGCCACGCCAATGTGCACAATGCGAGACTAAATGTCACTTATGCTACGCTTGTGCCTCTAGGGCCTGCTCCGAGAGCCGACGCCGGTCGACTTCATCCGTTGGGCCAAGTACAGTGTCGATGCACGGGCACTGGTCTCAGCGAGCCGTCGGTGTTAACCTACAACTTTATGGACGAGCTTCAGACCCATTTCTCAGCGCCTCGGCTCTCAAATATGCGGACGCTTTCATACCGCGGGGTCTTCTTTTCAACGGGCGATGGCGACATTGCCGTTCTTCCAGCTAGCACCCTTTTCCAGCCAAGTCTGAAAACAGTGTCACTCGGACTCGCCCAGCGTTTCGATCCCCACTGGTACCTACAAGAGATCATCGATAGCCTGTCCCTAGTAACGCCTCGCATAGAACGACTATCGCTCTGGATGTGTATGCTCTCCTTTGTCAATGTGTCTGTCTCCCAATCCGGGGTTTCCTACCGCCTTGTCCGCGGAGAGCTAGTCGTCGCACACACTACCGAATATCTGGACGATCTCAGAGTCCTCGTTGTCCACGATCACCGACGTCTTCTTATCCCAAAGAATGGTGCCGATGAGCCGCTCCTCGTATCGCAGGCTGGTGCGTAGGTAGTGACCTTTGACATGCCCCGCACCGGAGGGGATCCGGTCCACAGAGTCAGCATCAGGGAACGCAGATGCGTTCGCAAAGGGCCACCCATGTGTGCCCATGCGTGGCGAGACGATTCTCTCAGCATACCATTGCTCAGGATGATGCGCATCATGTCAGGATACGCATTCTGGAAGGATGGGTTTCGGATAGACGTAGTAGTACGGCACCTGTAGGACGCATGGAGTTGGTAAGAGTTGGTACATTGCTTCTCGGGTGCGAACTCCCTGCTCTTCTCCGCGAAGTTCTGAAACATAAAGGGTTTTGATCTTAGAAATGTCGGATGAATGTGAGTATAGCTGATGAGGCGCGGTTGGAGCTGGAAAACTCAAGGACCAGTGAGAAACAGCAAGCGGGGACCTCGGATGTTTACCGGTTAATAGAGCACCCACGTGGTTATCTAATCTACAAAGTTCGTTCATTCTCCGCCAGGATGTTCGAGTTGCCGACTTCTAGCGACTTCTTCAGGCCGCTCACCCACTCACTCACCCACTCACTTACTCTTGTGTCGGATCTGGACTTGCGCATACGACGTGGAAGTCTCAGCCGGCTAGTCGACCTCCTCAGCTTGATTCTACTGTTGCGGCACTTTCATTCCTAGTCTTGATCACGCGTTGGGCGCCATGTTTCGAGCCCTGATCGCGGTACCGGGGAACTCGACAGACTCGGACTTCCGCTTTCACCATCACTGACTAGTGACTCCCTGCCGGCTCCGAGCACCCTCGGCGAGATATCTTCTTGGTGATTTTGATGGTGGTCTAGCTGTACTTCTTGTTTTCATTCCCTGATCTGCTTCTGCTTCGCGCGCTATGCCCGAGTACCAACTGCACGTCGCCATCGCGCTCACCGCCGGGCTTGCGACTAGCCTCGGTCTCTTCCTCCTTGCAGGTCCCGAGGAGAAGAAAAACGCGCTCCCGACGTTCGTGGAGGGCGACGAGGCGCTGGAACGCGACCCGTTCGACGTCGCCTCCGCCGAAGACTTCGTGGACGGCACTCCCATTGATGAACAGCAGTTTTGGTCCAAGGTATGTGGCGAGCATTCATTTAGTTTCGATTCTCGAGTAAGGGGCTCGTGTGCGCACATTGGTGGGACTTAACCTGTAGTTTCGTTGATCGTCGAGGGAACTGTGCAGAGAAGCGCACGCTCGGTCCGGCGTGGCATATAGCAAACGAATAGGTCGAGGGAACATTTCACGTTCGCGCTCGCCGGTTTCTGAGAGGCAGCGCGCGGTCCATGACATACATGATTATGCATATGTGAGGGAAACGACATAAAGAGAGAGGTCGAAAGGGTTCTAGACGCGTCCTAGGACGCGAATGCACGCGACGCGGCTTGTCCTGTGAACGCGAACAGGAAAATTGAAGGCTCGCGTGTAGTCGGCGCGTTCACACTCATACGTGTTCCCATTGGGGACCCCACTACCCCCACTCAAACGATATTCCACCCGGACGTGAGGGCGGTTTACGAGCCTACGTTGGACTTTACGCTGACAGACCTTGATGTCACGTTGGTGTGCGTGTACCTCGACTCGTCTGTCGAACTTCATCAGACGGTATAGGGCGCTCTTGTTCTTTCGTCTGTTGACGAGACCAAAGCAGTTACGTGCGCGTTGAAATTTGAAACACTGCATGCAGCACTACGTACAACCGTACTGTAAGGCACGGCTTGCATGGGTCTAACCTTATTTTCACATCTGCGAATCGAGTGTCGATTCTCCTTGTCCATTTGCAGCGATGCTCACGATATCTTTTCGTTAGATGCGTCTGCGGAAATTCGGAATGTCCGTATTGCTAGGTGTCGTTCTCGCGATACAAGCTGTCGGCTTGGGCTGGTCTATCGCGGAGGACGAGCGTCGAAACATCGCCGTCTACGCTCTGCAGATCGCCTACGCGCTATACACTCTCATTCTCGCCGTCAGTGCGGTTAACCAGAAATACTCGAAGCACGCACACTCGACCATCCACCTGTCTGCGCTGACCTTTTTCGCGACCGTACTACTCGGCATCACAGCCATCTTGCCGGCAAACCCACTCCCTATCGTCTCTGTCGCTTCCGAGTCCGCCACTCTCTGGGCTCTATGGTACGCTGTGTCTGCGCTATACGCCGTCTGTACGGCGATTGCTGTGACCACCCCGCGCGGTCCGCCGCTTCACTTCCCGTCGTCGAAGATCTACTCCGACAAGACGCTCATGCAAATCACCTCGACCTACGAAGACAATGTCTGCGGCATGACGGGTAACTATTACATGCATCAATACACCTCGATCACAACTGATAGTATCCTAGCTGCGTCCGTCCTGGACTATCTGCTGTTTTCGTACACGACAAAGGTGGTCATGCTCGGAAACACAGCCGAAAGCCTTGAGATCGGCGACCTACCGATCGTGCCTGCAGACATGCGCGCAACCGCGATCTACACGTCCATGCGTGCAGCGATGCGCCGGTGGAAGCTCCAGGTTTGGTCGTGGACGCCTCGCCCCGGCTCCGGCATCGAGCTGGGATACCGCCTTATACGCGTTAACGCGGTGCCAATGACCATGGTGATCACCCTCGCGGTAGCGTGCGCCGTGCTCTTTTATGCGCCGGCGTTCTTTTTGAAGCGTGTGGTGCAGTACCTGGAAGTGGACACCGCACGCGACTTCAGAGGCTGGGGCTTCGTGTTCTGCGTGGCCCTCTTTGCCAGCCATGCCTCATCCCAGCTTGGTACGTCTTTTTGACCCGGTCGCGCTGTGCAGAGCGGACTTCTTTCGAGGTCTGGCTCGTGAATGCTAACGGGTGCGGACAGTGACGGGCCAGCTCATGTCTCTATCCACTACGACGCTCCAAGTGCGCCTCCGGATGCAGCTCAACACGATCCTGTTCGCAAAGACGCTCGTGCGCAAGGACGTCGCGTCCTCGACCGGATCCGCACCCGGCACTGACGCCGCACCCGAGGGCGACAAGAAGGCAGACGAGGACAGCTTCTCAAGCAAGGCGCAGATCATGACGCTCATGACGACAGACGTCGACCGCATCTCCGAGTTCGCGATACACCTGTTCACCATCGTCGACGCGCCCATCGAGATCGTCATCGGCTCGTGGTTACTGTACAGTCTGCTCGGGGTGTCGTGCTTCCTCGGGCTGGCGGTGACGTGCTTGTTCCTGCCGATGAACCACTTCGCGGGCAAGGTCGTCGTTGGCGCGCAGGATAACTTGATGAAGGCGCGCGATGAGCGTGTCGCGCTCATGAACGAGATTCTGGGCGGTATCCGGATGTTGAAGGTGCGTTGACGCAATGTATTTGTACGAGTGGGTTAGATCTGACAGCCAGGGTAGTTCATGGCTTGGGAGCGCAGCTTCGAAGCACGTGTTCTTAAAGTGCGCGAGCGCGAACTCAAGTACCAGAAGCTCAACTACATTATCGAGGTACTTTTGAACACGATCTGGTACGTTAAAATTTCTGGTGTGATGCAATGCATAGCTCACATCGAACCCCGCAGGAACGCATCGCCTATCTTAGTCACGCTGGTGTCGTTCTGGCACTTCACGGTCGTCCGAGGGGAGCTCTTGACCCCCTCCATCGCCTTCACTTCGATCAGTGGTGGGTATCTTGTGCTTCCACATTTCTGTTTATTCCGCTCACCCGCTCACGTTATCTAAGTGTTCAACGAGTTGAAGTTCGCGCTTAACGCTCTCCCCGAAACGCTGATCAAGATGCTCCAGTGCGCCATCTCCCTCCGCCGCATCGAGAAGTACCTGCACGGCGCCGAAGTCGCGCCCGTTCCCCCGCTCGCGACGCAGGATCCCCGCATCGCGCTCCAATCTGCCACGATCACCTGGCCGCAGGACCGCACACGCGGCGCGTCCTCCGCGCCCTCCGCCGCCTCCACGCCTCGGCACAAGTTCATCCTCGTCGACCTTACGCTCGACTTCCCGCTTGGCGAGCTCTCGCTCATCTGTGGCAAGCTCGGTAGCGGCAAGTCGCTGCTCTTGCTCGCGCTCCTTGGGGAGGCGGACCTGCTGTCGGGCCAGATGATCTGCCCGCGTTCGCCCCCGGACACGATCGCGAAGTTTGCTGGGGTCGCTGTGCCGCAAGAGGAGTGGATCGTCTCGGGCGTATGCGCGTACGTCCCGCAGTCGGCATGGCTGCGCAACGCGTCGATTAAAGGTGAGCGGGTTTGCGAACTCCTGTGTAAGGTTGATGAGGCTGACTGCAGGGCTTAGAAAACATCCTATTTGACCTCCCGTATGTGGAGGAGCGGTATCTGAAAGTGCTCGAAGCGTGTGCGCTGCTGAGCGATCTGGAAATCCTCGAGGATGGCGATGAGTCCGAGATCGGAGAACGTGGAGTGAGTAGGTATAAGAGTGTTCATGGACGATATCTAACGTGCTTCTTTGCAGGTCAACCTGTCGGGTGGCCAGAAAGCTCGAGGTATGCCTCCGCCCTCCCGCTGCTACCTGGGCGCATTATTGACTTTGGTTCTGCAGTTTCCCTCGCTCGTGCCGTATACTCGCGTGCTTCCGTGATCTTCTTGGACGACGTGTTGTCCGCTGGTAAGCAACAACGAGGTGCCTCTAAGCGCTATGATACTGACTAAAAGTGTTAGTCGATGCTCACACTGCACACCACCTTTACCACGAGTGCCTGAAGGGCGACCTCATGCGTGGCCGTACCCTCATTTTGGTCTCCCACCACGTACAGCTCTGCGCTGCGGGTGCCCAGTACATCGTCGCCCTAGATAATGGCCGCGTGCAGTATTCGGGCGACTTCGATAGCTTCCGCAGCTCCGGCGTGCTCAGCACGCTCGTGCAGTCCGGCGCCGCCGACCCTGCCGACGACAATGAGACCGATGTGGAGAAGGCGAAAGAGATCACCTCGGCCGGCGAGAGCAGCAGTGCGCCTGCATCGTCGGAGACAAGCTCAACTGTGGCGGTCGCCACTCCTGCGGAGTTGGAGCCGCAGCCCGAGAAGAAAAAGGCACCGCGGAAGCTTGTGGAGGAGGAAAAACGCGCTGTCGGGCGCATTGGTAAGGATATCTGGACGACGTACCTAAAGGCCTACGGTGGTGTCGCATACTGGGCCACCTTCATTGGAGCTTTGGCTTTGGCTGCACTCAGCCCTGTGTTTGAAAACGGCTGGTTACGGTAAGTGCGGCTACACTATAAGGTCCTGAGAGGCTGCTCAACCAGGTCATCACAGCATTTGGTCCGGTTCGTACCAGGAGACTGGGACCCCTCGCCCCGCATCATTCTATATTGGAATATACGCGGCTGTAAGATACTACTCTATCAAATATAGGATATACACTAATGCGTATGCTAGATCACGGGAATTGGCAAGTCTCCTTCAGGGTTTGGCGACTGAGGAAGGCCTGGTTAATATGTGTTTATTTAGGTGTGGTGCTATCGACTCTTCGGTATTTCGTTCTGTGTAGGCTTTCCTATCCTTACACGTTCAATCGCGGGTTGCTGACCTGATTGCATACAGACCACGGTGGTATTCAAGCTTCCGTCGCGCTCTACCAACGTAAGCACCCTGCCTGGTGATATGTTTACAACGCTGAGACCCTGCAAAGGGTTACTCGAGGGTGTGCTATTCGCAAACATCCGGTTCCACGACACTGCATCTAGAGGACGTCTGCTGAACCGCTTCGGAAAAGACTTTGAGGGTATGGACTTGCCGCTATGCCTTGATACGGTACTAAATACGCTCACTTTCTTAGGGATCGACAGCAGCCTCCCCGACAATTTCGGGCGTAGTGTGTTCTACGCAGCCTCAGTCCTGACTACATTCGTTACTGTGTCTGTCGTGGGCGGTCCTCTGTTCATCCTCGCGGCGGTCATCTTCGCTTTCCTCTATTACAGCAGTGAGTGTTTCGCTCCATAACGAAGAGTAATGCCTCACGCCTCGGTCATCCCACAGTTGGCAAGGTACGTTGCGTCATGCATTACGCACGGTCCCGATCGCTCACGCGTCCATTTGGCGAAGGTTTACGGGCAGACGTCCCGCGACATGCGCAGATTAGGTACGTAATCTCCTACAGCTCAGAGAACTTGCCCACGATCCCGGTTCCGGTCGTAGACTCCGTCACTCGGTCCCCGCTATATTCGATCTATGGCGAGACGATCGCGGGTGTCACCGTCCTTCGCGCCTTCGGTGCCTCGTCGAAATTCCTTCGCGACATGCTCCGCTGCGCAGATACTGTAGGCAATCTCCATCTTCCGCCCTAGACTCACTGATTCGATGGCTGGAACACCTTTTCCTTCAGAACTCGAACCCGTACTATTGGATGTGGGGAGGTGAGTGTCATTCCAAAAAGTGTTATATGAACACCGGAACTGACCGCCATCACTCAGTGAACCGCTGGCTCTCCGTCAGATTTAATCTACTGTCAAGTGCGGTCGTTGGCATCACTGCCTTTGTCGCCGTGCTCTCTCCTGGCATCGACGCTTCCATGGCCGGGTTCGCGCTGACCTTCGCAAGTTCGCTCCTGGTTGATGTGAGTGGTATTTATGACTGGCGTGCGGCCTGGACTGATTTAACTGCGTGTCTAGCTTCTCTTGCTGGTACGTTTCTTGTTTACTAGGCGTATGGACGCACAGTAACAAGTTGCGTCTTTAGGTCCGCCGCTTCGTCGGTCTGGAACAGTCCATGGTGAGAACACCCCAACGCCCCCTTCGACGTCGTCGTCGGCGCCCTCACGCGCGTCCGTTTAGGTTGCCGTGGAACGTGTCAAGGAATTCTCAGAACTCCCTCGGGAGCCCCCAGAGTTCATCGAGCCTCGGCCGTCTGCGTCCTGGCCTACGAGTGGTGCGATCACTTGCGAGAACCTGGTGATTCGCTATGCTGTGCGTCTTCCTCGAACTGCCTCCTGGAACTGCGACCCTGACCTGTGCGCGTAACACAGCCCGATCTGCCAAACGTGCTGCACAATCTCAACTTTGAGATTCGCCCGGGTGAGAAGGTGGGCGTTCTCGGTCGCACAGGGTCTGGCAAGAGTACCCTCGCGCTCTCGTTCTTCCGCTTCGTGGAACCCACGGAGGGCCGCATCCTCATCGACGGCCTGGACATTTCGAAGATCGGCCTGACCGATTTGCGGAGCAAGCTCACCATCATCCCTCGTAAGTCCGGACCCGCAGCTCTGGGTCTGCAGTTCTGACCGGCGGCCACAGAGGACCCTACTATTCTGAGCGGGACGCTCCGGTCGACACTGGACGTGTTTGGGGAATATCAAGATGCCGAGATTGTACGTCTCCGATTATCTAGGGTACCTCAGGCTGTCTTTGCTGACAGGCACGGCCAGTACGAGGCCCTCCGTCGGGTGCACCTCATCCCCGCGGGACTCGAGGCGTCGGAGGAGAGTGAGAGTGTGAACGCAAACGTCTTCCGGAACCTGGACTCCCCCGTCTCGGAGGCGGGTGAAAACTTCTCCACAGGGTGAGATCTCCCTGCTGCGATGGGCGTTCCGCGCGATCGTCACCCGCTCACCTGTCGTTGCCTGGAAGCGAGAAGCAGCTGCTCTGTATGGCGCGCGCGATCTTGAAACGCTCGAGGGTGCTTCTGATGGACGAGGTACGTGCCCGATCCTGTGTGGCTCTCGCAAGCAGTTGAGCTAATTACCCCCGTGCGTCAGGCGACTGCGAGGTATTTGTTCTCATGACGTCCGGGATGGCGTTGTGCGGCATGCTGACCACGCTCACAGTGTCGACTATGCGACCGATGAGCTTATCGGGAAGACGATTCGACAGTGCGTCCGCTCGCTTTCAGTATATCTCGCGCGGAATCTCTGACCCCGGGCTCCGCGTTCATTCAGCGAGTTCGCGGACAGCACGATCCTGACGATCGCGCATCGTCTGCGCACGGTCATAGATTACGACAGGGTGAGTGGTTTTCTCCCGATTGCGTCTGGAAAAGTGTTTTCATCTCAGCCGTCGGGATCCCGATACAGGTCATGCTCCTGGACCAGGGTCGGATTGCGGAGTTCGACAAGCCGGCTACTCTGCTCGCGGACCCCCAGTCGAAATTCCACGCTCTTTGTCAAGCGACGGGAAAGCAGGAGTTCACTACACTGAAGCGCATGGCTGGCATCTGAATAGCTATACGTAGCGTTACAGTTTAGCGATGGAGGGGTGGTAGATGTGTTTTTGGTCGATATTGGGTGAGATGTGTTGATGCCAAATGGTCATGTAGGACATGGAGCGGAGGTGTCTTCGTGATGAGATAACGTCCAGTCTCTCCGCGCTGGTCACCACAATTACGTTCTGCTCTTCCCGCGCCCAGCACGCCTGCGTCAGGACCCGAACAGTGTTCAAACGTTCATCGGCGGCTCGGCGCGACAAAAGAGGTCCTGCAACCCCGCTGGATGCTGCAGGAGCTGCATCGCTGGAGTTGCGGGACCCTCCTCGACAACAGATCTCGCTTCACGCTGGGAACACAGTTGATCATTTGCATGGAACGGTAGTAAGTGCCCGTCGTTTACCGCTATGTCGAAGGTCCTCTGACTAAGTGCATAATCATACCAGGGTCGTGTTCCGCCATGTGGAGAGTCGCGATAGGGAATACCAGGATAGGCAACCGACGACGAGCGGTAGCGTGGAAATGTGGCTGGAAAGAGATCATTCAAACGGCTCTGCCTTCTTCGCGCGTGGCCCGCCTGCTCTATTGCAACAGTGTAGGTGGCAGTACTGAACGCAGGATTCAACTTTGACACAGAGTGTGCAACACGGCCATACATGGGCAGATAGAGTGCTATACCAGTCGGAAAGCAGGTCCGTGAAGCGATACACGGGTCCGTCTAGATCCTGTTGAGCCACATCAATGCGCGGATAAAGTCGAGACAAAAGGCAGGTCATCTCAGTGGTATTGAGACTTAGCCATTCATCGCATCCAATCACAGTGCTAGCGGACGTTCCCATTATCCTACCCATCCTCCCTCGTGGTGAGACCGGCTAAACATCTCGAGCCTCTTGGTCACATATATACAGTGGTAAAGTACATCTTAGACGTCTGCACCCCTTGACTCTTTCCATCTAACCACTATCTATCACAGCCCCTACCGCCTCCCCTACCGTTGTCGCGGCTAAAGGTCACTCAAGCATACACATCCGCCCTTTTCATATGTAAAGTCAACGACGTGAGTGTCGAAATCAAAGCATCCTCGAGCTTTTCCCTTCAAATCGCTAACTCCGACTTAGCCACATATCTTGAACCTGTGTGGAGCGCAATGACTCCGACACGGCCCAGGGCCACCGACTCTGTTTTATGCTCCCTCCCCAAGAAACTGATACTCCAGATATGTTGGGAGTTGGCATACGACGGGAACGATAACGCATCACCGAGGGCACTACTCCCTCTCTCACTCACTTGTCGCCACATCTCCGAGCTCGCCCTCGACGTTATATGGGATACCCTGCCTTCCCTATCTCCGATGCTCAGGCTTCTGCTCCCTGAGGACCTCCGTGTACTTCGCAACATCAACACGGTAGCAAGAGACCTGTTTGAGGTTGCACGCGGTACGACTCGGCAAGAACTGGCAAGTGCTCGGGGATAATCACCAGGTACTTGACATCAAAGCTGACTTACGCCGCTCATGCATCCAGGACCTGCTTCGAGAGCCGACACCGGCCGACTTCGTCCGCTGGACCAAGTATGCCCCGCGTGTTCGTCGCGTCGATGCAAGCGCTATACGTGGCTCGTTCAATCTCAGCGAAGCTAGACCCTTGAAACAGAAACAGCAAAGACAAAACCTCACCGAAGCGCCGCTGCTCGCCCACGGCCTGATCGACAAACTACAGGCCCATTGCCCGACCCCCTTGCTCCCGAATATCCAGACGCTTTTGTACTGCGAGGAATCGTTCACAATGGGCAACGGCGCCCTTGTCGCCCTGCCAGCCAGCGCTCACTTCCAGCCCACTCTGCAGGCAGTATCGCTCGGACTTGCCCTGCACGTCGATCCCGACTGGCATCTGCAAGATCTCACTAGTCGTCTGTCCCTGGTGGCCCCTCGCCTAGAGCAACTGTCATTTTGGATCAATATGCCTTCCTTCAGCATCGAACCGTACCCCCGATCCCAGCGCTCCCACTCGACGACGCTGCGCGGCATGGGGATTTCTCGCCTGTCTTGCCTGACCAGCTTCACCGCGCCGCACATGTCCGTCGCGCTCGAGGCGCTGCTCTGTCTAGGGTGGCTACCCCATCTTCGCAAGCTGGACATCCAACCGCCCATGGCGCCGGAGCACTGGTTGTTTAATCCCCGCGGACGGCGTCCTGGTTTTTTTACCGCCTTGGAGGAACTCCGCTTGACAGGTAAGGAAGGAAATTATCAAGACTGCATCGACCTTTTAGGTGCAATCACTCCGACGTCGCTCCGCACGGTGTCGCTGGACTTGCGCTGGCCCGACGATGGCACAGCCGAAGCGCTATTCACGGATCTCTGCGCTGCCCTCGGTAGTCTCCCCTGCCGCGACACCGTCAAGAACATCAAGATGACTGTAGAAAGCAACAGACACGGCGACAACATATACCGTTCCCCGAGCCTCGCGCCGCTGCTCGAGCTGCACGCCCTCGAGTCGCTCGTCGTCCAGGGCGGCCCGAAGGTCATCGTGACCGACGCAATTCTCGACTCGATGTCGCGCGCATGGCCACACGCCCGCATCATCCGGTTCGCGTGGCCGACGCCGCCCAAAACGTACCCTCTCTTAGCGCGCGACCGCCCACGCGCGACGCTCGCAGGCCTCGTCTCACTGGTGCTGCGCTGCCCACGTTTGGAGGAGCTGGAGGTGGCACTCAACATGCGCGCGGTACCGGGCTTCGGGGGGTGCCCGCGCGTCCCTCTGAAGAACGCAGGCATGTGCAAGGTAAATACGCTCTGGATGGCGGGGTGCGTTCCCGGGGATCCGTGGGCGCTCGCCTCCTTCCTGTCCCTGGTGCTGCCGCAGCTCAGCGTTTTTGCTGGTGATTGCACCCCGCATGAGACCTGGAGACGGACCGAGGAGATTTATGGGCAACTTACGGCGCTGCGGCGGCAGGAGAGAGATTGGGCGTTGGACCGCGGGAAGACTATCCAGGACCTGGCGTGCCCGTAGGGCGGACGATATTCGAGGACATTCTAGCTGTATACATAGCGTGTATGGACTCTGCTTGCACGTTCTCATATATAAATATTATCTGGTTGATATTCTGGCAGCAATCGATGTAGTATTAGTAATGATCAGCTTGCATCGAACTGCCTGACACAAAGTAAGTTCACATCAAAATGATACGGAGATGACCAAGTCACGATGGACACTTTCACCCATCGCAACGGTTCGCCTTCGCCATTCAGATTCGGAAGTGTTAGCAGAGGAACAAGGAGACGCTACAGACTTCAAGTTGCCACGCACAGCGGCGGGTGCCGTACAAAGATCAACAGAACATGGTGATGTATAGTTATCTTCGTACAGTTTGACTGACTGTGTCCCCGAACCTTACTCAGACGCGACCTCCGATTGTAGACTTCCCCGGCGCTCCAGAGCCCACTTCCTCTCTTGCTCACGGATCTGCAAGAATAACGAAAAGCACCACTTCACGTCTCGCCAACTTGAATGGTCCGGGGCGATCTTTTGGAGCCGCGGACACACCACAACTAGGAACGCAGAAAGGCCAAGGTCGTCGCAAAGGATGGAGCCCTCCGCGGAAAGTCGTTTCAGCGCGGAGCCTCGCCGGACAACGGGGTAGGGCCGCAGTACGTCGAGCTCTGGAATTGACCGCATATCGAAAGCGAGGGTGAGGGTTATGAGTTGGGGACAGTGTTGTAGGAGGGAGGCCAGACCAGCGAGCGTAGCTCTGGGGACGTGGTCATCGGCGATATGTGCAGGGTGCTCCAGCCACGGTATCGTGATTTCGTAGATGTCAGGCCATGCTCGCGCCATAGACTCCAGGGTGGGATCGTCGACGGTAATTTGGCACGCGCCCTTCAGGCGGAGGCGGCGGAGCCCACCTTTTAGAGCGGTCAAGGGCACAATATGTCGCGGTCGGAACGCGGGGACAGGGGCGCCAGCGGTGCAAGGGGTGTCGATTTCGATGCAATGCAGCGACTCGCCGCAGGGAAGGCTTCCAATCGCGGTGCAGAGAGCCTCGAAGAGGATGCCATCAGGCGCGATGTGTCGAGGGTCGCTCACTCCGATGTAGAGTTCCTTGAGAGAGACGGCTGCCACGGCGTGCAGGAACGCAGCGCACCACTCGAAGGCGGTACCGGTGAGGCAGAGCTTCGTGAGCGCAGGGAAGAAGGCGGCGCGCCTCCCATGCGGCATGACGTCCCAGGTGTAATCCGCGGAATCGATGTGCAGGTATACCTCCTGGAGGTTTGGCAAAGAGCCTATGGCAGCGAGGGTGTCAGGCCCGACCTTGATATTTGACCCGTCGAATTCGACCAAATGGATGAATGCAGAAAGCTCGGGACAGGATAGCGACGTGAACTCCGACGGGTATCCTTTTGCCGCTCCAAGGAGGAGCGACTTCAAGTTTGGAGTCGCGCTACACAACTTCTTGATGACCTCCGTGGGGCGATGAGGGTGTATCCACAAACCGGTGAACTCAACCTTTTGGAGGTTTGGCCCAAAGAGAAGCTCTGCAGGATGGAAAGGGTCTACCCCGGGCACGAGCTCTTCGTTTGCGTAGGGAGTCGGACTCTCCTCGTAAGACAGAAGCCCCAAATTTGGAAGTAGTGGCCTAGGTGCGTGGCGGAAAAGGATATTCCAGACCTCAGTGGGCACCTCGCGCCGGGTATCCCAGAAGATAGGATAATAGCCGAGAAAGTAGCCAATATCCATGACTCGTGCGGCATACGCAGAGAGGCGCACGAAGTCCCGCGAAATTGGTTCTCGCATGATGACCTTCGTATCACGGAGGTGAGTTCGAACACAACAGCTTCACAACAGCCTGAGGCGGCTCCTACGCACCGCTCTATGGACCCCATAGTTGCGTTCCCCGTCTGCCACGGTCTCCACTGGTACGAAGGCAAACAGATCTGCAGGAAGCGTGCAAAGTAGTGGCCAAGGAGATCCCAATGTATGCCAGAGCACATCGAGAGCAATTTGGCTGAGGTAGCGACAGGAGGATGCCAAAGAGACCAGCCCGCGGGGAGTCATCAGCCCGTCGTATAACCCCCGATCGTTTGCAGCCAGAAGTCGACATATGTGTAAGAGGATATCCTGAGGTAATTCCAAGACAGTGAGTTTGCTCTTCGATAGACACATATCGCAACCGTCGATGGGTGGTGCAACTGGGAGTGTGAGCTGAAAGCTCCTTGTCGTCCGGGATCTTCCTTGGGCAGACGGAGATGAGTGTAAGACTCGGAAGCGATCACACCAACCAAAGCTCCGAGTGGACTGCCAACGCATCATGCCTGCAGTAGGTGCCGAACGTGTATCCGAACCCTCATTGCGGCAGGAGAACTACCGCATTCTGTGGCGACACGCTGCGTTCTTCGGGATCAGTTGAAGCGAATTACTGGGAAGACCTCTGCATTCACCGCGTACCTATATCGTTGGATGTACCGCGCTCTGTACGGTGGGTTACTCATACCCAGGCTCATGCGTGTCGAACTCGAACTTGTGATAGCAAGGATCGCTTGACTCCAGCGAGACTACTAAACAAACCTTGGCTCTGAGTCAACTCGAGGACCTCGCTATGGACTTATACGCCTTTATAGCGGAAGGATGTTCGGGATAGGCCCGACAGGGATGATACGGTGGGGGTTGATCTGCCAAAACCCGGGGATCGCGTCAGCACAGAGAGCGGCTACAGAACTTGCCACCTCCCACAGCAAACTGGAGCAACGACGTAGGAAGGGACATACGCTAGGATGCGACCAATAGTAATGCGTCTTGATATGGTCGAAGTCGCACGTCGACGAGAATGCGGAGTTATTCCAGTACAGCTTGCGGAGCCACCTTCACGACGATCAATGCTGAGCGGGATGTCCCACGACCCAACGTCGGGCAATGCTTACAAGTGAATGGCGGGGTACCCGTCCCGGATGGTTCGGATGTTGCCTTTGAAGTGCCCGACATATACGGGGTCAAAGCGCACAATGGTCACGAAGAGACGAATATCCGCCTCCGTCAAGCGATCGCCCACCAGGTAATCCTTCTCGGTAAGGATCTTCTCGAGTCTGTCGAGCGATTCGAAGAGCGGCACCACCGCGGCCTCGTACGCCGTCTGCGATGTCGCGAACCCAGACTTGTACACGCCGTCTGCAAGCCCGGGGATGAACTCTCGCGCGTCGCTCTCCAAGAAGTACTGGTAACATACTGTTGACGGTGTCGTAGACCCACTCGTTGATCTCGTCAATCTCCTTGCGGAGCGCCTCCGGATACAAGTCGACCGCTGCCTTGTCGGCGGGAAGCTGGTCGTCGAACGCGCTGTTGAACATCCGGATAATCTCCGAACTCTCGTTGTTCATAATTGTCGCAGTCTTCTTATCCCAAAGAAGTGGCACGCTGAAACGACCCAGTTGGCTCTCGTGTCAGGGACTAGAAATGCAGGGGCGGGGTCGAGAAGGCGTACCGGCCGTCATAATCCGGCTTCGCGCGCAGGTAGAGATCGCTGACGTGCTTGACATCGTACAGCGGGTCCAGGTCGGCCCCGGGGTATGCATCCGCGCTCGCGAACGGCCAGCCCTTCGCGCCCATCTGCGGGGACACGACGCTGACGCCTGCCGGAAGGACGGATGTCGTGAGCATTGGTGTTGCAGAGCCTGCTGCCCAGGCTCGTGACTTACCGATGAAGTCTTCGAGACCCTTCAGTTTGCGGACGATGAGCGCGCGAGTAGCCCAGGCTGCGATGTGAAGGTTACAGTAGTGAATCATCACGATGAGGCTAAAGGATACATACGACACGCGTAGGAAACGTAGAGGTGGTAACGGCCTTGCTCATGCGGTTGTCAGCTTCAGTTCCGCTTGACGATGATCTATGCAGCAAGTGCCCACCTTTCTCGGGCTCGAACTTGCCGCCCTTCTGGATGAAGTCCCTGAACGACGTAGGGCGCCGCTTGAACGTGCCATCCGGCTCCAGAGGGCGCTTGGTGATGTCGGTCAAGTGCGAGACGTCGCGAGTAGAACTCATGGTGCGCGATCCAGAAGAGGAGATTGAACAGGGCAAACAGACATTGACGGAAGGTTTTATAGCATCGGATGGCGAGGCTCAGCCGGAAACGTTGCACAAGGCGGACGAGCTGGTTCATGTAGCGGGTCGCATGGACGCATAGAACTGCAGAAAGTAGGTGGACGCGTCATGGCCTGGAGTAAGCATCGTCTGCGTTACTAAGAACCCAACATGCGACTTGCTTACCCGCATTAGAAGCCGGACGCGACATCTGCTCCCACGTCCGTGTCGACCCCCGAGTGTTCCAACCACCCTCAGCCGGAACGTGTTAGCATATACGCAGTCATTTGGCATCCGGATAACCCCATGTTCAACCATGTGGAAGTTGTATGATACATCGCTTTATGCGTCAGCCTTCTGCGCGACTATTGTACACTCTTGAGTCTGATAAGGTGATTCTGTAATGCTTGCTTAACGCGCTCCATATTCCATGCGAGAACGCCCTTTACAGAGGAAGAATGTTCGGGATCGGGCCCACGGGCACGACGCGGTGCGGGTTAATCTGTCCCGCAGAGTTGTCAGATGTGATTCGTACCATACGCGAACCACCGAATATAGCAGATGGACGAACCTGGGGATGCGACCAGTAGTAATGCGTCTTGATGTGCTCAAAGTTGCACGTCGACGAGAACGCGGAGTTGTTCCAGTACAGCTTCCGCATCCACCTAGCGCGCGTAAATCAGCGGAACGCCGGCGCATCCCCCCGGCTCCAAGAACTCACAGGTCAATCGCAGGGTAGCCATCGCGGATGGTGCGGATGTTGCACTTGAAGTGGCCGACGTAGACGGGGTCGAAGCGCACGATGGTCACAAAGAGGCGAATATCTGCCTCTGTGAGCTGGTCGCCGACGAGGTAGTCCTTGCCAGTGAGGATCTTCTCGAGCCGGTCGAGCGACTCGAACAGGGGGACGACCGCGGCCTCGTATGCCTTCTGTGATGTCGCGAAGCCGGACTTGTACACGCCGTCTGTCGCATGGTGAGTATACAACTGCTGCATTTCGTAAGGGCTGAGACGTACTGTTGACGGTGTCGTACACCCACTCGTTAATCCCGTCGATCTCCCCGCGGAGCGCCTCCGGGTAGAGGTCGATCGCGGCCTTGTCCGAGGGGAGCTGGTCATTGAACGCGGTGTTGAACATCCGGATGATCTCCGAGCTCTCGTTGTTCACGATCGCCGAGGTCTTCTTGTCCCAGAGGATAGGAACCGTGAAGCTGTAGACAAGGTCAATGAAAAGGGCATGGCAAACGCGTGGTGTAGACTGACCGGCCCTCGTAGTCGGGGTTCACGCGCATGTACAAATCTTTGACGTGCTCCGCGCCGAAGAGGGGGTCCGCGTCGGCGCCGGGGAACGCGTCGACGTTCGCAAACGGCCAGCCGTGCGCGCCCATGCGCGGCGAGACGACGCTAACGTCTATGAACTCCTCGAGGCCCTTGATCTTGCGCACGATGAGCGTGCGCGTCGCCCAGGCTGAGGCGCGTCAAGTCAGCATCCGAACCTCGGAGGAATGTATTTCTGACAGACGTACGGCATGCGTAGGACACATAGAGGTGGTACCGGCCCTTCTCGGGCGCGAACGCGCCGCCCTTTTCCACGAAGTTCCTGAACACGGAGGGCTTGCGGTTGAACGAGCCGTCTGGCTCAGAGATGCTCTTGGAGATGTCGGACAAGTGCGAGACGTCGCGCGTAGTAGAGCTCATGATGCGATGCGGGGGTTGAGTAAGTTGTCTGAGACCTAGGGAGCGCGGCTTTATAGCAGTAGCGAGCTGCCTGACGCGGTGGGCTGAGTGTATGCGCAAAGCAGGACGGAGGAGCTGATTCATGCGTCGGGCACCGTGGACGCGCCGGGCCTTATAAGGGCAGCGGGGGAACGCGCACGTCATAGGCCGACATAAGCCTCTGCCCCTCGATCGCCGCTTCATCTCCTTCCCAGTCCGAGCTCATCGTCGTCCGTGTCTTGCGGTCGATAGTCGCGGCGAATTTGAGAGGGCTTGGTCACAAAGAGAGAGAACATCGGGATATGCGAGGTCAAGAGCGAACGAGAACGCGAAGACAAGTCCCGAGAAATCGGTCAATAGAGCGCCCACGTGGTTATCTTATCTACAAAACCCTTCACCGGAAATCCTTCGTCTGACATTCTTTCTCTCTAGAAACCAAACTTGCAGAGTCGCTAGCATTCACAAAGGCAAGATGTTCGGGATGGGACCCAAAGGGACAACCAGGGTAGGGTTGACCTGGAATATTGTCAGCATGCCGTCGCGAGCTGCTTCGATGAACTGACGCCTCACATTCTTCTGCGCGTAATAGCTCGCCTTGATATGGTCAAACTTGCACGTCTCCGAGAATGCCGAGTTGTTCCAGTACAGCTTGCGGAGCCATCTGAAATTCGCGCAGATTAGGACGGCGGCAGGTGACGTTCCAATATAGTACTCACAGGTGGATCGCAGGGTACCCGTCGCGGATAGTGCGAAGGTTGCACTTGAAGTGTCCGACGTACGCCGGATCGAAGCGTATCTGCGAAAGCAAATACAGCCATCAGCCTATTACAGAGGGGGGACGATAGCTGCAATACGCACGATCGTCACGAAGAGCCGGACGTCTGCCTCGGTAAGCTGATCTCCGACCAGGTAATCCTTGCCAGTGAGAATCTTCTCGAGGCGGTCGAGCGACTCGAAGAGCGGGATGACCGCCGCTTCGTACGCCTGCTGAGTCGTCGCAAACCCGGCCTTGTATACACCATCTATCGCAGTTCTCATGAGCACCCGTGCACGAAGATGGGCCCAAACACTTACTGTTCACGGTATCGTACACCCACTCGTTAATCTCGTCGATCTCACTCTTGAGAGCCTCCGGGTAGAGGTGGATCGCAGCTTTGTCTGCGGGCAGGAACTCGTTGAAGGCGGTGTTGAAGATGCGGATGATCTCCGAGCTCTCGTTGTTCACCACCGTCTCCGTCTTCTTATCCCAGAGCACGGGGACGGTGAAGCTAGTGTCAACTTGTGAGAAACATGCAAAAGTACGGAAAGAGATGAACAACATACCGGCCCTCGTATTTGGGGTCCGCGCGGAGATACAGATCCCTGACGTACTGGGCGTTGTAGAAGGGGTCGGCTTCGGCACCAGGGAAGGGCGAGACGTCCCCGAACGGCCACCCATGCGCGCTGAACAGCGGAGACACGATGGTGACCCCTGTAAAGGAAGTGTATCAGCGTATGTTCTGCGAGTGATCCGTGGCGGCCAACGCTCCGCGCTCCGAAATCTTGAAGTCGCGAACACGACCTCGCTATGGCGAAGGTGCAAACCGACGAAGCACGCACCTACGATCTCTTCGAGGCCCTTAATCTTCCGCACGATCAGAGTTCGCGTCGCCCACGCTAGAAAACGCAAACGCAAAGTTACTCTGTTAATCCTGCGATCAGGTCAAACTTCGCGAAGGCCCGGGACGTACGGCAGGAATACGCGACGTAGAGATGGTACCGGCCTATACCAAACGTGGTATGTCAACGTTACCCCGCATTGAGAAAAATCGCGACACAGGAATGCGTACCTTTCTCAGGCTCGAACTCGCCGCCCTTCTCGATGAACCTGCGGAAGGTCGACGCTTTGCGCTTGAACGAGCCGTCCGCCTCCGCGAGGCCCTTGCTGATGTCGGTGAGGTGGGTGACGTCGCGTGTGGCTGCCATGCTTTCTCCTGATGCCTGAGATGGTCAAGTCGGTTAAGTGAGCTAGAGTTTAGCTTTAGACGAGTCTTATATATAAGCTGCCCAGGCTGGCCCGTGCGAGGCGATTGCGTTCCAACCCTCTCTCAGCTTGGAACCCGAGGAGGCTTTCATGGCATCCGGTAGGTCAGTAGGTTGACATCGGGACGCCCCTACTGGCGTGAAGTCGCGCTGGATTATCAATGAGACCCAGGAACTTGACAGCTGCTTGATAACGGACGCCCTCGAAGCTGCGCTAGATGATCAACGAGACACAGAAACGTGACGTCTGCTTGATAATGGACAGCAATATCTGGGACGAGTTGCGCAAGGCGTCATGATCAGACAATATGTGTGTTCGTCATGCTGCTTGGCGGGGAGCAAATTCGTTGATTTGACCCCTTTCCATCCGCTGGTCGTCGAGGTGGCATCACACCATCAAAAGTGTAGGCTGGAGTGTCTTTGGGGATGTTTGTCCGCCTGCGACTGAGGTTGTGCAGCGAGTTTGTCTCCCCTAGACAGACGGGGGTGACGATAGCAACGAGTCGCGCGCGGGAGACAGAGAGACTCGGAGGGCGCGCGCCTAGAAACCACGTCGGGAAAGTCCCGGTGCCACGTGCTAGCGGTGGCGATGGCCGTCGCGGCTCGCAACTCATTCAACCTTTTGACCAACGACCATCTCTCTCGTCCACCGACCAGCCTGTCTTGCCATCTCACAGCCTGAACATCTATAGACCGACATGGAGATATACTCAGATGGCTTTGGCAACTGCTTGTGTCGGACTCCAGGCTACACGGCTGCACGCACTGCAACGCTCGGTGCCGTTTACATCGTGCATATAACCACACAACAGCTTGGGTTTCAGTAAGCTTCAAGGCGGTCTAGAGACACCAATCTGTTGTAAAAAAACTTGGTATGACAAAGCATGCAGAATGTCAAGAATATGCTAAATTCGTAAGCGTTCACTTATGTTTGCCATCCTGCAGCAGCATATGCATTCTGACCAGTTCATAATGAATATCCACATACATTCTTTCGTTCACTGCAGAATTATGACGTGCTCTACAAGCTCGTTGCCCAGCGCTGCAAGACACGATCACTCTTCATCGGCTTCTACACGCCAGGCTGTAGGGCCTCAATGCTTCCGTAAAGGCTGATGGTTTGCGTTGCCTACACATTCTCGCCCAATAACGCCGAAAATCGCTAGGTAATGTGTCTTTCCAGCTCGTTGAACTGAATGGACCGTGAGCGTCGACATAGATTGTGCTGCTATCTAACACGACGTTGATGTGTTGATTGAAGTGAGTTGCTACATATAAACGTAAGGAGGGCCATGTTTCGAAGTATACTTTGCTGGTCTTACTGTTTACAGACGCTTACTCAGAAGATACGTCTCTGCTTCCTTGCGTAGGAATATCCTTCTTATTTTCTTTTTCGTTGTGTTTCTACTGACATACATTCCGTGTTGTCCGCATCAGGTCCTCAGCAGCTTGCCTATCCAGACCAAATCTCTCCAAGAATCATGAACCTCTCTCGATTAAGCCATTTTGTGGTACCATCCGGCTGCCGGTACAAGATGTGAGCTTTCTCCGGATGCCGAGAAAATGTTCGGACTTGTCGCGCATGGAGACCAAGTTGGTTCTGTGAAGGGTTTCAGGAAAGCCACCGCCCTCCAAGCTCAGCGGCAATACATCTTGAATCTCGCGTTATCGGCAGCCCTCACGGATCCTCCGCCAGGTGATCGTAAAATTTTCAATCGTAGCTCCGTCGAGGTGGTTCTAGTACTACTTACAAGCTGTTCCGCCACCGCAGCAGGCCAGCCACGTTCGAAACACCAAGCGGTTTCACCCGAGACCGACGGCGTCTGCGATGTGTGGTCTTGGATGTCCCTCCGAACGCGGAGGCATCTACCAACCAGGTCTCGGAGTCTGAACCAACACCATCGATGGCCACCCGAGCCCTCCGCCCCGCATCGCTTTATGGCCCTTTCTCGTCGACATTGCCGCGCGCGCATCGGATCCGGTCCGATCCCCCTCAGGCTCACACTGGAAGGTGCTGCAACTCCGACACTCGTTCTCGTTCCTCATCCGCGCTCCTCCCACTCAATAGACAGCAGGCTTCCGGCTGTTTCCTATCACGTCTCTCGGGGAGCTCGCATGTGCTATCTCTGACGGCGTTGGCTACAGACGAGTCGTGTGAGCAGCCAGATGCTGAAGAATCAAGGATGCAGTGCTTCTTGAGCTCGTAGCTCTCCGGGGCTCGCAAGCCGTTCAGCGAACTTGCCTTCTGGGGTTGGCGCAACCATTCACATCGTCCCAAATTCCCAGCGTTACTGACCCATGACGCATCGCATACGTGCCGACCGATTCTATGCTTCAGGATGTCTTCACGATCCACGGCCCTCAAACTCTCGTCATACTGCGGCGAACCCTGCCAAGCGCTGTCGGACTACGTCAAGCAGACACCGATGACTACTGCCTCAGTCCAAGACCGCCCCAAACCGGTACCCTCGACGCAATCCTGCACGAGATGAAGGGGATGCGGATGATCCGAAATGTGATTGTGGTACAACGTGCTTTACGTCACCATTCGTGTTCATGAACCCTTCGTTGGTACGTACGGTTCTGTCGTACGGTACATGCGTGCATGTGCGAGTCTAATCGTCCGGATGCTGCCCGACCCCTCCTTTAGGCCGTCCGGGACATCCGCAACAGTTCCGCGTATACACCCCGGCACTCTGTCCATGTACACGGCATTCGCACGGCCCCTGTCCAAATGTCGGCCCGGTTCCGCGCATCGACAAGTATCGCGCTACATGCTTGACTGTGGCATTTCCAGACTGGTGGAAGCGACCTGACGAAACGGTACTCTTCGCCGTGGTACGTCGCCTACATCGCTCCGCGGTGTTACGCCCGGTCGCGTCGGCCATTTCACTGATCTCATTGTCCAAGGTCCGACCTCAGCAAGGCCGCCCTGTTGCTGCCCAAATGAGTGCGCAGTCTGGTGACTCACCCGCACAGGAAGCCCCGGTCTCGTGTGTTCTCTATGGGCAGTTACCGCTCGGCAGGAGAGTGGTGTTACGTCAAAGGCAGGAGAAGGCGCGAACTTTGAATAGCGCAGACTCCGACGTGTGGCTTGCTGCTACCGCCCGTGCCGCTCGTGGTAGCCCCCCTACGCTCTATAGGCGACATCTTCCCCCGCCAGCCTCCTCATCTCAGGCCTCGTTCCGCCAAAATTGCGCGGCACGGGCAAATCATGCTGGGCGGCAGGTCGGGGTGCGCGCCCGCTGGGCCGTTCTCCTGCGTCGACTTTGGCAGGGCCACTACCGTCCTGCGCGTATCTCTGTTAGGAGCACGCCTCCTGTTTAACTTCATCTCTGGCTTCTCCCTATCTTCGGACGTCGAGGCGTCCGCGCAGAACCACCTTGCCGCTCTGCCTGAACGCCCGCTCGGCCGCGCTGTGCCTCGCAAGCCGATGCCGGCGCGCGAGCCCATTCTCGCGACCCCCTCCGACGAGCTGCGCTCCTCATGGTTCCGCCGACCGCGCTTCCGCCGACCTACTTGACGTACTTCGCGCCCCACGCGGAGCGGCTTCGCTGCGTCTCGGGCGCGCTATGTCCGACAACTGCAGGCTGGGAACGGCGCAACGGTGGCTTCTGCTTCTTCTCTGCCTCGTGGCTCTCTATGCGCCCTCGTGCCAAGTGCGGCGCGCCCCATGGCGCGCCGGCACTGCGCTTGAGATCGGCTCTCGATGGCAGAAGTCGAATAACGCGCTGCCGTACGAGCGGCCGTGCAAGTGTTCGTGGAGACCACGCATTCGATAAGGGGAACGAACGTGGGCCTGCGCGGCCGACCCTGGTTGGCAGGGCTGCCATGATTGTAAGGTTCTGCACGCCGGACTGCGCGGGGCGCACGGCGCGAGCCAGGGTGGGACGAACGCTCCCATACCAGGCGCACCCCGAGCCCCTGTCGTCACGTCGGGACGGCCGCACTTCTCTCTCCAGGCAGGGCGAACCGCGCCGGGATCGGGCACTGGCGTTGCTCGATCCTATCGTGCATGGCGCGCCGGCCGATCTCTGCATTCTCGCAGCCGCGTCAGTGGGGGCTTCGCAGGGCTCTCGGGTAGGTCGCATCGTCGGTCAAGATGCCGGGGTTGTTGGTGCTGGCGTGCACGCTGTATGTCCATGGAGGACGTTGCGGACCGGAGCAGCCTGACAGCCTGTGCGTTCGCAGGCACGCCCGTACCCGCGCTATAATTTGTCGTGGTGAGTGCAGCCGTGCGTGCGCCCTCTCTGATCGAAGTTCTAAGTCCGGCAGGAACGGTCAGCTTAGGAATTAAGTGCGTGCGCTTGCCCGCCTTCGCCGCCGTTCTCACTCGCACGAGCGGTGGAGTCGAAGCGGTGGGTGCAGCCCTTCACGCTGAAGCCGCCCTGCGAGAACGTCGCAGGAGCGATCCGGAGTGCGGGATATACGCCGAACGCAAAATACAAATGTGCATCGGGCAATTGGGCCTCCGCAACTTCATGGCTCGCGAGTCTCGGGCAGCATATACCGGCTGCCGACCCTCGCTCATAGCGCGCCGCTGTATATTGTGCGGAGGGACTTCGGGCTTGCGGGGCGGTATGTAGCATCCAGATGACGATGGCCGGCGGGGCCGCAACATGCAGATCCCCGCCTATGTCGAAACCGTCGTGCGCTGCCGAGCACCTCGTCCCGGGCGGGGCGTAGCGGGCCTTGGCCCTTGGATTTTTTGATAACGGCTGCAACCGCGCGCGCAGTGGTACCACAGCGGGACTTCGTTATACCATTGGAGTCCGCCCTCGCCCCCTCTTACGCGCCCCAAGGGGTGCTCCAAGACCGGTACGAGGTCCCTGCATCCCCATATGCCGCATACCATATCCAACAGTCCCCGCTCAGGAGTCGCGCAAATGGGCGCCACATGCATATATGCACACTTGTCACTCCGCCACGGATGCGACGTCCGACATCCTCTAGCGCCAAGCCTCGCGCGAAGATTCGGACTCGGAAGCACACACCCTGTGCAGCGCTCCCACCACGCGGGCCCGCATCCGCACCGCACGTCTTCCGTCCGCACACCCGGCGGGCCACTCTGGCGCGCGCGACAGCCAGGGAACACTCCCGTAGGCGCACCCGGCCCTGACTATGATATGTGCACAGATCTGAAGCCTGAGCTTGAACGGCCGCGCTGGGATCTCGCATCGCGCATCGGGCGCGCGCCGCGCGGTGTATCTCCGGAAGCCCGGGACGGCGCCCCTGGCTGTGTCCGTCCGCGCCCCCGGGCGTGCGAACGCGGAGACGCTGCGCGCAGGGCGGACGTGCACATCCTACGGCGGTGCGGGACGGATGTCGCCCGCGGAGGGAGGAGGCTCCCGCGCTCGCGCTGCGTCTCTTTGTCTATCTCTATCTCGGGCGTGCGAGAGGGCCCGGGTCGCCCGCCGAGGCGCGCCTCGGGCCTGGACGCGCGCACACGTCTTGTCTCTCGGGCGTTCTGGAGAGGCGCGACGTCGGCGGGGCCTAGACGCTATGAGAAGGCGTCGGACGTCATGGAGCCTCAGGAGATGAAGGACTCGGAGACAGAAACCGCGGACGCTGTTTCGAAGGTGCGTCACCGCGGCGGAGGGGGGCGTGGGACGCTGGACTTCATCAATTTCGAGCTTGAAGGACGTCTGCAGGAGCGCTGAGCGCTATCTCGAAGCTCGAACACGTACGCTGGTCTTACTGCACATGTGTGCACATCCCGACATCCGGACGCGCGACGCGGGGTAGTGCGGGGCAGAGCATCGACATGATAACACTGTACACGGGGAGCCGACTCGGCGTGCTCGACACCCGACGCTCGGTGCGAGTCTCCGCTGCAAGCTGTGTCGACCGTCAGATGGAAAAACAGTCCTGCCGGGCTCGCACTCACATGTCGACGACCCGTGCAGGTACACAGCGATCCACGCGCGCCGCTCGGGCCAATACTGCTCGCTGGGTGGGACGCCTTTGCGCCGCCACGTTCGCATCAGACGCAAGGCATCAGTAAATTGTGCTGCGACGCACGCGAGCCCCGATGCCCGAGGCCGGACACCATTGTGCAGCCTTCTTTATTTCTGTTGTGCGAGGCGCGAGCGGCGAACTCGCGATTGTGTGCGCGACATTGCACCCCCGTTCCTTAAGTCGACGCGGACGTAGCTCGACCGGCGCTAGTGCGATCATCAGCCACCACCACGTACCGCACGTATCAGAAACGCCCGAGGCGAGGTACATTTGCTCCTGGCGTCCTTTCAGAAGTATGGAAGGGGAGTGGAAGGCCGCTAGCAGCTCTAGAAACTGTAAAGACACAATAATCACGGGCTTAAGTTCCGTTTCACGCGCGCACTCGAAGAAAATTGCGGGGCTGCTCAAGCGAGTGCTGGTATATTGGGGGGTGTACTACGGATAGATACGATTGTAATGAACAACAACAGTGCGGTCGGGTAGCAACGACTAGGACGAGTAGGCATGTGCAGAAGGGCGGTCATAGCGGTCGTGGGTCGTAGGCGATCCGGAAGCGTCGACGTCAACGCGGCGCACGGGAGGGAGAGCCCGGGCGTAGGCCCGGGGATGCGGGTGAGTAGAAACTTAGGTGGTAATGATACACGTATGGGGGGCGCTGTTGCGGTCCAGCTAGAATACAGGGGGCATGCGGGGTCGAGACCGAGACCGGGACCGGGATCCTCGAGGCGGGAGCAGCGAAGGCGGAGGGACAAGGCGAATGGGGGTAGAGAAGGGCGGATGACGTTGCGCCGCACCGCGCGCGAGCTGGCGAAAGTACTTTTTCTAATACGCGCCGCGTCGTCCCCGGCCCACTGTGCACTGCAATATACACGCGCGCGGCGGGGGCAACGTCATCGTCTTCTCGTCGTGGGGGTAGCGTTGGGGGCCGAATCCAGCGGAAAGCACGAGGGAGTGGGAAGATGGGGGAGCGCGGAGAGGGCAGGGAGATGGGGCTGCAGTCTATGAAGGCATAGGAGGTGTCGCTCGCTCTACGATCATTGCGCGCCGACCATGACCTTGAGGACCATGCGGCCCTCGTCGTCGCGTCCGCGTGCAAGCAGCTCGAATGCGCGCGCGGTATCCTCAAGCGCGAAGCGGTGCGTGATGATGCGCTCGATGTTGGGCAGCTTCCCCGAGGCGAGCAGCGCGAGCGCGGTCGGGTACGTGTGCGCGTAGCGGAACGAGCCGTGGATGTCGACCTCGCGCGTCGCCGCGGCGGAGAGCGGGAGCGTGACGTTCCGCGAGCCCATACCGACGAGCATGACCTTCCCGCCCGTGATCGCAGCGTGGATAGACATTTGGATGCACGGCTCGGCCCCGGTGCACTCGAAGACGAGGTCGAAGCCGTCGGGCATGTTGAACTCGGCGAGCGCGGCGGAGATGTTCTCCTTTGCACGCCTGAGCTGCTCATCCGTCGACTTTGCGCGCTCGCCCATCGGCAGGCAGTGGACTTGTTGGGCGAAGCCGTTCTGGAGCGCGAAGTCGAGGCGCGTCTGGTTGATGTCGATAGCGACGACGCGCGACGCGCCGTAGGATTTGGCGAGGGCGCAGGCGAGCAGACCGATCGCGCCGACACCGAAGACGAGGACGGTGGGATGTGATGAGGGCGTGAAATCGGCGCGGCGTGCGGCGTGGATAAGCACGGAGAGGGGCTCTGCGAGGGCAGCCTGCTCGAAGGAGAGGTTGTCGGGTAATCTGAGAAGACGTCGAGGTCGTAAGCGAGAGTTCGATATGCAGGCGATATCGGACCAAGAACAAGTAGGACCCCGAACATCCGCGTAGAGATGGAGTTTCCGGGGTCCCGGGAGGAATGAAATGGAGGACGAATTGTACGAGATACTCACGGGTGGAGGACGTGCGCGGGGTGGTTCATACGCTCCTGGAGGGTTCCGTCTGCGTGGGGGAAGGTCTTTGCGGAGGAGCAGAAGCGCATGTTCTTGCAGAGGTTGTAGCGGCCCTTTGCGCAATACGAGCAGTTGTTGCACATGATGCCGGCCTCGATCGCGACACGCTGGCCAGGGACGAGGTTCTTGACACCAGGGCCGACGGCGGTGACAATGCCTGCGGCCTCGTGGCCGAGGACGAGTGGTGCCTGGACGACGAAGTCTCCGTTACGTCCGTGTGCGTAGTAGTGCACTGCGGAGGGAGAGGGGGGCGATGTCACTACGGAAGTAGCGGTTGGATAGGGACGAGAAACTCACAGTCGCTTCCGCAAAGGCCAGTGGACATTACGGCGACCTGGGCTTGACCCTGGTGTGGGGGCCAGAGGGTGCGCTCCTCGAAGTGGAGGTCCTTTGCGCCATGGAGGACGGCTGCGTGCTGAGTGGGAAGGGCAACGGGAGACATTGTTGGTGAGGATGTGGAACGGAGGGCGGAGGTGGAGGAGGGTGGGCGGCTTACGGAAAGAAGTCTGACGGCGTCGCGGATTTATAGGGCGCAGAGGGAGGCTGTCTCGTGAGGAGCGCGTTCGAGTGTGCACCGTGGCGGACGAGAGCAGCGCCCGGTCCGACCCCCCGCGGCGTGATCGCCTCCCTGCTTACATCAGCGCGAGGACCCTGAGCCGGGTTCGCGCTGGATGCGTGCCCGCCTTTCTGCGCGACGCCCCGTGCGCACGCACTCTGCCGCTGCAGTATTCGCAACTAGGGGCTTATCTGCACCGGCCCATTCAGTCGCACACGCCCCACTCCCCGCCCACCACACACCGCCCAGGAATGGCGAATCCACCCATCCGGCGCTCCCTTCTCCGGCTCCCCGTCCCGGTCTTCCGATCCGGGGAAATAGCCGGTCTGGGGTATGCGCTTTCCTGCCCGCCTGCCCGATCCGGAACACTCCCTCTCCCTTTCCTCCAACATTTAAGCTGCCCCGCCAGAATGCCATGGGCTGCACTCCGCCGCAGCCGTCGGAATACTCGGAAACTCGCCCCCAGCGCACCCAACGTCACCAGGAACCGCCATGGACCCGACGCCAGCCGTGTCCGCGCTAGCCCTCTTCTCGCTTGCCGGCCAAAACGTGCTCATCACAGGCGCTACCCGCGGTACGTGAGCTCGTTCCCAAACTCTACCCCAGATGCTGATGCTCTGCGCTGTGGCCATTAATTTCCTTCTTATCGGCCCCAGGTATCGGTGCTGCATGTGCCATCGCCCTCGCAGAGGCAGGTGCCAACATCTGTCTCGTCAGGCGCCCCGCCGCCCCCGGTGTCGCGCAGACCAACGATGACACCACCACCGCTATTGCTGCCCTCGGCCGCACCGTAAAGACTGTCGAGTGCGACCTCGCAAATCTTGGCGCCGTCAAGGGCCTCTTCCAGCAGGCGCTCGACGCCATGGGCGGCGAGATCCATGTCCTCGTCAACTGCGCGGGCATCCAGCGGAGATCCCCGGCCGTGCAATTCCCCGAGAACGACTGGGATGATGTGCGTGTCCCCTTCCCGATTCTATTCTGCAGAGTTCGCCTGCGCGTGCCGTGCCTCTCGGTGTCTTTCCCTTCGGGGTTTGGCCTTTCATTTCATTTCAGTTTTGACTTGTTTCTCTCTCTCGCTCCTGACGCGTCCACGGCTTCTTACTAACTGCCGCTCTTCCCCGCTTTTTTCCACGGATCTTCCTTCCCGTGTCCATTTCCGTCGCCGCACATCCTCCCTCGTCGTCTCAACGCACCCAACGCTATGGCGCCCTTCGGCTTATCCGATACCTCCCCCCTGTCCCGCATTTTCCGCTTTCCTCGACCTCAAACCCCGGCATGACGTGTAATGTTCTCCCCGCACGTGCTTGCGCTCGCTGCCCGCTGGGAATGACGCCGTTCATGTGCCCGTCTACGGATACGTCACCTGCACACCCTCTTACTCTCCCGGCCGCATCTACGGTGCACGCCCTCGCCGCTTTCGCAAACTCTCCTGCTCGTCTTATCGTGCCTTCTGGTCGTATGGCGTGCTCTGGGCGATTCTCGACATCGCCCTGTGGGTCACGCCGTGCCTCTCCTCCCCCCGCGCGCGCCCGCTCGTCGCACATCCCCGGACGTTTTACGCGCATGCTCGTCCCTGCCTATCGCGACCGCATCTGCCACACTCCCCCGCGCACTCGCGATGTGCCGCATCGGGCGTGCCTCCCTCCGACGCGCGCGAACGCGCCGCTTCGTCCTGGCGCTGCGCGACGCTCCTCTCGCCGCTTCCGGACGGGTGCATCCTCTTTGCACGCACGTCATGCACGCCGTCCCGTTTTTCCTCCTTTCCCCGCGCGCGCGCGCCCGTGCTTCGCTGATCACGATCACGGATCGGCGCCCCTCGCTGCATTCTGTGCGGCCTCGTCCTGCGTCGCGCCGTGCGATCGATACGTCACCTGCTCTGCGTTCCTGCCTCCTGCGCATCCGAATTGGACGCCGTGCCCGATCGTCGACGCGTCGCACACACTCTCTTCTGCGCACACGTTGCCATACTGACTGTCTGGCGCGCACTGTGGCCCCGTCCGAACTATTGCCGTGTTGCGCGCATCTCCCACACCCGCGTCTTCGTCTTCGCGCTCTCGCGGACCACGCCTCCCCACACCACCACACGGACGCCACCGCACCGCCGCTGCACCCCGAACTCTCTCGCTGCGCAACGACACGATGCGTTGACACGCGCAGGTGCTGAACGTGAACCTCAAGTCCGTCTGGCTCCTCTCGCAGGCCGCGGGGCAGCACATGGTGCCGCTCCGCCGCGGCAAGATCATCAACTTCTGCTCGCTGCTCACCTTCCAGGCACGTCCTGATTGTCGCCTCCCCACCGCATCGCCTGCTGACCGTTTGTCCCCCGTGCTCATCGTTGTGCCACCTCCATTCTCTGTCGCTATGGGGTGCGCTTCTAGGGCGGTTTCACCGTGCCTGCGTATGCGGCTGCCAAGGGCGCACTCGGGCAGCTCACGAAGGCCCTCAGCAACGAGTGGAGCGCACACAACGTCCAGGTCAACGGGATCTGCCCCGGGTACATCGCCACCGACATGTACGTCCCACCCCTCTCCCTCTATCTCTCTCATTGCACTTCCTACTGTGCTCGTTGCGAGCGGGCGTCCAATTTTGCCTTTCCGCGCACGTCTCCTGGGCAGCGGTAGCCTTTTGACTCGCTCAATTGCGCGCACGGCTTCTGCGCGCCGTGCTCCGGTGCCCCCGCCACGCCACGCCACGTTAGGAGGGGGTGCGGGCCCGAGAGGTGCATCGTGATGGGGCCCGGGCATGATGTCGTTGGGCACGTGAGGGCCCGTTGGCGCTGCTGCTCCCGCTGCTGGCCATGGGAAGTTTCCGTGTCCCCTGGGGCGCCCGCGCTGCACGGCTGCCTGCTGGTGGTCAGATGCGTGTATGCTCCGTACGAGAGCTTGATTGTGCTCCACCGTGCCACCGTGTGCGCCCCGCGCTGACACTAGACACTGCTGCTGCGTCGGCGCCGCCCGACGCGGACGCGAACTGGGACGCGCTGCTACACGTGTGATGTGCGCGACTGCTGAACTCCGACTTGCGCTAGAACGCTGGCGCCGCCACATGCTGACGATTTTTGCGCCCGCTGCTACGTACAGGAACGAGAAGCTGCTGGCCGACCCGGTGCGCCTGCGCCAGATCTCGGAGCGCATCCCGGCGGGGCGGTGGGGCCAGCCGCGGGACTTTGCCGGGCCCGTCGTGTTCCTCGCGAGCGCGGCGAGCCAGTACGTGTGCGGCGAGCTCGTCGTCGTCGATGGAGTGAGTGCTGCTTCTCTGGGCTCCTGTGTCTTCTCGCGTCTTCGCGCCCCCACTACGAACTCGCCTTCCTATCCGTCTCATCACCCTCCCTTCTCATCACGCTGCAAATTTTTCGCGTCCCCTCATCGCCCCTTCCAATCGCCCCCACTTTATCGTGCCAACCCATTCCACCCATACCCATTCCATTTTACACCCCGCCCCGGGCCTGTCCTCCATTCTCTCTCTGCGCATTTCGGTCCGAGCGGTGCTGACCCCGCACACAGGGATGGATGGGGCGGTGAGCCCTGGCCCGCACCGCGCTACGGAGAATGGTTAGAGCGCGTCGGAGCTTAGTTCGCGCTGGAACTGCCGAGGAAAAAACGAGCGTCGGAGGAAGTAAAGGAAAGCGTCAGCAGCATCATGCCGTGTACCAACAAACAAATGTATCCCTTGTCCCCATGCGCCGTATCGCAATTACCACTTGAATGGTGTCGCATGCCCGTGGTGCACACATGCCCTTGCCCCATCTACGGCCGCCCAAGGTCCATTCGGCCGCCGCGCGATAACCCTAGCAGTCGCGCTCTCGAGCTCGCAACCAGTTTCCGACGTCCATCCATTCGTCTGGTCCCCGGCTCCCCAGCGCACACCCGGCAACATATCGCGAATGATGGGATTTTTCGCCGCGGGCCGTCTCCGGCCCGCCGGCGCGCGCGGGGCACCCGGCACGCGGGCCCGGGCTCCGAGATCCTGATCCTACCCGTGAAAGTGCGCGGCTCGCCTGCGCCAGCATTCGATCGACCTGCTCGCTCGCCGTCGATGTCGCGCTAAATCGCGCTAAGGGCGTGCTAAACGGTCGACGCGGCGGCGGGCCTGGGCGGGGCGGGGCGCGCGGTCGTGCATCAGACTCCCCGCGTCGCGCGCGTCGGTCATTATTACGCTGGGGGCGTTTTACCCGCTCGCGTACCGTGCTCGAGAGCCCGCGAGCCGTCGCGGTGGGTGCGACGGGGCGGGAGAGGGGTTCTGGCGAGGAGGTGCGGACCGGGGGCTGCATTCGTACATGTGGGCCCATCGACGCGCGAATGCTGCGATGATGATTAAGGGGACGCGTACGCCGTCGGTACGCGTACGCGTCGTGTACGTCTTGCGCCACCGTCGAACGCGTAAACGGATCGTAAGGGCGCGCGGGAAGCGCGTAATCGTGCGTGTGCATCTCATGTACTGTATTACACACTACCTGAGCCCTCCACGTCCAGGGCACTCGCGCAGGACGTCGTACCTTACGCTCGCTAGGCCCGCTTCCGGCACCACCACCGCGGTGCGCGTGCCGGACAACAATGAACTTCAGAATGAAGGGGGCCCATTACGGGGACTTGGCACTTATCCCCGGGGGAGCACGCATCACGCGCGCCGGTGCGGGTAAGCTGCTCTCGCGCGCCACCACGCCGCTAGTCGCTGCGGTGCGGCCGTCGCTATCCCGCCAGGCCCGCAGATCCCGACACGAGGCGGGGTACACAGGGACCTACGAGCCGCGCCGCGTGCTGTGCCTCAAAGTCTGAGCCTCTGATACTGCTCCTCCGGTCACCTGCGCGTCCTGCGAGAAAGTATGACACCCTCTTGTCACGGTGTCAAGACGTGTGAGCTAGAGGCTGATGCGAGGCGGCCGTGCACGTACTCATGGCTGCCCGCGGACGCGTAGCGATATCCACGCAGATGCGTCTGATCTGCGGCTGGCCGACATGGTTCATAGCGTGGCGCCGCGCATGTTGCGAGAAGGCGGCGGAAGTGTAGCGGAGCATGTCGCGGGCCGCGCGGGCTCGCGTTCTGGGCTTCGCATGGACGCTGGGGATGTGGTAATCGCGCTTCGGTGTGGCAGAGTGTACGCAGACGCAAATGGACAGCGAATGGCGAGAAGCGTCGTATAGCTATGTCTGAGCCTTATCGTCGACGGGGCCCGCTGTCAACTCAGGCTCCAAGCGGCGCCATCGCTGAGGTAGAGATACGATTGAATGCCCGGTCGCGGCCTGGGCACGCTGGCAGAGGCAAGGGCGTCGGTATTCCTGGCTTCACGCAGAGGAAGAGCAAGAAGGAGCGGACCCACATGCAAAAAGGCTCGCCATCGAACGTCCGATGAGAACACCGCGGTTCTGCACAGTCCACACCGTACGCCTGGACGCGGCGGGCCTCGCTTCGAGGGCAGGCGGCGGCCTAGACAAGTCTCCGAGCGGGCCAGGATCAGAGAAGAAGAGCGGGGGCTCGCGCTGGCCACACCAAAAGCTTCGAACGATGCGCTGCAGCGCCAGCGCCATCGGAAAAACGCCAAATGAAAGTTTCGCGAACAGGCAGGTCACACCGACCCGCCCGTCGGAGGGTCATGTGCCTCGCTGCTCACCGGTAACAAACACACGCCCAGTCAGTGATTGGGTCGGCGTGCCAGCGCTGTGCTTCGGACAAGGGTAGAATTTCAGGGAAAGCGCGCTTCGGTAGGCTGTGGGGGCGAAAGAAGCGCAGAGCGCGTCTTGTGCTGGCGCGAGCCGTGGACCTAGAACATCTGTGGCGTCATTAACTGCACCCCGATAGAATACAGGACGTGCGCCCGGTGAGCGAATTTGACCCGAGGCAAGCAGGAAAGTTCCAGAGGAGGGGGCGAGGGACGGTGCATCATTCAGTGTGGGGCGTTGCTGACCTCATAGAACGCATTACCCGGGATGGGCAGGCTTCGAGCTCGCGTGGTCCCTTTAGCCACAAGGTCCATCGTTGCCCATAGGTGGTATTTGGGCGAGCTTATTCTCCAGTAGGGGCCTCACGGTGCCGCAGGGCAGCACACGAGTTGGACAACGTTGCAAGTTGGTGGGGATCGCGGGCATCGCGATGGGTGAGGCCTTGAGGGGTCGTGCTCGTCCCTTGCGTTTCGCCCGATGTCCAAAGGACTCTTTCTCCGATCGGATGCGACCTGGAAACGGGGAAGCCAGTTGAACGCGCGAGTGCACGTTCCCATCGGGGGGACGTCGGCGACAGTGCAGGAGGGCAGCCAGCCAAGATTGGGAACAAGTTGGTGCGCCGGTGTATCGCGGTATGTCGAGCGATTGCCAGCCTAACGCGGTCATCTGCAAGGACTGGCATGTGCAAGGGCGGAAGCTATACTGCCTGCAGCTCGACACATTGCAGCTGCGACCCTACACACTGGAGGCTTGGACATGTGAGCTCCCCGGCAGCGAGTCTGTGTGAGAACACCCACCGGCACGCCGTCTTCTCGTTCGCGATGCCCGAGGGCGATCGTGGCAGTAGGTGCTAGCCTATAGACTCGGTACCACCGTGCAGGAGAAAAGCCGCTCAGGACAGATATATGGCAGATAACGCACTGCGCGATCGTGCAGCAGATCGCACACGCAGAGAGGGACGGCGCAGATCAGGGAGGGCGGTGGTCTTATGACGCACGGTGCCTCCATGGTGTTACCGAGGCGATAGAAGCAGAGTGCGTCTCCTGAGCATTATTACGGCAAAGGAGCCCGTGCAGGCCTTCCGCTCCTCCTCTTCCATCAGTCACGGCAGGCTCATGTTGCGCAGCCTGCCTTCTCGGGCTGCTCGTCGCGCGCCGATGTGAACGGTTTGGCCGGCTAAGGTTTGGGCGGTTGCTCGATCCTGAGATCGTCAGGCATGCGGCCCCCCAAGACACGGATGCTTTGCAGATGCCCGGGACTTACGCTTTCCCGAGTAGCCTCCAGTCCAATGGGAGATGTGCAGCATGACGAGTACCTAGAATGGGAAAAAACGAGGCCCACTAGACTCGCTGTGGCTTAACATGGTGGGAGAACTGCGGGAGAAGTGCCATTGAGTCTGTAAGCCGCGCTCGCGTAGCGAGCAGAACAGAAGAGGCTGACACACGCACCTACACATCTGGCGAAAAGGTAGTAAGAATAGCTAGGTGTGGCGACGAATCAGACAAAGCGAGAACAGCTCGAGGCTGGAAGGCGCAGAGTTCTGAGCGGTCAGGAGGGTCAACATCTTCGGTAGGCTCCTTACCGTCTTGAACCGCACGTATCTCGCCAAGGGCAGATTGGAGCAGCAGACGCGGAATGAAAGGCCTCGGTCGCTGTTATAGTACAAACAAAGATCAAGGAAGAGATGAACTCGCGGGTACTGTGGCCGAGATGCTCAAGTGTGGCTAATCCAAGGGGTATCTCGACCAGCCCAGGGTCCACTACATAGCGTGTGTGCGGTCCCCAGCGCGAACTCGTCCACCTCCGCCTTGATTGGACGAGTCGGATATGCGATCACGACCGCGATAGAGGCCTGGCAGCCGTCTAAAAAAATATCCTCCTCTGCGGCGTCCGATATGTTCCTATGTGTCTGGAACTCGAGCTCATTCCTACCGAACGGGCTACCGCGGGGATAGGGCCAGACCTGTAAGAAGAGCGTCCGTGAGGTGGAGCACAACTTACCTCAACTTCCACTTCGCAGGCCTGGACTCCTCCGCAACATCGCCCTTGCTATCGGCGGCGGAGGTGAGATGGAGCGCGAGCGGCTGCAAGGCGTTCCTGTGATTCCGCCACCCCGCGCACCACAAAGAGGAAAAGGTACTTGCCCGCAGCTGCTCCCATGCACAGTCCGAGAGCTTGGCCGCCGATAAGGTGTCGCGGATGCAAACGTCCCACATCCTCGGACGAGATGGGGGTACAGGAGAGCCTTTGAGCGTGTCTGGGTGTTCGTTGGGGTGTCCCCGCCACCGCGCAGAGAACCTCTGCCACACCAGGCCGCCTAGGATGGAGGCGCAAGATAGGCCGAGAAAGCTAAGCAAGAAGCTGAACAAGAGCGTCGCTGTGCTGTGAGTCGCGCCGTTGTCCATGCTGTTGTCGTTAAGGTCGTGAGGACGTCGTGGTGGGAGGAGGACAAGCCCCGCAGAGCGGGCTCCGCTCTCTCCGCCCGCCGAGGGCGGTTACCGCGAGCACCCGGCGCTTGTGGGCCAATATTGGCACACGACTTGTTTGACGCCATCTCACTCATCACTGAGACACCTCTGCTCCATGCCCAACACATCCAATTGGGATCATCACATCTCGCTCAGCATCAACCAAGAATACATCAGCCAGCTCTCCATCTCTAGCTACATACTGTCATCTAGACACCGGCCATACGCTTCAACGTCGCAAACTCCTGCTTTCCGGTCGCTTGACAAAGCGCGTGGAACTTCGACTGCGGGTCCGCGAGCAGAGTAGCCGGCTTGTCGAACTCCGCAATCCGACCCTGGTCCAGGAGCATGACCTGTATCGGGAACCCGACGGCTGAGATGAAAACATCTTTCCAGACGCAATCGGGAGAAAACCACTCACCCTGTCGTAATCTATGACCGTGCGCAGACGATGCGCGATCGTCAGGATCGTGCTGTCCGCGAACTCACTGAATAAACGCGGAGCCCGAGGTCAGAGATTCCGCGTGAGATATACTGAAAGCGAGCGGACGCACTGTCGAATCGTCTTCCCGATAAGCTCATCGGTGGCATAGTCGACGCTGTGGACGTGGTCAGCATGCCGCGCGACGCCATCCCGGACGTCATGAGAACAAATACCTCGCAGTCGCCTGACACACGGGGGTAATTAGCTCAACTGCTTGCGAGAGCCACACAGGATCGGGCACGTACCTCGTCCATCAGAAGCACCCTCGAGCGTTTCAAGATCGCGCGCGCCATACAGAGCAGCTGCTTCTCGCTTCCAGGCAACGACAGGTGAGCGGGTGACGATCGCGCGGAACGCCCATCGGAGCAGGAAGATCTCACCCTGTGGAGAAGTTTTCGCCCGCCTCCGAGACGGGGGAGTCCAAGTTCCGGAAGACGTTTGCATTCACACTCTCACTCTCCTCCGACGCGTCTCCCGCGGGGATGAGGTGCACCCGACGGAGGGCCTCGTACTGCGCGTGCCTGTTAGTAACGACATACACCCTTGATTATCGGGAACGTACAATCTCGGCATCCTGATATTCCCCAAATACGTCCAGTGTCGACCGGAGCGTCCCGCTCAGGATCGTAGGGTCCTCTGTGGCGGCTGGTCAGGACTGCAGACCCAGAGTTGCGGGTCCGGACTTACGAGGGATGATGGTGAGCTTGCTCCGCAAATCGGTCAGGCCGATCTTCGAAATGTCCAGGCCGTCGACGAGGATGCGGCCCTCCGTGGGTTCCACGAAGCGGAAGAACGACAGCGCCAGGGTACTCTTGCCAGACCCTGTGCGACCGAGAACGCCCACCTTCTCACCCGGACGAATCTCAAAGTTGAGATTGTGCAGCACGTTTGGCAGATCGGGCTGCGTTACGTGCACAGGTCAGGGTCGCAATTCCAGAAGGTAGTCCGAGGAAGACGCACCGCATAGCGAATCACCAGGTTCTCGCAAGTGATCGCACCACTCGTAGGCCAGGACGCAGACGGCCGAGGCTCGATGAACTCAGGGGGCTCCCGGGGGAGTTCTGAGAATTCCTTGACACGTTCCACGGCAACCTAAACGGACGCGCGTGAGGGCGCCGACGACGACGTCGAAGGGGGCGTTCTCACCATGGACTGTTCCAGACCGACGAAGCGGCGGACCTAGAGAAGCACCCCGTTACTGGGCGTCCAATGCGCACAATTTACGCAAGACGTACTAGGAAGAGAAGCTAGATACGCAGTCCGGTCAGCCCAGGCCGCACCCACGCGAGTCATAAATACCACTCACATCACCAAGGAGCGAGGTTGCGAACGCCAGAGCGAACCCGGCCATGGCGGCGTCGATGCTAGGGGAAAGTACGGCGACAAAGGCGGTAATGCCAATGACCGCGCTCGACAACAGATTAAATCGGGCGGAGAGCCAGCGGTTCACTGAGCGATGGCCGTTAGCTCCGGCGTTCATAGGACTGCTCGGAGCCGACACTCACCTCCCCACATCCAGTAATACGGGTTCGAGTTCTATAGGGAAAAGTGTTACGGTCATCAAATCGGTGGATCTGGGACGGGAGAAGGCTCACAGTATCTGCGCAGCGGAGCATGTCGCGAAGGAATTTCGACGAGGCACCGAAGGCGCGAAGGACGGTGACACCCGCGATCGTTTCACCATAGATCGAGTACAGCGGGGACCGAGTGACGGAGTCTGCGAGCGGAACCGGGATCGTGGGCAGATTCGGAGAGCTGTAGGAGATTGCGTACCTAATCTGCGCATGTCGCGGGACGTTTGCCCGTAGACCTTCGGGGAATGCATGCGTGAGCGATCGGGACCGTGCGTAACCCATGACGCAACGTACCTTGCCAACTGTGGGATGATGGGGTGAGGCATGACTCGTCGGGAGGGATCGGAACACTTACTGCTATAGTAGAGGAACCCGAAGATGATCGCCGCGAGGATGAACAGGGGGCCGCCGACTACGGATACCGTGACAAAGGTAGTCAGGACCGAGACTGCGTAGAAGACACTGCGTCCGAAGTTGTCAGGGAGGCTGCTGTCGATCCCTGGGAGAATAGACGTGGTTAATGCCTTATTAGGGCATAGAGGTATAGTTGGCGTACCTTCAAAGTCTTTCCCGAAGCGGTTCAACAGACGCCCTCGGGATACAGTATCGTGGAAGCGGATGTTAGCGAACAGCACACCCTCCAATAATCCTGTATATAATCTTAGCCTTGTTAATACCCCAATGCGAGGACTGTGCTTACTTTGGTAGAGTGCAATCGAGGCGTGGATACCCCCATGGTCTACAACGGTTGTGTAAGCGATGCGCTCGAGCTCTAACAGTGGGACGACTTACATAGGACGAACCACCGGAGCGTCGAGAGCACCAAGCCTACAAATGTCCAGATTAGTGAGAGTTTCGCCTTGCGCCAAAACACCCGGCCAACTTGCCAATTCCCGTGATCTGGCGAGATTATCAGCGCGACGTCTATATGTCAGAGAGTGGCGACTTACAGCAGCGTACACCCCAATGTAAAACGAAGCAGGGCGCGGGTGAGTGGTATCTTGGTAAGAGCTAGACCAAATGCGTAGCCAGCCATTTTCCAACACAGGACTGAGCGCAGCGAGAGCTAGAGCTGCAATGAAGGTAGCCCAATACGGGACACCACCGCAGGACTTGAGGTACGTCGTCCAGATATCCTTACTGATGCGCCCGACAGCACGCTTTTCCTCTTCCACAAGCTTCCGCGGGGCTTTCTTCTTTTCGGGCTTTGGCTCCAGCTCTGCAGGGGTAGTAGCCGCCACGGTCGAGCTCGTCTCTGACGACGCGGGCACAGAGCTGCTCTCGCCGGCCTCGATAATCTCTTCCACTTTCTCCAAGGCAGTCTCCTCCTTCTCGTCGGCAGGGTCGGCCGCGCCGGATTGCACGAGCGTGTTGAGAACGCCGGAGCTACGGAAGCTGTCGTAGTCGCCCGAATACTGCACACGGCCGTTGTCCAGGGCGACGATGTACTGGGCTCCCGCTGCGCACAGTTGGACATGATGGGAGACCAAAATGAGAGTACGACCACGCATGAGGTCACCCTTTAGGCACTCATGGTAAAGGTGGTGTGCGGTGTGGGCATCAACTTAGACTTAAGTTAGTATCGTGGAGCGCAAAAACACCCCATCACTGCTTACCGGCAGATAGCACGTCATCCAAGAAGAGCACCGAAGCACGCGAGTATACAGCGCGAGCAAGGGAAACTGCAGAAACAGGGTCAATGATATGCGCAGGCGGCATGGGGATGGCGGAAGCATACCTCGCGCTTTCTGACCGCCGGAAAGGTTAACCTGGATAGAGGTACGTTAGACAAGGCCCCCTGAAGTACTTCGTATGCACTTACTCCACGCTCTCCAATCTCGGATTCGTCACCATCCTCCAGAATTTCCAGGTCGCTCAGCAGCGCGCACGCTTCGAGCACTTTAATGTACCGCTCCTCCACGTATGGGAGGTCAAACAGGATGTTTTCTAAGTCCCGAGAGTCAGTTTCACCCACTTCCCAATGCTTTCCACAAACAACTTACCTTTGATCGACGCATTGCGCAGCCACGCAGACTGCGGAACGTACGCACACACGCCCGAGACGATCCACTCCTCCTGCGGCACAACTACCCCAGCAAATTTCGCGATCGTGTCCGGGGGCGAGCGCGGGCAGATCATCTGGCCCGACAGCAAATCCGCCTCCCCAAGGAGCGCGAGCAGCAGCAACGACTTGCCGCTGCCGAGCTTCCCGCAGATGAGCGAGAGCTCCCCAAGCGGGAAGTCGAGCGTGAGGTCGACGAGGATGAATTTGTGCCGGGGCGTGGAGGCGGCGGAGGGCGCGGAGGACGCGCCGCGCGTGCGGTCCTGTGGCCAGGTGACCGTGGCGGACTGGAGCGCGATGCGGGGGTCCTGCGTCGCAAGCGGGGGCACGGGCGCGACTTCGGCGCCGTGCAGGTATTTCTCGATGCGGCGGAGGGAGACGGCGCATTGGAGCATGTTGATCAGGGTTTCGGGGAGCGCGTTCAGCGCGAACTTCATCTCGTTGAAGACTAAGATAATGTGAGCGGAGCTAAACATTGACGGGGAAGCACAAGATACCTACCACTGATCGAAGTGAAGGCGACAGAGGGGGTCAGGAGCTGTCCTCGGACGACCGTGAAGTGCCAGAACGACACTAGTGTGACCAAGATGGGCGAGCCATTCCTGTGCAGTTCAGTGTTAGCTATATGCAAGGCCACCATTGAGACATTTCACAAACCAGATCGCGTTCCAAAGGACTTCGATAATGTAGTTAAGCTTCTGGTATTTGAGCTCGCGCTCGCGCACCTTGAGAACACGAGCCTCGAAGCTGCGCTCCCAAGCCATGAACTACCGCCACTGTCAAGCATCACCTACTTGAACATATTGAGAATTTAAACGCACCTTGAGCATCCGGATACCGCCCAAAATCTCATTCATAAGCGCGACACGCTCATCCCGCGCCTTCATCAAGTTATCCTGCGCGCCCACAACGACCTTGCCCGCGAAGTGGTTCATCGGCAGGAACAGACACGTCACCGCGAGCCCGAAGAAGCACGACACGCCCAGTAGGCTGTACAAGAACATCGACCCGATCACGATCTCAATCGGCGCGTCGACAATGGTGAACAGGTGCCACGCGAACTCGGAGACGCGGTCGACATCCGTCGTCATGAGCGTCATGATCTGCGCCTTGCTCGAGAAGCTGTCCTCGTCGTCCTTCTTGTCTGCTTTCTTGTCGCCCTCGGGTGTCGCGGGCGTGGTCGCGGGCGCGGCGTCGGTGCCGGGCGCGGACCCGGTGGAGGAGGCGACGTCCTTGCGCACGAGGGTCTTCGCAAAGAGGATAGAGTTGAGCTGGATGCGCAGGCGCACTTGGAGCGTCGTGGTCGACAGAGACCAGAGCTGACCCGTCACTGCGCGCATCCCGTTAGCACTCACGGATTATGTTCAGCAAAAGACACGAAAACATACGGATTTGGGACGAGGCATGGCTGGCAAACAGGGCTGCGCAGAACACGAAGCCCCAGCCTCTGAAGTCACGCGTGCTGTCCACCTCCAAGTACTGCACCACACGCTTCAGGAAGTACGCCGGAACGTAGAAGAGCACAGCGCAGACCGCAGCTAGAGAAATCACGATCGTCATGGTGGCTGCATTCACCCGCAGCAAGCGGTATCCCAACTCGATGCCGGAGCCAGGCCGCGGCGTCCACGACCAAACCTTGAGCTTCCACCGGCGCATCGCTGCGCGCATAGACGTGTAAATCGTGGTGGCGCGCATGTCCGCAGGCACGATCGGCAGGTCGCCGATCTCGAGGCTTTCGGCCGTGTTTCCGAGCATCACGACCTTTGTGGTATACGAGAATAGCAGATAGTCTAAGACGGACGCGTCTAGGATAACACTGTCAATAGCGGTTTGAGAACTGTGATATTGGATAGTTACTCGTTATCCCGCAGACGTTGTCTTCGTACGTCGAGGTGATTTGCATGAGCGTCTTGTCCGAGTAGATCTTCGACGACGGGAAGTGGAGCGGCGGGCCGCGTGGGGTCGTCGCAGCAATCGCCGTGCAGACAGCGTACAGCGCAGACACAGCATACCAGAGCGCCCAAGGAGCGGTAGACTCGGAGGTTACAGAGATCACAGGTAGCGGTTTTGCTGGTAGGATCGCCGTGATACCGAGCAGCACCGTCGCGAAGAAGTTGAGCGCAGACAGATGGATTATCGAATGCGCGTGCTTCGAGTGTGTCTGGTTGACGGCGCGAACTGAGAGAATGAGCGTGTACAGCGCATAGGCGATTTGCAGAGTGTAGACCGCGATGTTTTGACGGTCGTCCTCTGCGATAGACCAGCCCAGGCCGACGGCTTGTATGGCGAGAACGGCACCTAGCAAGACAGACATCCCGAGTTTCCACAGGCGCATCTAAGGATAAAACGACGTGAGTACCACTGCGAAATGGCGAGGATCGAAACTCGATTCGCAGGCGTGAAAGAAAAATAGGACCATGCAAGTCGTATCCTGCAGTTCGACTGAACGTAGGGTTGGCGAACTTTCAATCCAACGTGCACGAAGCTGCCGCAGTCACAGTTCTCACAGACAGAATTCCTGTACATGTGACGATTCCCAGCTAGAGCGCTGCATATAACGGAAAAGCCCGGTCTTCCTCCCCAAAAGCTCTATTCGACGGTCTATGCCCTCTGCCCAACTCAGGCTGACCGAAATGACTCCCCAGAAAGACGCGTTATGGACAATTGAATTAGACAGTATCGGGTAGTCTCTCCATTGCGAAGCGCTGAGAAGCGAAAACCCAAGGGTAGGAGCACCCCGTCAGCGCGTCCAACGCTCAACGCAACCTCAAGGGGGCACTCCCTCCACGCTGCGACCGCAAACATGAGATACCCCCCGACCTATTCATCGGCTGTATGCTATATTAGACTGAACGTGCGCTTCGCCGTACTCGGGGAACTCCAAAAGGTCTTGAAATGTGGCGTAACGCGACAATCCCCCCGATGGTTAAGGGAACTGCAGGTTACGCTCCAGCAACGTGCCCATACGCGCACATTACTCGAGAATTGGTTCTAGATGGACGCTGGCCACATACCTTGGACCAGAACCGCTGTTCGTCTATGGGAACGCCGTCCACGAAGTCTTCGGCGGTGGCGACGTCGTACGGGTCGCGTTCGAGCGCCTCGTCGCCCTCCACGAACGTCGGGAGCGCATTTTTCTTTTCCTCGGGGCCTGCGAGGGCGAATAGACCAAGACTTGTCACGAGTCCAGTAGTGAGCGCGATGGCGACGTGCAGCTGGTATTCGGGCATGGCGCGTGAAGCAGAGGGGATGTAGAGAGCACAACCAGACCACCACCCAAGATAACCAAGAAGATAACCAGGCCGAGGTTGACCGGAGCCGCGTCGCCCAGGAGTCAGTCCGAGTGACGGTAAAAGCAAAGGTTTCCTTACCAGACCCAGCGCTCGCTCGACGCCCGAGACGGTCGAGTTCCTCCGGGACCGCGATCGGAGCTCGGCACGGCGCGCGGATTAGATAACGAAATGAGTACCGTACGTAACCGCATGGCGCCCTCTGCCAGTGGCGTAGATTGATAGACGACACCGTAGAGCCTCAGAAAGCGAGAGCATGCACAAGTAATCATACAGGTCGGAGACAAGAAATTGCAAGCACAGATGCAGCAAAAGTTCACCGAGTCACTCACTCAGGCTCAGGAAGCGCTCGATCACGAAGTAGTTTAGCGCCAACGTGAGTCCTCCTGAAGTTTCATTCACAGCCACAGCCTATAATAGAGTAGATGTAGTCCCGCAAAGGTGCTGAATTGAGCGAATAAATAATCAGCAGCACTGGCTCAACGATCAGGAGAATGGCGTGATAATAATATGCAGTAGCAGCGCGACGCGCGCTCCGCCACAGTTAAGTAAGTACTACTTATCGGTCGAAAGCGACACTTCTGATTCGCTAGGGCGAGGCTACTGGGTCGCAGCCAATCAGACGCAGCACCGCTTCTGCGTCGGCCACTTTATGCGTGCAGCGCCCGCCCGGGGTTGAACGAAACTTCATGCGACGTATGCCCCTAGTACTGTCTCCGAGACCTGCGCTCTCTGCATTACCCCAGGAGATAATCAAGCGTATATGTCGTAGTATTCTCACCCGCCCCAACCGTCGCACTATTGCAGATCCTCGTGCGTTGGTGTCCTTGGCTGTGTCATGTCGCTATATCAGTGAAGCTGCGCTGGACGTGCTTTGGCACACACTGCCATCCCCGTGGCCCTTGCTGTATACGTTACCGAGCGACCTGTGGACTTTCCTTTCCGTGACGGTGAGGGATATGTGGGGAGGGGCCATGAAGCAGCAGGCGGTACGTGTCTCACCATGGCACTCAAGATTTGTACAGGACTTCGCTGATTATCATAACCTTTTGCAGCAATTCCTTCGAGACCCAGTTCCTTCAGATTTCTCTCGCTTCACAATATACTCTATCCGCATCAAAAAGATCGGATATGACCAGGATACTTGCCCACTTGGTAGCACTCAAAATTGCATGCTCGGCTTTGATATCTGGGACGCGCTCCTCCTTCATGGGCCGAAACCCTTACTTCCATCTATACGATCCCTCTTCCATTCCGAGGAGAAATTTCGCGCGGAGAGGAATCACGTCGAAGTCGACTCTTTCGAGGCCTCGCCCCTGCTTTTTGGACCAGAGCTCAGGGAGGTTGACCTGCGAGTTCCAGAGATCAGGGCAGTGTACCCCGAACACCGTCCCGCCGAGCTCGTCAAGCAGTTAGCTTTGGCAGCGCCGCTCCTCGAACGTCTGACGCTCCAAGCCCACCGACTCTGGCATCTCCCTGGGACAAAGTCTTCATGTTTGTCGGGTTCCGGCATTGGCGAGTTCCGCCGCCTAGTGTACTTCAGCGGACACTCCATCCACGTCGATCCGGAGGCGCTTTTGGCTCTAGGATCCCTGCCGAGTCTACGGGACATACGGCTGCACGTTGACTCCCAGAAGTATGCCTGGGACGCGTTACCCCACGAGAGGCACAGCAAAGAGCTGTTCCCTGGCCTCACCAAACTCGACCTATATTATACCGACTTCGACTGGTGTTCTGCATTCTTACGCGTAGCGACGCCGACGTCGCTCCAAACACTCTGGATCACTGACGAACGCGCTGTGGTACCCGCCCTCCAGCTCGAGGGACTCTGCGCATCAATCGGCGACCTGCCTTGTGCCCATTCGCTGCGCGAACTCATTATCACCACCGGCCGTAACCTCTCAAATATGGAGCGCGTGGTCTGCCACCCGCGGCGGATCGCGCCCTTGCTCGTCCCTAGTTTGAGTGGGCTCCGGCGCATCAAATTTCCAAGGTCGATGCCGAGTTGTTGTGGACGACCGAACGCTCGACGACATGGCACGTGCTTGGCCCGCCATCGAACAAGTCAAGTTCGTGGTCCAAGACACATCCCCTGACAATGAACTATACGGCCCGTCCGATGTCGAAATGTGGCCAGGAACACCCATATCCGATAATCCCGGCTTTCCAAGGGCAACCCTCGTGGGCCTCACTGCGTTCGTACGTCGCTGCCCCAGGATCATGGTGCTCGCGCTCGCGCTAGACATGCGCGTGGTCCCCGAACTCGCTACGCGCCTGCCTTCTGCACCTCGCGCCTGCGAGCTCCACGCGTCGGCCTCACTCAAGCAGCTCTTTGCGGTAGGCTCGGTCCCCCGCGATCCCCTCCGTTTTGCCGCTTTTCTGTGCGCGACGTTTCCGCAGCTAGAGGCCGTCCAGTGTTACGCGGACCTGCGGGGACAGGTGGAGTGGTATCACCGGAGGCTCGTGATTGTGCGGCAGCAGGAAAGGAAGTGGGCGCTCGCGCATGGGAGAAATCTCTGAGAGCCCGCGACGCAGGTGTCGTGAGGTTGATACATGATATCTCTGTCCATACTGTAGGTTGAACCTCAGGGGGCATCCAAATCATGTTTGAAAAACGATCGTACACGTTCGCTGCTCGCTAGATGATCGCTAGTCCTCCAATTCGAGTCATAGAGTCATACAAACCATCGACATAAGTAGTCGTACACCTCGAACTTACGAAGCCATGCTTCCTTCACGCAGTCTCTTGCGGGTGCACGACCAACTTCTTACCAGATACCTTCTTCGCCTTGAGCCGCGCGAGACCCTCAGTGACGCCAGCCAGCCCGTTCGGCAGCACCTCGACCGGGTTCGGCTACGTGCAAAATGGATCAGCTACTCCATACCCAGAGCTATAGTGCAGTGGACGCCGTACCTGAATTTTCCCCTTCTCCAACCATCCCGCGATCTGCTTGAACAGCGCGAGGCCCGTCTCCCGGTTGCACGGCAGCCGCGCGCTCCCAAACGAGTAGCCAATGCGCTTGCCATCCCCGGCGTTTGCGACGTCCTCCGGAATCTGCGTCGGGTTGGCCGCCACTGTGGCGAGCGCGCCTCCAGGCGCAAGGGCGTCGCGTCCGAGGCGCAGAGAGTCCGCGTCGATCAGGGCGACGAACACGAACTCGAGAGGTTTCCCGTCCAGGAGGGCAGGGAGTTCGGCGAGGATGGACTCCTTCGTGCGGGACCGGTCGAGGACGTGCGTCGCCCCGAGAGACTTCAGGAGCGGCGCGTTGTGAAGGGATGCGGTCGCGATGATCGGACTGTGTCCTGCGAGCCGCGCAAGCTGTATGGCTGCAGTGGACGCGTCGGTGAGCGGTTGGAAGGAGACTGGAGAACAGAATGAGGTGTACCGAATTGTCCCAGCGAGGTGGAGCCGGCAACAATTAAGGCGGGCGTGCCAGCATAGGCGGTCGCGCCCTCTGCCTCCCAGACGGGCTTCAGACGGAGTGAGAGATTCTCGGCAGCAGGAGAATGATTGTAGAGCGCCATGACGTCGGAGACGAGTGCGAGCGGGAGGGTCGCCGCCTGGTCGAAGGTGACGTTGTCGGGAATCTGAAAGGAGTTTGAGGCAATTAGTTATATCCAAGCTGCACTACCAGCGACGGTCTGAGCGCACCATGGCGGTGAGATCGGCCGGGACAATGGCGTACTGCTGGCACGTCGCCCCCGGGGTACCGCCACTGCCTTGGAAGACGCTGTCGGAAAAATCCGTCAGTGAATGCGTGCAGAAATTATCATGGTGTATGCTGGCCGGACGTACATTTTGTCGCCTTTCTTGAGGCTCGTAACCTCCGTGCCGAGCTCGACAACAACACCTGCGCCGTCATATCCGGGGACGTGGGGCCACTCTTGCACGAGAAACCTGGAAAACGGCGGGTCGACGACCGCGTAGTCGACCGGGTTCAAAGCGCATGCGACAATCTGCACGAGGACGTCCTTCGGCCCCGGGCGCGGGACGGGCATCTCCTCGACAGCGTACGGAGTGCTCTCCTTGCGCAAGACGAGCGATTTCTGCGTGGTTGGGATAGACATATCTGTAGAGGGTGCCAGTGTTACTGTAGGGTTTGCGAGGTGTCTGACGACGTTGCTGGAGAGGCACCCCTTTTATGTTGCGAGCTATGGGCCCCGCGCAGATAGCAGCTATTGCTACGCGGAGAAGCTGCCATCGCGGGAGCAATTTTGAAGTAAACAAGACACCTCAGCATCTCCGAAAAACCGGCTTTCTATGGTACTACGAACCAGAGAGCACGCAGGATGTCCGAGAGGAGCGGGGTCAATGGCGGAGGTAGCACATAAGTGGGGACGATGGAGTTCAATCTGGCAGGGGACACCGGCTCCCCACGTAGACCTAGAGTTCTAGGCCTGATACATTAGTTTTAACAAAGCTGTAACATGTGCGCTATGGAGACTCACTGCGACGGCAATCCCATCGCTAGAGCGAGTGACTACGGCTCCAGCGTTTGCGTTTCACATACGAATGTCCCATCTTAGAACTCAGCGCTGCCATGCATTCTTATAGGCATCTGGATACATCGTACACTTCACCGAACAGTCAAGTCGCAAATCGAGGTCCCGGATGAACCAACAACTCCCTTAAACGGTCTCCTGCGGACGCGCGACCAGCTTCGTGCCGGACACCTTGTTCGCCTTCATCCGCGCCAGCCCCTCGTTGATCCCAGCGAGTCCGTTCGGCAGCACTTCGACTGGATTCGGCTAAAAGCACAACATGTCAGTTCTCCCGTAATATCCCCAACTTCGAATCCGATGTACATACCTTCAGCAGGCCCTTCTCCAGCCACCCCGACAGGTGCTTAAACAGATCCACGCCCGTTTCATGCGTATACGGCAACCGCGCGCTCCCAAACACATACCCTACGCGCTTCCCTTCTCCCGGGTTCGCCACGTCCTCCGGAATGCGCTGCGGCGCCGGCAGCACCGTCGCCAGCGCACCCCCGGGCGCCAGCGCATCGCGCGCGAGACGCAGCGCATCGGGGGCCGCGACCGCAGCGAACACGAACTCGAGCGGCTTGCCGCCCAGGATGGCGGGGAGGGAGGCGAGGAGGGCGTCGTTGGGGAGGGCGCGGTCGAGCACGTGCGTGGCGCCGAGGGACTCGAGGAGCGTGGCGTTGTGCGGGGACGCGGTGGTGATGATGGGGGTGTGCCCGGCGAGGCGCGCGAGTTGGATGGCTACGGGATAGAAGGTGCGGGTCAGCGGGCGGGCAAGATGAGGGTGGGGGATGGGGGGAAGGGGACGTACCGATTTGGCCGAGCGAGGCGGCGCCGCCGACGATGAAGGCGGGCGTGCCAGCGTATGCAGTCTGGCCCTCGGGCGTCCAGACGGGCTTGAGGCGAAGGGAGAGGTTCGCCTCAGCGGGGGACTGGTTGTAGAGGGACAGGACGTCGGTGGTGAGCGCGAGCGGAAGGGTCGCTGCTTCTTCGAACGTGATGTTGTTTGGAATCTGGAAGGAGACGCGTTAGTTACGTTGGCTCCGATGATCATGGAGGAGTATACGTACTATTGCAGTGAGATCAGCAGGGACAATAGCGTATTGCTGGCACGTGGCCCCAACGGAGGTCCAGGTTCCCTGGAAGACACTGTGTGGCAAACATCCATGTCAGTATGTGTATACCGGCAACATCAATATAGAGGAAAGGCTTGGCGGGAGGACGTACACCTTGTCGCCTTCCTTGAGGTTCGAAACTTCTGAGCCGAGCGCGACAACGACGCCTGCACCGTCGGTTCCCGGGACGTGCGGCCACTCTTTGATGAGCATTTTGGAGTACGGCGGGTAGACGATGGCCCAGTCGACCGGGTTGAGGGCGCATGCGTGTATTTGCACGAGGACATCCTTCGGTCCAGGGGTCGGCACAGGGGTCTCTGCGACGACATAGAGAGCGCTCTCCTCGCGGGCGAGAAGCGTCTTCTGGGTAGTCGGGATGGCCATCTTTGTGAAGTGATGAATGTTGGTGGTTAGCGAAGTATCTGGAGGCGTTGTTGGGTAGTCCGGAAATTGGAAACGGGCTTCTTATACTATGCCAGACGTGGACGCGTACTACGACTGCGCGCGACGCGCGTCCGCACAGATGGCAGGTGTTTGATTCAGAACGACTTGCAAAGCCGCGATCCTGCCAGGAGCTACGCAAACATGACGAAGCAAGCCGGAGAGACACTTCACTCTTTCATTACCGGCACCCCAGAAACTGGAGTTTGCGACCCCATGAACGAAAAGGAGCTGCGGAAGACGTCCCCGACATCGGAGTTAGCAGATCAGAGGTAGGCTCGTAAACCAGCCTCACGTACGGAGGCGGAAGACAATCGTTCCTCCCGAATCAGAGGAATCGATCGTGCATGGCACTGCAGCTTTGGGTAGTAGATGTCGACTTGTCGTGTAAGCCCGCATGTGGCAATGAACCTGGAAAACGTGAAAGCGCGTAAGCTCACCTCTCTACGAGAAAATCAGAACTGGACCTACAGACGTGTATAAGGGACGAAGCGTGGCGGCAGCGGCACGATGACTCAGTCTGATCCATTTAGTACAGTGGGACTATCCAGGTTCCATGATCGCAGCGCTCCCAGCTCTCAAGGTGGGATCTCCGAATCCAAAGATGTTGACCATGCTATTGACTCATCCGGTGGTCGTCGGCGTTCCTCCGGGTTGCATACCAAGGCTGGGTGAACCGGTACCTCAAGCTCAAGATGTTTCGAACCTGGGTAGGGCCGCGCGGCCACTTGCAGAGTGATACAGTACCACTTTTATTGCTGACTCACAGTATGTAATTTTCATACATCACTGCAAGCCTACTTACCTGTGGTGCTGGCGACGCCCTCATATGCAGAAAATACAGGCTGAACGAGCATTTGGGTGAGTGGAGGGATCCAAGGGAGTACAGCCTCTTTCCGATGCCAGCGGCGACGGCAAATACCGACATCGGGCGCTCCGTAAGACTCGGATGCCAGTTGCCGCAGGCCAATGTTGGCGACTCTGGGGCGTTGCGGAAGCGCGGCGAGGGAGAGCGAGGGTCATTAAGTTGTAACTAGAGCCGCTCCGGGATATTCTTCAAGTTGGGTTTGCTCTTCAAGATTCTATCCCAAATCCCGAGTTCCGTTTTGAACAGTATTTACCAATCCTCTTATCAAGCGAGTGTCGGCGCAGCGTCAACGTGAATGCAGGGAGGGATTGACGATGCCGAAAAAGCAGATGACGCGAATGCTTCACTCAATATATTCGTACGCGTTCTGATCTTCATACATTGTTCTGACAGCTACGATTCCTGCTAGGTCTACATATCCCACCAAAAGTAAACCCACCTGTCACATTCATACCAAGGTCGAGATCTTACAATGCCAATCTCGAGAGGCAAACCCGCATCCCCTTCAAGCAGTCTCTTGCGGACGTGCAACTAGCTTCGTGCCAGACACCTTGTTCGCCTTCATCCGCGCAAGGCCCTCATTGATACCCGCGAGCCCGTTCGGCAAAACCTCCACTGGGTTCGGCTAGACGCATATTCAAGTAAGCTTTCTCTGTACGACAAAAGCAGCTTGTCGGAAGATCATACCTTGAGCAGCCCCTTCTCCAACCACCCCGAAAGCGCCTTAAACATCGCCACGCCCGTCTCGACGGTATACGGCAGCCGCGCGCTCCCAAACACGAAACTCAGGCGCTTGCCGTCCCCGATGTTCACGACATCCTCCGGGAGCATCTGCGCCTGCGGCGAAATGGTAGCGAGAGCGCCCCCCGGTGCGAGCGCGTCACGCCCGAGGCGCAGCGCATCGGCCGACGCGACCGCGACGAACGCGTACTCTAGATGTTTCCCGCCAATGAGGACGGGGAGCTCGGAGAGGATGGATTCGTTTGAGCGAGAACGGTCGAGGACGTGCGTCGCGCCGAGGGACTTGATGAGCTCCGCGTTGTGCGGGGACGCGGTCGCGATGATGGGGTTGTGGCCTGCCAGGCGGGCGAGTTGAACGGCTGGCGGAGAACATGTGGTGTTAGCGGGTGGACTTTCGATGTATTGCGATGCGATTTACTTACCCACTTGTCCCAGAGACGCGGCGGCGCCGATGATGAGAGCGGGAGTGCCGGCATATGCGGTCTGACCCTCGGCCTCCCACACGGGTTTTAGGCGGAGAGAGAGGTTCTGGGGAGCAGGAGACTGGTTGTACAGCGACATGACGTCGGTGGTGAGCGCGAGCGGGAGGGTCGCAGCCTGCTCGAACGTGAGAGTGTCCGGAATCTGAAGAGTGGGTAAAGGTGATCAGCTGCGTGCCAGTGCTCAATGACTAACGAGGAAGCATACTATGGCAGTAAGTTCGGCGGGGACGATTGCATACTGCTGGCACGTCGCTCCGACTCCTCCTCCGCTCCCTTGAAAGACGCTGTTGACAGAAGTACACGTGAGTATGTATGCTGCACGGTATACAGTAACCGAGGATGCCGGGAAGACATACACCTTGTCGCCTTCCTTCAGGTTAGTGACGTCCGCACCAAGCGCGACGACAACACCGGCGCCGTCACTCCCCGGGATGTGCGGCCACTCCTGAATGAGTATCTTGGAGTAGGGCGGGTCGACGATGGCGTGATCTACCGGGTTGAGAGCGCACGCAAAGATCTGAACAAGGACATCCTTCGGCCCTGGGGTTGGGACGGGTGTTTCCTCGACAACGTAGGGAGCGCTCTCCTTGCGAAGGAGAAGCGATTTCTGGGTGGTCGGGATGGACATATTGCGCGATGCTGGTAAGTACTGTGATAGTCTGTGGGGTGTTTAGCCGGGGTGTTGTTTCTTATACGATAGAGATGCTTGATCACTCCGCGCGTCTACACAGACGCGGTAACACTGCAATGCGGAGTGAGGAACTAGGCAATTTAAGGCGAGGGCGTCGAAGCGACAAAGCGCTAGAGTAAGCCGGGGCAACACCTCACCAAGTACTGCGGTCCCGGCATACAGGGGCACAGGTAGACGACCATTGAAGAAGCCTGCCAGTGACGGAATGCCGATCGCGGGGGTAGCACGTAAGCGGGGGCTATCAAGTTCGGAGGCTATTGAGTTCGGGGCTGCTAGTGGGTGCCAGTAGGCACAAGTTCCCAGTGTATGCTTGAAGCTAACTTACTGGCCACGGGCCTGGTCCGTGTGTCTGAGTAATAGAGGTGTGGACCGGAAGTAATTGCTTGTGCTCACCGCGAAGCTGCTCTCTTTCAGGGTCGATTGCTTATACATAACGCCGACCATCGGCAATGGTGCCCATGGCTCACGAAGACCAGTTTCAGCAGCGAGACGAGTCCTAGTTCTACCCTGTGCTGCATACGCTGTTCTTCAGTCTGTTTTACGGGGCGACAAAGGGCAGGCAACTCACCCATCATCACGGCCCACCATGTTTGCAATGTCACACTCGGTGCTCGTTGGAGGCAGCCAAGTTGACACATTCGGTGGCTGTTCCTCCGTAACACGTCAATTCTTGATGTTGCAGCTTAGAGTCGGTAGGAGCCGCACTGCGGTCAATATACATCATCGCGCCTGTTCAGAATCTCGACCACCGCAAACTCGAATAAGTACGAATGCGTCGTACACCAGTCGAGTCGTGCTTGATAATCGGAAAGAATCCCGCAACGCCCTCACACGGCCTCCTGCAGACGCGCGCTACCAACTTCTTGCCTGATACTTTGTTCACCCTCCGGCACGCAAGCTCCTCGCTGCTACCCGCTAGGCCGTTCGGCAGTACCTCGACTAGGTTTGACTGCACGCAAAGAACGTCAGCTGCATCCAAGTGTCTGTATCACGTCGACGTTGAAAATGAATACGGTACCTTCAAGTTTCCTTTCCAGGTGGTCCGTGATCTATTCGTACATCGTGATGTCCGTCTCCTGATTGAATGGCGCGCGCAGAGATAATGTTGGCCGCGAAGTCTTCGCAAAGCCTGAACGCTGGTTGCGCACGCAAGGTGCAGCTTGAATCACTTCAGCGGTACAAATCTACAGCTAGACCCGCGCTGCCATGCCACCGCGCCTGATGGTAGTACGGACCACAAATGAACGGGATGAGACGCAGCCAGAAGGTGTCCTCCATCGGGGTGCCAATCGCCCACGCTTGGAACGTCATAATTGTGTACTCGGACCAGATGGGATAGAACCGGGACATGCCCCAGTCTATGAGCCACAGCCGACCATCATCCCCAACGAGGATGTTCCGCATGTTGAGGTCGCCGTGCGTCAGCACGAGGGGGTGTGAATCATCGAATGGCTCCCGGTGACTCGCCTCCGCCTCCTCAGGTGGGACGCTCCAGTAGGTAGTCTCGATCTCCATCGACATCCTGTTGCGCTCGTTCCAAAACGCGGCCAGCTCGGCGTACGATGCGAACGGACCGCGCTCTGGCCTGCGAGCGCCAAAGATGTGGGAATGGCAGACTCGTGCCTCGAACCCAGGAGCGACCGGCCCAGGGACGGCTGCGCGGGGGTGGCGGATGGCGCGGAGCTGGCGGATGTACCGACGGAGGATGAAGCCGACACGGAGCTTCTGAAAGAACGACATGGTCGGCCAGACGTGCTTGAGCTGCCTTCCTTTGATATAATCCATGATGATGAACGTGTCTCTGCCGGTGCCAATAACACGACGAACGCGTGGGACAGGGATGGTAGTGTGGCGGAAGACCATGTCGAGGGCTGTGGCCTCGGAAGATTCTGGCCCATCGAACACTATCTTGTCTACTGTGTCGTCGGTGAGACGGAGGATGTGATTGTCGCCGAGCTCGACGCCGAGCTCTTCACTGAGAGTCGGTCTCTCATGGGGAAGAGCGCGTATCTCTTCCTCGGTAAGGTGATCGACGTCGGATGGCTGTTTATAGAGGTCCACAAGCAGACTATCTTAGCTCAATGGGTGCGTATTTTGGGCGTTGTGCTTACCCCATAGTCGGATGATGGGCGAGTGGTGGGCACAACACCGACTATAGTGCCGATGTCGTCCAAGACGTCCGCCACAAAGCCCAGGAGACGATAGAGGCAGTATTTTACACGTTCAGCTTGCATTCTGCAGGGTCGTTTCTGATTTCTGGGGAGTGAGTTAACGAGAACTGCTGTGTCTGATAGATGGAAGACAGTATTCTGTGAAAACGAGAGAGCCGCACGGCTTGAGGTCGAGGAGAAGGAAAGGCTGGGAATAAGCTAAGAATAAGCGCGCAATACATGTTCTGCTTTAAGCGCTCGTAGTCGTCAGGCGCCTGTCCGCTAGCAGCCAAACGTCTCTCGTCCTGCCACCATCCAAAGCTCCCTTTCTTAGTTTGACAACATGGCAGATGCTGGTGAGCTTTTAGACTAATGTTCGCCGGCGTGTATGCGAATCTGAATGTACTACTTGCACAGGTTTCTTCAAGGGCACTTCAGCCGACCAAGACCGGCGGTTTTCAGACAAGGAGCTCAAGCTCCTCAAAACCATGAAGTTCCCACCAGAGTTCGAGAAAAAGGTACATAACAAACCAGTCTGAACGGTGCATAGGATGCTCAAGATACCACAGGTCGACATGCGCAAGGTTAACCTGTCAGTCATCCGTCCGTGGATCGTGAAGAAGGTCATAGAGCTGGTCGGCTTCGAGGACGAGGTGGTCGTGGAGTACGCGATGGGATTGCTGGAAGATGATGCAGCACCGGTACGTCCCGTCTTTGTTGCTCAGTGTGCGCATGCTCATGCGACGCAAGACTCCCGACCCGCGCAGGATGCAAATCAATCTGACTGGTTTCCTTACAAAATCGACACCTGCATTCATGTCTGCTTTGTGGCAGTTGCTTCTCGAGGCACAAGAATCGCCTGCAGGTGTGCCACGCACCTTTGTCGAAGAGAAGAAAGCGGAGATGCGTCAGGCCAAGGCTGGCGACAGCCGTGCGATCGAGGAGCGCGACCGTCGTGCACGACTAGATGACATCCGCAACAGTGAGCGCGACGCGCGTGGCGGAGCGCGTGGAAGAGGCCGTGGAAGAGGCCGAGGTGGCAGAGGCTTTTCAGACGATCGCGGCGGGGACAGAGCACGAGACAGTGGATGGGGCAACAGAGGCGGGGTACGTGTTACGAACTCATCAAGTTTACGGACTAACCTGACTGAAACGCTCTGCAGAGACCAGCAGGACCGCCCCGGCGCCGCTCAATGTCCAGATCACCCCCACCTCGTTCCCCGCCTCCCCGGAGGCGAAGATCTCCCTCCCGCGACAGCGCACGCAGCTCTCGCTCCCCGTCGCGCTCGCGCACTCCCCCTCCTCGTCGCTACCGCTCTCCCCCGCGAGGGGGCCGTTCTCTCTCCCGCACACCTCCCCGTCGGAGGCGCTCCCTGCCGCCACGATCCCTATCTCGTTCGCGTTCTCCGCCGCCACCAAGACGCCGTCTGCGCTCTCCTTCTGTCTCCCCGCCACGAGACAGGCGTCCGAGGGACTCTAGGAGTCCCCCGCCGCGTAGACGTCGGATTTCTCCCGGTCCCCGCTCACGCTCCCCATCACGCAGCCGCTCCCCGCCTCCTCGCAGCGGCGGATTCGGCCGGAGGCGGAGTCCCAGCAGGAGTCGTACTCCGCCTCGTAGGAGGCAGAGGAGCCTTAGCTTAGATAGGGACCGGAGCCCCCCGCCTAAGAGGCCCGAACCAAATGCTGGGAGGAGACGTGGTAGGTCACCTAGCCGTAGCAGGAGCCCAGGGCCCCGCAAAAACGACAGGATGGACGTGGATGGCGAGGGCAGAAATGGGCGAGATGCCGACCGCGGTGAGCTCAAGATTCGAGGCCAGGCTGATGCTGAGCGGCGCAAGGACCAGAGCATGGATATCGACTCAGAACAGGTCAGTAATCCCAATCTGATATAGCTTTGCAGTTCACTGACAATGATTGGGCTCGCTTTGCAGGTGGATAAGGCTGAACTAGCACGGAGGGAGAGCGAGCTGAAGGAGAAGGCGTTGCGTAATAAGGTCGTGCGCACCCGCAAGACCAGTGGGTCCGCCAACGCTGCTTCCGGCTCGGGCTCGGGCTCTGGCAACTAGGCGTTCATCGACCAGGCGTCCGCCATGCTAGCCTATCCGTATATTTCCACCTTACTCTACCTCTACGTTGTGCTTACCGTTCGCCTTTCCATGCATTTGTCAGAACGTGACCACCTTCTTGACACTCGCCCCCGAAAAGCCACCCATGTCGATGCGTACCCGTCGTAAACGTATTCTTGTGCATGTATGCGCTATTTTTGTTCCCTATTGATGATGTCTTTCTATGCCAGACCGTAGGGCAAGCTATCTATAGCACACGGCAGATCAGCCGTTACGGCGCTGGCGGGGCGCATCCCATGTGGGGTATATCCGTCCGACGCGAACTTGCAGCGCAATACCCCACCGCGGTGCGTCTTCGGGCTAATCGCGGACGCCTTCTCCCCCGCAACGTCATGCCAACACTGTTACTCTAAACGGCGATAGACGATAACGCTCGCCCCGACATACCGCATATGACCACCCTACTCCACCTCTGAAGTCCCCTCGGTTCTTCCTGTGAGCGCGTCGTGGCCGGGGGCAAGGGAAGAAACGCGGATATACGCCGTTCGCGCGTGCCATCCTGGGTTGCGGCTATCTTGGGACCAATAGGGTGACGCTATATTGAACTTCGTCTGTTTCGGTTCTCGCGAGAATCCCTCCGAGCTTTTGACAGTACAACCGAGGCTCGTCGCTTCGGCAAAATGGCTGGCGAGGCAGAGGAGGATCAGGTATAAAGCGTCGACGGGTAGACGTGCGAGGCTCCTCAGGTCCTTCGTTCTCTCTACCGGCTCACCTTTCGAAAGGATCTACCAGCACCTGCAAGGATGTTCGCAAAGCTCGTCGCTGCCGCGGCGCTCGTAGCGTCTGTTGCCGCCCACGCGACGTTCCAGGAGATGTGGATCAACGGTGTCGACCAGGGCTCGTCCTGCGTGCGTCTGCCGCTGAGTAACTCGCCCGTCACCAGTGTGTCTACCAGCGTATGTATTCCGTTCATATTATTCCAATATACAGATGCTGATGCATGTTTGTGACAGGACATCGCTTGCAACGCCAACGCCACCCCGAGCAAGGGCATCTGCCAGGTCATGCGTAAGTTTGGAATTGTCATGGCTTTGTAGCTTTACATGTCGGAATTTGACGATGTGCGAAACGCGTAGCTGGTGATGCGGTCACCGTCGAGATGCACCAGCAGCCCAATGACCGGTCGTGCACGAACGAGGCTATCGGCGGGGACCACTATGGCCCCATTAACGTGAGTCTGCATCCTCGAGTGTCAGGGTAGGCAGAAGCCTGACTCCAGCGTTAGATCTACATGGCGAAGGTCGACGACGCGACGAGCGCGGTTGGCTCGTCCGCCAAATGGTTCAAGGCTGCAGAGATGGGCATGCCTTCGAACAACCCTGACTACTGGGCTACCGGTAAGTGTACCAGCACCTCTGCATCGTTTATCGGAGGCTTACTCTGTCCACAGAGGTTTTGAACGTACGCAGAGATAGCGCTGGAATTCAGCACTGGAGCTAACGTGTTGGCGCAGGACAACTGCGGACACTTCACCTTCACGGTCCCCGCCGGGATCGCACCTGGCAACTACCTGATCCGCGCCGAGGTTATCGGTGAGTTCTCTCGACGGTCGTTCATGCAGTAGCATCTAACAGTGGTACAACAGCTCTGCACGTCGCGAGCCAGGTTGGCGGTGCTCAGTACGTGTTCACCCTCTTCTCAAAGTCAATTGAAGCTCTGACACGGCGACAGGTTCTACATGTCCTGCTTCCAAGTCAACGTGCGTTCATCGGGTCAGACTCGGGATGCTTTGATGATTGACCTATCCGGCAGGTCGGCGGCTCCGGCACCGCGAGTCCACCTACGGTTAGCTTCCCCGGCGCATACAGCGCGCAGGACCCCGTACGTACCGGTATCGATGCACTCTCATTCGGAGGATATTCACCACACCCATTATACAGGGCATCCTCATCAACATCTACCAGCCGCTCTCCACCTACACCAGTCTGTGCATGCTCGTCGTAGTTCCAAGAGTGATCGCTGACAATTTCCCTCAGTTCCGGGACCCGCGCCGTTTGCGACCCCGTCGCCCGCTGTTGCCAACACCCCGTACCCGACGACTGCGACCTGGAACACTGCTCTTCAGCCGAAGACGGTCCCGACTTCCGTCCCGGCGGCCGGTGCTCAGGGCATCGGAAAGGCTTGAGTGTGCGAGGTGCCTGGTGCGGACTGTACGTGCTCGAAAAGTCGAATGTGTATCGAGATCAGATTCTTTCAATGTCCGGCCGTTTTTCGCGACATCCGGCTCATGAGTCTCGCCCAACATGATTGCGCGCATTTGCTGCAACGACGAGTTCAATGTGCCAAACTAGAACATCGTTCGAAGAGGTGTGGGAGTCTATGGTGGGAACATCAACTCGACTATACGCGAGGCAATCAGCGTTAAACAGGTCGCAGCGACATCCGGAATCTTTCGTCAGTTGCGTGGTCTGCTCACTCATTTTTCTATCATGCAGGTTTCAGATATTCCACCCTGAGATGATGCCGTTAACCAGAAGAACCGCTCTCCGAGAAGAACATGGGTGAGCATGAATGCCGTATTCACTTTGAGTCCGAAGGGTGTCGACCTTTATCTCACGGACGTCATGGCTGTTACCTCAGAGGCCTTGGAGGTCGCATTTGCAGCCCCGAACTGACCCGCGGCCAAGTTGTTTCCGGCCATGCTGATGGAGAAGCCCGGCGAGGTTGGGGGCGCGGAGAAGCAACAGTACCCCTCGGGCGTCGCAATCCTCCCCGATTCAGAACCTCCATCGCGGGCTAGATCGCTGGAACTAGCGCTTCGGTAAATGGCATCTCTTCCAGCTCAAGCCCCGTGGTCAGAAACGTTCGGCGTAAGCTCCTTTTTCGGTACTTTAAACCTTTTTACTGATGCTGGGGGTTGACGGTTACTGCTCAGGCTCTTCTTTACCTATGTGAGTGCAAGTGATAGCTGCGGAAGAAAGTATACAAGGCGGCGTCTCAGATCCGTCCAGTGCATCATGGATGCTCGGAAGCGAAGTGCAGTAGCGGAGATATATATATGTGCGTGTAAACCGGGGGCAATCGACTCCCATCCCTCATCTTCACCGCACCGCCATGGAGCCGATGTTGAATCCCGGTCCACTTTCGTCGCAGCAAGCCGTGCTCGCGATATGTTTCCTTGCCATGGTGCGTGTATGATATGTAGTTCTGTCGTCTGCATCTGACATTTGTTGTAGGTTGCGCACCAGCTCTTCCGGCACCTGGAGACCTACAGCATCCCTCTGCACACGCTTTTGATATCTCTCCCGATATTCGCAGGCTTTTCACTTCTCAAACCGACCACGCCGCCGCTGTATGCCGCTTGCATCTCCATTGCGGTCTTCTTTTCGGCTATGTTGGCGTCCGTGGTCGCCTATCGCATCTCCCCCTTCCATCGGCTCGCTCGGTATCCTGGCCCGTTCGGGTGTCGGGTGACCAAATTCTGGATGGCATGCATTGGATTCACCGGACGGCAGCATCTCTACCTCCAGAGTCTCCATGAGCGATACGGGGATGTTGTTAGGATTGGTACGTGCAGTTGATCTCATGCATTTGGCATACTTACGATCGTTGTAAAAACAGGCCCAAACGAGCTATCGTTCATAGATCCGTCCATTCGGGACGCTCTGCTGGGTTCGCCAGGGGTTCCAAAGGGACCTCGTGAGTCTTGTATCTAGAGCCTAGCATGGTTCAACTACTGATGATTACACACGCGGTAGAGATGATAGGGCGCATTCTTACCGTGACCAACCTGCCACTGCTGGCCATCGCTGACCCTGCTCTCCACCACGAGCGCAGGAAGCCATGGAACCGCGCCTTCAGTGCAGCAGCTACGAAAGAATACGAGCCATTACTAGTCAGCCGCGTATCACAGCTCGCACACGTCCTCGGGTCGCGAAAGGGAGAGTTCGACATGAGTAAATTCCTCAACTACTTCACGTAGGTCTTATTCGTTTCGGTACGCTCCTAAATTTTATCATGCTGCCGTTGCAGATACGACTTCATGTGTGATATGGCGTAAGTGTATATTGCACACAACGCGTAGTGTATCTACTGATATTACGGTTGTCAGATACGGAGGCGGCTCCGAGCTGCTTCGCGATGGGGATAAGACTGATATCTGGCACACCATGGAGCAAGGATGGCCGTAGGTTTCTAGCTCAGTCCCACGAACACAATGCACTCATGGTCATCCCAGGGCTGCGACGTTCCTCAGTCACGCCCCATGGCTGGGGTTGTACTTCGTTCACCTGCCGGTCGTATCTGCCTCTGTCGCCAGCTTGCTCTCGTATTGCAGGGAGTTTACGTTGCAGCGCATTCAACGCGGCGCTGTGCGCAAGGACGTCTTCCACTATCTGGTAACGTCGCGTACCCTCCTACTCTCCGGTTGGCCTCCATTAACATAAAGCCCTTATGATATGACGTAGAGCAATGAAGACCAGCTGGAGCAGGTGTCTCCTCCCGTGCAACAACTCGTCGACGACGGTGTACTTGCCATTGTCGCAGGCGCCGATACTACTTCGAGCGCGCTTTCGAGTCTATTCTTCAGCCTTGTCACACACAGAGACGTGTACGACAGACTCCAGGCTGAAGTAGATCGGTTCTATCCACAAGGCGAGAACACCGGCGACACGAAATATCACCGGGAAATGCACTACCTTACCGCCGTCATGTACGTCACAATCAACACGAGAGGCTAAGTTGTGTGTAATGACGGATTCTCTATGCAGAAACGAAACCTTGCGTCTGTTCCCGCCCGCTCCTAGCGGTAGTCAACGTCAGGTGCCGCACCATAGTCAAGGGATTATGCTGGGTCCATAGTGGGTCCAGTCTACCCGAAGCTCTCCTTCTCGTTTCCTCATACTGCGTTCACAGCTTCGTTCCCGCGGGAACCGCGATGTTCCTGCATCCATACTCGATGCACCGCGACCCTCGCAACTTCTCACCCTCTACCACCGAGTTCTGGCCCGAGCGCTGGCTCATCGCCGCTGGACGCGAAAAAGTCGCGTCTGGTGCAGAGGTCCCTGGATTTGTGCACAACGAGGCTGCATTCCTGCCGTTCTCGCATGGGCCCGCGAATTGCGTAGGCAAGCAGCTCGCGATGCAGGAGATGCGCACGGTGGTGTGCACGGTGCTGCAGAAGCTGGAGGTGCGCGTGCGCCCGGGATGGGATAAGCGGGAGTACGAGGAGGGTTTCCTAGACTTCTTTGTGACGAAGCGGCCGATGCTTCCCGTTACGGTGCAACCGCGGCACTGAAATTCCTCAACAGCGTTCGCAATACCTCGTTCTTCAAGTAGGTCCTTATGTAGCATCTATCTTGATCTGTTGAATCGCGTATCATACCCCACATTTGCGCCTCACTTCGTAGTCCAATATAGCGCTCAGAGTCCAGACATGTCGCGGAAATCCGCGATGATTGTTAGAGCATAGTACACGGGGCGCGTCACTTATGAGAGCATGTATTCGTGCCTTCCAGCGATGTCACAACGCGGGACATAGTAGCAGGTATATAGTATTGTCCATGGGTGGGAAACAAGGAGCGACTGAGGGGCAGGATACATGGGACACGAGGCCCAAAAGACAGCAGTGTGACAGAAATATCAGTAGGTTCACAGAACAGACATGTTTCATCACATGTAAGCAGCAGGAATAGCTAGATAGGAGTAATAGTGTGGTAGGAGTGCACGATAGAGAGCAATGGTGCAGCATCCTCGTCAGGGTCTGTCGAATAGTTCGGTGACTCGCGCGAGCCGGAGGCGGGGGACGGGGGCGCTTAGGCCATGAGCGCGGCACCGAGCAGGACTGCTATACCGGAGACCACCATCTGCAGGCCGGGAGCGGAAATCGACGCAGCACCGTTAGAGCCTCCAGTGGCAGAGGGCGTTCCGGAGGATGTGCCAGTGCGCGAAGCCGTGCTAGAGCCCTAGAATAGAGGAGCGTCAGCATGCAAAACATAAGTGTGTAGAACATACAATCCAGAAGAAGACGCGAGCGTCCCGAAACGGAGAGAGGATATTGGTCAAGATGCGGGTTCAGAGCTCGAAACAAGAATAATATGGTTGGACAACAACCACTTAGCCTGCTGGAAGCAGCCGCGCGCGTCGGATTTAGGCTGCTCGCACACCTAAACAGAGTCGCAGAAGGAGAAATACTAACAGAGCCAGAGCGAGAACCAGAGCCAGATGTTGTAGCGGAGGCGCTCCCGGTGGTGGTCGCACCAGATGCACTTCCAGATGCGCTTGCGTTGCCGGACGCGCTCGCAGCTAGGCCGTTGCCGATCGTGCTGGTGGGAGTGCACGACGAGGTCGCGGGCGCCGGGTGTGCATCGGGAGTGCTGGGGTCACCTTGGTGGAAGGTCGAGGTGCCGTACACACCCATGGGCTGTTGGCAGGATGATGTCAGTACCACCGCTCTAAGACTACGGCGCACCTACAAACAACGTACCTCGCCAGTGTCGCCCAGGCAGCGGTCGAACGAGTCCGGGGCGTAGTTTCCGGGCATGTTCCACTCGCAGCCCATGACGTCGTAGATGTGCTGGCAGAGCGCGGGAGCGTTGGGGCCGTCCTTGCAAGCGCGGAAGCAGAACTCGGAGTTGGACACGAAGTTCTGCGGAGTGAAATATTGAGTAGTGATACACTCTCCAGATCCATTTGAGACTTACCGTCCATTCGTGTATCTGCGCGATATCACCAAAGGCACTCGAGAAGACCAAACCGCCGATGGGGTTTCCTGTTGAATGGAGTCAGCAACAGATCCGCAGCGTTTGAAGGTCTGCCTTTGCGACAGGGATGTGCATCATCCAGTAGCACGATCTAGTGCAGCTGCCTGCAGCTCTACTCTTCTTACGCTGGCATGTGTCTCAGCGAAACACTCACCATTTCCATCCGCACCGTGGGGGTCGAGCTCTCCGCCTCCATCGTTTCCTGGAGGAACGTTGATCTTTGTAAGGTCACCAACACCCATAATCTGCACGTAGTCGGGAGTCTGGACGAAGTGCGCGCCCGTGATTGAGCCGTCGGGGATGAGGCGGGTGCCGTGCCCATCCTTCGTGCACCACGCGACCTCGATCCGCTCCGTGTTGCCTATCGTCGAGTCGGCACCGGGTTGCGGAGGCGCAAAGATGCACCAGTCATCGAGCGAATTTACTGTGCGGGGCAGGGCGCCCGGGTAAGTCTGGTTCAACAGCGTGGGATGGGCTGTCATAACGTACGGTACGCGTTCTGACACATCGAGTTCTGGTCGTGGCCAGTCCCACACTGGTTTGTGCCGGCCTGGCCTTCCTCAGTCGTCTTTGGCGCATTCGTCGGCAGGTACGTCGCGCTGTACGTCTGCGCCAGGGCTGCCGAAGCGAGCGTGAGCGAGATGAGGGGGGCGACGTGGAACATGGCTGAAGAGCCTGTAGAGGTTATGGGGGTGAGCAAGAGGAAAGAGAGAAAAGAAGATGGGGCGCACTTACCGCTCGGAGCCTTTTAAGAGGCGGAGGGGTATCATCGCCGTGGTGGGCCGGTTCCAGGCAGCACATTGGTTATGTGGTCTCGATCAGCTATCAGAGCCCACGCATCTCCCACCAGCTGCGATGTTGCTACACCGGAACCTCTCCGCCAGGCGCGAGAACCGACAGGCACGACGGAGGTCCTCGGGTTTACATGATGCTTCGTGACGGAGCGGCGATGCTGGCCGTTACGGTGCACCCGCGGTACTGACGTTTTGGTAATTCAAGGAGGCACGGGTATTTTTTTTGCTGCGATCTACTACCTTCGTGCCTCACTCGAATTGGAAGTACATAACTTTGTCGATCCAAGTCTGTCTGTAGCGGCACCGGTACTCTGAGCGTCACTGCTATTGAGTATTCACAGCCACATAAAGCAGAAGATCACTTGCTCACCTTGATAGCGTGCGTAGCAAGCTCCGGGGAGTATGAAAAGCCCCTGGCCGCGTGTGCCCTTGGTGGACCAGATACAAGGTGAAGCGTAACTTCTTCGGAAGTTCTTCCGGACCCGTTACGGTTCAGTGTTTGCCCTAAACTCGGGCGCCAAAAACAGTTGCCAGCGCCTTCAGGCGCCTTCCCGCGCCCTCCCGCGCCGCGCATATCCGTGCTTTGTCTCGGACCACCACCTAGTACCACCACCAGTGATTGAGATCCATACCCCCTGCTATTTCCTATCGAAGAGTGGCCAGCTCTCCATGAAACCGCAACAGGATATACCTACCACAGTATATGTTCTTCTACACAGCGTAGTGATGTGTTTAACGCGGAATACATTCCGCATTTGCCAACCGATCGACTGCTTCAAGTTGAACGGTATGGTGCACGAAGCACGTCAGATATTAAAGCATGTACTCGTACTTTCCTACGACGCCACAACGCAAGACATAGCAGTAGGTATGTAGTTTCGTCCATGAGCGGAAACAAGGAACGACCAGGAGTACACAAAAAGACAACAGGGGGTAATGGCACAAAACAGACATTAGCAGTACGGGCTCGTGTGCGCCATCAGACAATAGAAAGGGTTCGTCACATGCGAGCAGCAGGGGTAACCGGGTAGTAGGGGTAGTGGTTGGAGTACACGACGCGGGGCAGTGGTGTAGCATCCTCGTCAGGGTTCGTCAAATAGTTCGGTAGCTTGCGAGTCCAAGGCGAAGGGCGCTTAGGCGATAAGCGCAGCACCGAACACGACTGCGGCGCCAGCGACCACCAGCTGCATGCCAGGGGCGGAGAACGACGCGGCGCCGTTGGAGCCGCCAGTGGCGGAGGCCGTTCCGGAGGACGTGCCGGTACGCGAAGCGGAGCCCTAGAAGAGGGGAGCATCAGTATACATGACACAAATGAGGGATAGCATAATAAAAGAGGGCGCGAGCGTCCGGAAACGGCGAGCGTGCAGAAGCGTTCGCAAACACCAACACACGGTGCGGACGCACTACGTCCAGACATTGAACAAAAAATAGGGACGACGCTCACAGACGAGGCGTTGGGTGCAGTGCTCAACGGCTGGGATGCGGTCCCGAAGCCGGAGACTGAACCGGAACCTGAAGCAGAACCACTTACGCCGCTGGTAGAAGCGGCCGCGCTCGCCGAAACCGAACCGCTCGCAGACTGAGAGGCAGTCGCAGAAGGAGTAACACTGACGGAGCCAGAGCCAGAGCCAGACTGTGTTGCGGAGGGGCCGGTGGTGGTTGCACCAGATGCGCTTCCCGAGGCGCTTGCACTGCCGGACGCGCTTGCGGCGAGGCCGTTGCCGATTGAGCTCGTGGTCGTGCACGAGGAGGTCGGGGGCGCCGGGTGCGCCGCGGGCGTGCTGGGGTCGCCTTGGTGGAAGGTCGAGGTTCCGTACACACCCATGGGCTACATAGGGAAACTATGTGAGCAGTTTTCAGCCAAGTAGTATCGCTGTACGCGACGCACCTCGCCAGTGTCAGCGAGACAACGGTCGAACGAGCCGGGCGCATAGTTTCCGGGCATGTTCCATGCGCAGCCCATGACGTCGTAGATGTGCTGACAGAGCGCGGGAGCGTTGGGGCCGTCCTTGCAAGCGCGGAAGCAAAACTCGGTGTCGGAAACGAAGTTCTAAACAGTGAACTTAGTACAAGGACAATCTGAAGGCCTGGGCACAGGGATGGATATGAAGACTTACTGTCCACTCGTGCATTTGCGCGATCGATCCAAAGGCGCTTGAGAACACCAGACCACCGATGGGGTTTCCTGTGAACGTTTGGACTGCGATCAGCGTCTTTTTCCACAGCGTGTTGCTATCCGAGACATAAATGGTACACTGCGTCCGAGCAACCCCTCTCCGATTCAGCCATGTGCAAAACCGCGATCCAACGGAAGGCAGGAATGCATGACGCACACATGCGGAAACGTGACCGATCTGGCACGGCACCTAAGAATAGTCGACCAAACGGCACAGACATATTTATGTCCAGGTGCTCGCGGAGAATACCAAAGAAGGTCCAGGCGGACGTATGTCAGTGCTGGCAACAGCGTGCGCGTGTCCAGAATAGTCTCGAAGAGGGGGTCGCCAGCAAGTCCCCTCTCCATACCCCATGCGCCTCGGCGAGCCGAATGCGACCTTGCAGCGAGCGATAGCGTGCATTCCGTGTCTCTGGATACTCACCATTTCCATCTGCGCCGTGCGGGTCGAGCTCGCCTCCCTCGTCGCCCGCAGGAATGTTGATCTTCGTGAGGTCGCCGACGCCCGTAATCTGCACGTAGTCGGGGGTCTGCACGAAGTGCGCGCCCGTGATCGAGCCGTCGGGGATGAGGCGCGTGCCGTGCCCGTCCGCGGTGCACCACGCGACCTCGATCCGCTCCGTGTTCCCGATGACCGAGTCGGGGCCGGGCTGCGGGGGCGCGAAGATGCACCAGTCGTCGAGCGAGTTCACTGTGCGTTCGGGGCGCCCGGGTCAGTCTCGTGCGACAGCGTGGGACGAGCTCAGGGGCTAAGACGTACGATACGCGTTCTGGCACATCGAGTTCTGGTCGTGGCCTGTCCCGCACTGGTTCGTGCCGGACTGGCCCTGCTCAGTCGTCTTTGGCGCATTGGTGGGCAGGTACGTCGCGCTGTACGTCTGCGCGAGGGCGATCGAGGCGAGCGTGAGCGAGACAAGGGGGGCGAAGCGGAACATGGCTGAAGAGCCTGTAGGGGGTATGGGGTGAGCGAGAGAAGAGAGAGGGGAGGGGGAGAAGGGGGAGGGGGTACACGCTCTCCGTGCGGAACTATTTAAGGGGAGGAGGGGTATTATCGCCGGGGCGGGCTGGTTCTGGGCGGGACGTTGGTTAGTCTCGATCAGCTGTCCAGTGCCCACGCACCTTCCGCCGACTGCATGGCCTTTGCATTTGCGCTGCCCCCATCGGCTGACCGCGGCCGGGCGGAGTAAGTGCATCCAAACAATCTCATTGATGCCACCGGCTCGTTAGCAGCATCACCGCAGATTCAGCTATCTCACCGGTCGTGCGAGATCAAAGCCTCAGCAGCGCCCAGTTGCCAGAGGCGTTTGACTGCAGAGTTCGCAGGCGTTCCGTGAGAATGAGCGTCCGTGCATGGGCGCATAATGAAAATGGAGAGAAGGGGAGACGCGCGCGGGGCGGAAGTGCGCCCCCGTGATGCCGACATCGAAACATACCGATCGGCCTCTCCTGATCGTACCGCGTGGCCGCCACGATGTCCGGGGTCGACCGCCCGCAACGCCACGAACGATAAAACACGCATGGGGAGGGAGATTTGAGGGGAAATTACATTACAGCGAACACTTACATACTACAGAGCGCGGTCCCAGTCTCCCGCACCACAATGGCAGGCCCCAAGTTAGGATATAATAGTACCTACAACAGACACCAGATGATAGAACTTGCGAAGGGGACGGAGGCGATTAACCGCAGAACTCAAGTCCTGGGCAGCCAATAGCGGTGCCGTACACTGCAAAAAGACAGACCTGGTCAGCGAAGAACAGGGGACAGGAAGTATGTGAGACTTACGACCACCATCGACCTTCGCGACCGCGAGGAGTGCCTGCAGCACACCACCGAGACCCTCGCCCGCAAGCATGCCCGCCGCGACGGCGAACATGTACATGTCGAAGCCCTGTGGGCTTCTCCGCGCCCAGACGAAGTTGAAGATCGAGCCGGCGCCCATCGCGATGGAGTAGTACACCTGGGGCACGACGAACGCGAGGCCGACGGCGTTCCAATTCGGGACCCAGTGCCAGTGCTTCTTCGGGATCCAGAGGTGCTTGACGACGACGGACAGGACGGCGAAGATGCCGAGCGCGATCGCGGTGAATCCGGAGGACTTGGGGATGGGGAGCTTGGGCGAGGTGACGGCGACAGCGACGGCCGCCCACGCACTGACGCTGGGCGCGCCGTACGTGCACTCGCCGGTCTCTGGGGGGTGCAGGATGCAGGGCGACGCGGTGGTGAAGAGGATGAAGAGGCCGACGTTGAGGAAGACGGCGACGACGGCACCGCACAGCTGCGCGATGAACTGGTTTCGCGGCTTCGCGCGGAGCAGGTACCCGGTCTTGAGGTCACCACACATGTCCGTGGACTGGGCGGCGGAGCCGGCGGCAATGACACCAGCAGTCAAGTTAACCGTCTGCGCAGGGCCGCTGGCGAGGCCGGCGCCCTTGCTGACGCCACCGAAAATAAGCTGCGAAGCCTACAAATAGTGCACCAATCATCAGCCGCCGTTTTCCATGCCGTACATATGCGCCCATAAATCAATGGGGCAGCGACAACTCACCTTCGCGACAGTGGAGATGGGGTTGACGTCGGTGGTGCCCGCGCTCTGGACGCCGATGAACGAGAAGCAGAAGCCGAGGACGAGGGAGAGGATGGCCTCGCCGACGTTCATGTTGAACATGGTCGCGAGGATCGCGCAGGACATGACGATGCTGAGGAACAGACCGGTGGTCCACCAGAGCGTGGGCACACGGTCCTCGCGCGGGGACAGATCCTCATCCTCCTCAGCGTTGTAGTTGGGGTCCTCACGGAACCAAGAGAGGATGTTCAGGTTGATACCGGCCTTGTACATGTCTGAGGGGGTTGATGTGAGCGAATGGAAAATGATAGCACGAATAAAATGCACGTACTGCGAGCGATGTCACCAGAGTTCATGGCGAGATCGGCGAAGGAGTACAGCAACATCATGAGGACACCGGGCCCTGCGAAAGCGATGAGCAAAAGTCCTCGACCGCGTCGCGTAGAAAACACTTACAAAGGAGCCAGTAACGGGGAGACGGCGCGGAGGTGTACTTGTCGGGGTCCGAGAACGACAGGCTGTTGTACGACACGAGCGGGAACTCGTCCGAAGCAGCAACACCGAAAGCAAGGCCGTTCTTGACCAGGGAGGGGGCGATGACACCCCAAGCGAGGACTGAACCGCCCAAGAAGCTCCACGAAGCGTTGATACCAGAAAGCATACCAGCGCCGAAGAACGCGGGGGTGACTGAATCATATGGGTCAGCCAAACGTAAAAACGCCAATATGCCAAGGAACACATACATTCAATGAACCAGCCATAGTTCTCGAGCGCGATGATGCTCGTGAAACCGAGGCGGTAGAGCGTCCAGCCGATGTGCCAGTCGAAGATGAGGCCGGGCGCGTAGCCGGTCATGACCTTGTACACGAACACGATGAGGAACGAGTACAGCAGTGCAAGAGACTTCTTGCGCGCGGCAACGGCGCCAGTGCGGCTGTTGTGGAGCGCACGGATCGTGATGGCGGTGGCGGCAGGCGTGGGGAACGTGAGCTTCTGCTTGACGATGTAGTACTTTCGGAGCGGGATGACGAAGAACACGCCGTAGAAACTCGCGCAAACGGTCAGAGCGATCAGCTTTCCAATATCGAGCTTGGGCAGTTCCGAGAGCAGGTTGAGCCGGTACATCGCCGGGACGGCGGAGACGAAGAGGATACCGATACCACCGGAAGCGGTAGCGGCGGACTGGACCGTGCAGTTCTCCTTGGGCCCGAAGGGGCCGCCAAGGACACGTCCAATGATGCCGGTCTCAGGGAGGGCCTTAGAGAGGGGCTTGATGATCGCGAAACCGAAAATGGCCTGTCAACCGGAGCGCATCAGCACCTCGCAACAAATTCGCTATCGTATTGAGTTCGCGTACACCAAAAAGTTGGGGGCCGAACGTGAAGCCAGTCTTCAAGCCGAGATAGATGTTGGAGGCACCGACTGCGGGACGGTCAGTTGATGCATCACGACGCTATCTGAGTCGGACTCACCGATAGCACCAAGACAGCACCCCACGAAAATCGCACTTTCGCCAAAGCATCAGCACACAATCACCCCAAAGCGTCACACGAGACTAGCATACCGGAAGGTGAGCTGGTGGGTCTCCTCGATTTCATCCGGGTCTACAGGGAACGGCTTGGTACTGGACGCGTCCGGTCAGCTTCTACGAACCCGGGTCCGAAGCTGGCAGAATACTCACATGTCGTGTGTGTCGGGCTCATACTCCTCATGAGAGACCTTGACGTGCTTCTCGTTCTTTCCGAGATGCTTCTCGTCGTCATCGTCGGTAGTGGTGCTTTCGCGGTGACGGAGCTCAGCGAGCCCGTTCTCCGGTTCGTACGTGGGGGCAGACATGGCAGCAGCGGCGCACAGTGAAGGCGGCTTGGACCGGAGCAGGAAAGCAAAGGTCGAGGGGAATGGCCAAGGGACGAACGAGGGCCCGGGGAGCGCGGACGACCTTCATATATGGGCCCGTGCGAGGCACCGGCCGAGCCCCGCGCGGCCGCGATAGACTTGCGTCGAAAATCGAGGCGCGCGGGGCGAGATGGCATCTCATGACGGACGATCTGAGGAGCGTGCTTGCTCCCCCCAGCTGGCGCGGGTGATGGCGGCGCCAGCGGTGCACAGCTTTGTCCGTCAGGGCATGCGCGTCCATGTGGTCCCCAGGGACGCCACGCCCCGCCAAGCTCCCCTCCGCTGTCTATCGAGCGGATCCTGATGGCCCGCCGCCTGCTCGTGCGCCCTCCGGCCGTGGATTGCGCTTGCCCCAGCTCCGAGCCCATGCGTCGCTATCGCGCCCCGGAGACGGCCTCACGGCCATAGCTGTCCATTCGCGATATTCGCCATCGCGCCGTGATTTCTGCCCCCAAATGCTGTCCGAATTTGCGAGACCTCCTCCCGAATGCCCGGTGAAACGCAACGCTCTCTCGCACAATCCGCTTCATTTTTTCCTCGCCGTTGCCCAAATATAGCCAGCCGCCGCCCGACATCCGCACGCCCGGACTCCCGATAAGGCAGCCTCGGCGTCGACGGTCGGGCTCGACTGTGAAAAAATGCCGCAAAATTTGGCCTCGTCAGCAAGGCTCAAAAATCCGATCGCATATGCACCATCGTATACGCACACGGCAGAGCGGCGAAGCATGTGGGCGCAGTCAGACGATCGACCGCCACAACTGTGGGTGTTGGTCGACCCGCCCAATTGCGGAGGGCGGCGGGCGCAGGCGGCGATCATCCCGCCGGCGCGGGCGCGCCGGGGCGACGGTTTCCCCGTTGGGCGGCCGCCCTCGATGGCGCTGGACCGTGGTCGACGCCGCCGGCTCATAGATCCTCTGCGTGGAGTGCGATCCTTGCGGGATTGGGTATGGGAGAAGAGCGAGGCCCGGATGGCCAACCAGCCAGCCCGGGTGCAGTGACTCAGTGTCTTGCGTGTGCTCGGGTGTTTGGGGCGCATTGGAGTCGAGACTGAGGCTGCTGTCAATCGGCGGTCGTGTGCTCGCCCCGACGCATGGCGCGCACTCCGGAGGAGGTGTGCAAGCGTGGAGCACGACACGGCGGGAACCGGGATCACGCATGATTGAGCGCGTCGGGGGAGTCCTCGGCCCTGGCGCGCTGAATTGCCAGGCCCGCGATCCAGTCGTGCGCGAGAAGCACGATCTCGATTTGCCCGTGCCAAGCCCCTCTCCCGCCGTGCCTTGTGTCTTCCTGCGTCCCCGGCGTGGGGGAGCGCAAGGCACCATCCCGCCAAATAGACAAGCTGTGCCAGCTGAAACGCCACCGCACGGATTGGGCGACAAATGATAAGGGGGACCGCGCGGGGGGAGAGCTCGGCGGGCCTGCGATAGAGCAGGTGGAGGTGATTCATGAAGGCGAGCGCGAGGAGCTTGTGTCGCCCAAGATCGTCTAGGCGAACTCAGACCGCCCGGCCAGGTACGAGATGGGCTTGCGCAATGCATCCGGGCGAAGGTGTGGGGTCTTAATGAACTCCGTGCTCCAGGCTCCGGGGCTCGAGATTAGACAAGGATCCTCCTGGGTCTTTGGCCGTGGGCCCGGTGTCGCCTACGCCTGGACGATGACGCAGAATTCGTCAGTGTCTTCGCAGCAACGACGGACTCACCTCCTCGAAGACAACAAACGACGCTACTCCCGCGCATCAGGCGCGGAGGCTAGAGACCAAAAACAAATTGATTCATGCATCACGATCCACACCTGTTGCTGTTCAATATCGACTCCATCCATCCATGATCCCGACTCATCCTCCCCATACTCACAACCATCATCGTCACCAAACCAACGAGCCAAATGCGCAAACAAACCGGCAAACTACGGGCAGTGCGGGGCAGTACGCTAATGCGAGGAAATCGGAAAACCCGTATACGTCCATGTTCGATGATAGAAGCCGCGGAACCGAAACGACGAGAGCGCATCCGACCTTCATTCTGATCCTGACCTCGGGACGGCGATTTAAGTGCCAGCCATGCCGATGACGCCGACGGCGTCGCGGATCTTCGCGATCTCGCTCACGGACAGGTTGCCTTTGCTCGCGCAGAAGAAGTCCTCCCAGGCCGTCGAGGCATCACTCGGATTCGGGAACTCCGTGCTGGAAGAAAGGTGGGTCAGCAGTGCATATATGCGGAAACGCGATCAGCGGCGCAAGACTATGGCACTCACGATAGGAACTTATGCAAGTGCTCCCAGAACGCCGGTGTGGACAGGATCGTGTGGTATGGCGTGTCTGCCACCACGGAGGACGGCGAGGCGGGGATCGTCGAGGCGTCGAGCACGAGGGGAATATCGACCAGTACCTCGCCGGGACTCGCCGTCAACGAGGGAGACGGTGAAAGCACGATGGACGGAGTGCGTCCATGCCTCGTCCTCGTCTCAGGACTCGGGAGCAGCGTGATCGACTCGCTCCCTGCTGAGGGAGGCGCGGGTGCCGCCGCAGGTGCAGGTGCGGGAACCTTCGAGGGATCCCAATCGAAGCCAGGCTTGACCATGAGGTTTACGGTGTCACCATCCTTCACAGCATATTCGCGCAGCAGCTTCGCATCGGCCAGCGCCTTGCCCTTGAGCAGCAATCTCTGCGCGTCGACCGGGGGCGCGCCGGGGACGGCGGCGAGTTGGGCCTTGATTTGCGCGATGGTATCTGTCGGCTGGATATCGAGGGAGTATGCTTGCACGGGCTTCGTCGATTTGAACGTCACACTTATTGAGCCTGAGGGGGATTTCCAGCGTCAGGATCCAAAATCGCGTGAACGGACAACGGGATGAAGGTGCGCCACAGATAGCGCGCACGTACCTGTAGGCGCAGTCACCGTAACATTGCGTTCTGGAGGAGACGGTAGGTCGATCTGGATGTCCAAGAATACCACGAATATGTGTTAGATCCTATTTGTACCGCATATACCGTCAATTTCATTCAAATTGACGTACGGGCAGTACAGGAACCCTCTTCAGCTCGTTCTCCGGCGCTGTTTGGTAGTCGTTTCCGTACACGACCGGTTGCGATGACAGCGTGTTCACGTATGATTTGACAAACGCGAGCTCAGCCTGTTCAGACATTCTCGCAGATACGCAGAGGAAAAGGAGGGAATGATTTGCGAGGAGAAAGAAGGGAGGAGAGCCAGGAGCCTCACTGAGATTCGGTGTGGCGGTGAGATCGAATAGGCGCTCAGAACGCGTAAAGCACGTGGTGGAGGTCACAGTGTTACCCAGTGTTACTCACGTCACTCCTCACTCGTCGTTGGCTGCAACGCCGAGGTCGCCCATCACCACACTCTCCGCACTCCTTGACTTTTGAACGATGGCCGTATGTATATTCATTGTCGCTATGTGTGGTTGAAGCTAACTATCCGCACGTTTAGTCCGGCTTTGGCTACAACGGAGGTATGCTTGCTCGGACTGAACCGGTGGAACCCGAAGCGTGAACGAATTCTTGCAGGTGTCTCTCGGTGCTTTGCATACTGGCAGGAGTTCTCCAAAGTACGTTTGCTATAGTTCTCGCAGACATTCGAAAATGACTTACAAACTTATGACAGTGCTACGCCCAGACAGACGTCCCTAGCAAGTGCACCGCGCAGGTGGAGGATTACCTGGAGTGCCTTCACCACACTAAGGAGGTACGTGTCATCCCGGGCTACCCTCAGCGTCCTCTCATCTCGTGCCAAAACTCTATTGCTACACGCCTCAGATTGCTCGCGCGAAGGCGGTCAAGGCGGAGTTTATCCGTAAGGCAGAACATCAAGCGCACGAGGGACGCAAGGCCGCGGACATTCTTGCAGACGGTGTCATCGTCGGTGTCGGGCTTATATCTCGCGGAGAAGCCGCACATTCGAAGTAGATTCATCGCAATGCATCCTGCTTTCGCTTGAACTTGGACTACACCAGAGCAGGAGGACAATACCCTGGATCGTGAGTACTGCAATGCTTTCCACATCTTCTGCTATCCCCCGCCCTCCCGAGGCCCACGACACCCAACCTCAAACTATCTCGTCGCCTTCAAGACGCGTCAAGTAGCATAAGGCCTCACGCGCATGGCTTGACGGGCGTCTGCAGAGACTGCTGGTGAGCGTCTAAAGTATACATGTCAGGAATTCGAGTTCCTGGCAACGATGCGGACGCCTTTCTTGAGTCGCTGTACCCGTCATACAGCCCCTGTGATAATTTCTTCGTAGACCCTCTCATACCCAGGTGGCCTGACAGCGTTCGTCACTCTTCCAAGCTGTGCTACTCGTACCAAACGATCAATCATATTGTGAGTGGGCTCGCTTTCACGTCAAGCCGCATGTTGAACAAGGTTGCAGAGCATTACACCCTCTGCGTGAGCGCTGCTACTTTTAAGCACGCTACGAGGCTCGAAAGCACCCCCTAATCCGCTACCTCCGGTCATTCAGTCAGCCCGCAGTGCCTCTAGGCTCGCATAGATCTACGGCGCAGCGCGGGATGGATTCATTAAGTTTCAAGTCTTAGCAAGCGGATGGCAGACGTACTCCGCGGCGTGTGCGCACAGCGATATGCGACGAAAAAAGGTCGACGGATGAGTCAACCTGGCACGACTCCTCTCACTAACTAGGAGAGGAACTTACCCACTCAGTGGGCCGCGATCATTGCGAACGACCGGCTTCCACCACGAAGATCGGACTGAGTAATTCTTCTAACTCCGTGCCCGTTCGTAGCTACACGAACACATCCACTGTACCCGTGCCCGGGAGACCTGGTACTGACTGCCCTTGTACTGGCATGCCCCATCTGACTAGCAGTTTGCGGTATAAGGATGCATAGCACAGTTCTCCAAGGTAAGCCCATGAGTTGACTTCACTCGTTCACGCTTGTTAACTATGAAGCGTAGAAAATGTATAGCTTCAGGTATCCACAGAGTCCACAGCTGGGTCATTCCCGGACTCGACTGGCGCGGATATGTGCTACGTGCTACCTCCGAGATCGACGCTATGGATCCGTACATGGTTACATTCATTCTGTGATCTGCCTGGGGCTCCTTGTGTCGGAGGCAATACTGAGGTGTCTCTTCGGCTTCCTCACTTTGACGCAATACCCGGGGTAAGCGTACCTTGTTACCTTGCATAGCCGAGCGGCCATCCACATGGACCTACGCAGGCGTCCTACCTCGCGCCATATAAAGAGCTAAAGGCCAAGTCCCCCACCTCCGCCAAGCACCTCCTAAGCAACTACTGTAGCAACAGCAACTCCACGAACATGTCCATCCCCACCACCCAGAAGACGCTGCTCCTCCGCGAGGAGAGCACCCCCTATGAGGTCGCGGAGACCGCCGTCCCGCGCCCGGGGCCGAAGGACGTCCTCGTGCAGATCTTCGCCTGCGCCCTCAACCCCGTTGACCACGCCATCGCCCATCCGCCGCTCTCCAGGATGTTCATAAAGGCATGGCCCTTCGTCCCGGGGAACGATGGCGCGGGTGTCGTCGTCGAGCTCGGCGCGGAGGTTACTAACGTCAAGAAAGGCGACAAGGTGTAAGTCTTCTTAGCCTACTCTGACATCATAAAATGCATGCTAACACGGCAGCTACGAACGCAGCCTTTTCCAGGGAAACTGGATTGCTCCCGAGGCGACCTGCCAGCAATATGCCGTCGTCCCTGGCGAGCTCACCGCCATAGTATGCTTCCCTCTTCACCGCCCAGTTTGGCTTGCAATTGATCGGATCGCTGCGACCCACTAGATTCCTGATAACATCACCTTCGAGCAGGCTGCAACAATCCCGCTTGCGCTCGCCACCAACGTTATGAGCCTCTACAACCAGTCTCCCGCTGCCGAGAATGCCTCTCTCCGCCTGAAGCCGGTCTGGGAGGCTGAGGGCGCGACCGCGTACGCTGGCACCCCCGCCTTCATCGTCGCCGGCGCCACGTCCGTGGGGCAAATCTGTACGTCGCATCACTCTCTTTCTGTTTATTTGCCTTCCACTTACGCAACATGCTTTCTAGCCATCCAACTCGCGCGCATGGCAGGGCACAGCCCGATCATCGCGACAGCGTCGCTGCACAACGCGCCGCTGCTCAAGTCTCTCGGAGCCACACATGTCATCGACCGGTCGCTCTCGAAGGAAGCTACCTTGGCCGAACTCTCTACCCTCCTGGGCGGAAAGTCCCTGGACTACGTGTTCGTTGCGCTGCTCGACGCAGAGGCGCTCCGCCTTGGTCGCGATGCCCTCGCGCCCGGGGGCGCCCTCGCGACGGTCTCGCCCGCGCCGCAGCGCATCCCCGAGGATGTTGCAAACCTGGGCCAGGGAAAACGCATCAGCTACGTGTTTGGGAGCCCGCGCCCGTCGCACAACCGGGAGATCGGCGTTGCGCTGTACAAGCAGCTCACCGGGTGGCTGGAGAAGGGGCTTTTGAAGGTAAGACATTTGCGTTAGACCCTGGAGGAGTGAGCTGACACATGTTGCGTGTAGCCGAACCCTGTGGAAGTGTTGCCGAACGGGCTGGCTGGCATCAACGAGGGTCTCGCACGCCTTAAAGCGGGCAAGGTGTCTGGCACGAAGCTGGTGGCTCACCCTCAGGAGACAGTTTGAGGTCTCGTCTCATTCTGAGTGCTAAGCACGGCACGGCTGTGCTGGTAGTGTATAATGTATTCTAGTGTCGACATCGCTCTTGATGATGTAAATGTTCGCCGGATTTTTTAAGTTGGAGAGGCCAGAGAGCGCCGGAAAGTTGTGAGAGGCGCCCGCGACACGGCGCTTGAGAATAGCAACATAAGCGGCGCACCCACGGACCCCCAACCTCACAAGATCGACCCGCTTTACCTCTCTCTTCGATATCTTCCGACGTCTAGCTTACACGCCGGCCCTCACATTCCCCTCGTTTCGACTCACAAACGGCACATGGAAGCTACGCGTGTAAATTACTGCCTTTTCCGTTTCCTCGGATTTGTGGCGGACGTGGTGGACAGCCTCAGCACCATAGCCGGTATTATACCGTCCACTCGCCCACCATCCGACTATGGGGTAAGCACGCTATATGATAGTATGAACCGTAGCTGAGTGTATCGACATAGCCCTCCGATATCTATCATCTCACAGATGAAGAAACATACGCCCTTCCCAAAAGGCCATCCCTTAGCGAAGAGCTCAATGTTGAGCTCCACGACGATAATGTCTCCCGCTTCTCCGAGGGGACAGTAGTCAAGACGGTTTATGTTCCCGATAAGGGAGAACCTGCGGAGGCCGTGACACTTGACATACTCTTCCGCCACACTACTATCCCCGTCCCCCGCGTTCGGCGTGTTCTTGGAACTGGCGACCGAAGGGGCATCGTCATGGACTATATCAAGGGAAGGCAGCTCAAACATGTCTGGCCGACCATGTCATTCTTCCAGAAGCTCCGTGTCGGCTTCACCCTCCGTCGGTACATCCGCCAGCTCCGTGCCATCCGCCACCCCCGCTCAGTCGTCCCAGGCCCTCTCGGCCCCGGACTCGAGGCGCGAGTCTGCGATTCCCACATCCATGGCACGCGCAACCCCAAGCGCGGCCCGTTCGCCACGTACGCGGAGTTGGCCGCGTTCTGGAATGAACGCAACGAGATGGCGAAGCAGGTCGAGATGATCCAGTGGAAGGCGTCAGCTGGGGAGGCAGAAGCTCTTCATCAGGGGCGCTTCGACGACTCCTGCCCCCTCGTGCTGACGCACGGCGACCTCAATATGCGGAACATCCTTGTCGGGGATGATGGACGGCTGTGGCTCCTCGACTGGGAGATGTCTGGTTTTTATCCTCCCTGGTTCGAGTTCACCATCATGACGTACCAAGCGTACGCGGTTGGGGAGCCGATAGAAGACGAATTCTGGTTGCGGTTGATGCCGTTCATTTGTGGTCCATTCTACCATCAGGCGATGTGGCATTCTATGGCGTCCATTGCCTTAGAATATCGTTGAAGTGGTAAACACTGTATCTTGGTACACAGCCGACTTTTACTGAAAGGACGGCGAACTCCAGAGACCAGAACAACATCTCAGGAGGTCCTGATGTGCACGGAGTGCACCATGACTCTTCGCAATTTTCGTTGCCACGATCATGTCCTCTGAGGAGCAACAGACATCTTGCCATCAAGATTAACTGTACGCTGCACGCACAATTAGCCCTCTTGGAAACCTCTTGTTGGACCTCCAGAGTCCACCAAACTATAGAAGAGGCCCTTCCTGCCGTCGAGACTTTAAATTTAAGGTGCGTTTCGAGCTCCACCGTTGGCGCACACTCGTCCGGTTCCCCGGCTCCTATATCGCTTTCCCCGTGGTATAGCTTGAATGAGATGTTCTGAAGCAATTGGGAGTATCAAGAGACGAGGCGCCCAGGGAGGCTTGTGGTGATGCTAACGGATCCCGGTAGATCTTAGCCACATTGTGTACATCACGCATACGTCGATGGACATACGGTGAATTTTGGTTTCTGGCCAACAGAGCGCTTGCCAACCGGCGCTTGCCGAGGCGTTCAGTATCGTGCGCCAGACTGTTTGGTATCGGTTTTCCTTCGTACCACATTGCGGAAATCACCTTGTGGGCGACACACCCTCTGGGTTCCTTCAACACCCTGTACAAATGTAAGGGATGAGACTTCGAACATCGGGTGGATGGCATGCCTCGGCTTCCACTACCAACTGATACCGTTGACGTGTCTCGCGTTTGAAGACCCGATACGGGGTGCGCTGTGTTTGTCGGCGACGGGCTTGCTATGAGTTCAAGGTGTTGTGAGTTCTCAATCAAATACCCGGACATCGTCACTTATTCGAATAGCGGCATTGAAGATACACTGTGCTCGCGCAGCGACGCACGACCTGCGCTGGGGATGGTACACGCTGTGCTGCCCTCGTCAGCATTGGGATATCAAGTCAAAACGACGTTCGGATGTCGGCACGATTGGTGAGAGGCTTCGCTGACGTTTAACATGGATGCGCGAAGTGTTAGCTCTGGGAAGCCCGCACGGAAGTGCGGATCGCGTCCGCTAAAGCACCGCGGAACTGCCTGAGCGGTGATTACACGCGGAATGATGGACAGGTACGCTCTCGCTGCTTCGCGTGATGCCTGTTTAGCAATTCCCTCACCTTCTGTGTCCTTCAGGTGTGAGAAAATGCCTCGTTCCGGAAGATGTCCATGCCGTCCTTCCCACTGTCTACTGAACGTCGACAAACACATCAGAGCTAGAGGCTGAACATATCCCTCCAGCACTGTTCATGCTGTCGCGGCCATATTCTCTACGGACTACCACAACGCAAAAGACGCGTGTTTTCATGTACGATGAAGCCATGCGGCGAGCCAAAGCTTGTCATTACTGGCCGAGTTCTCCGTGCTTCTTGACATCCGTGCACCGACGCGTGTACCAGTGCATGAACGGGCGCGAGTGGGCCTTCCCGGACAAGTCCCTAGCTTCCCCACCTTGCTCCTAGCCCACCACTAGTCGCCCTCTGGGTTGTCTCTGCCCCCGCCCCTCTTGTCTTGCGCCTAGCTTGCCCCCTTGCGCTTTCCAACCCTCTGATCGTTTACTGTGCTGCTCTTCCTGCATCTACACTGATGGCTACTCGTGTACAAAGCCTTCCCGGAAGGCCGCCGATGCGCCATGGATCAAGCAGCTACCGCCACTCCCGCTCGTCCCTGTACGTCGCTCACACACCCTCTCTCGAGCCGATCACGACCCCAGACGAAGACGAGGACGCGGATGAGTCGACAGTTAGTTCAACACCCGATTCTCCACCTACATCTCCGTCCCCAGGCCATGGCCAGGAATCCTCCGGCTCTTCAGCCGACGAGTCTTCACCTCCGTACAAGATAGCCGCCGCTCCACCCACCGACGGTGTGGGCCTCTTCGCGTCGCGAGCCATCTCCAAGGGCGCCATCGTCCTATGCGAGTCTCCAATGTTCACCCAACCTTCTCCCCCTGCGCGCACGAACTCAACAGTCATGGCCGCGCTGGCCCAGTGTACGCGCGACGAGCAGCGGCAATACTTCAACCTCGCGAACGCGCACAAGTGCAAGGGCCCCGCGGCCCCGGGCACCCAGCCAGTACTTCCGGCCCTCGGCATCTTCGAGACGAACGCTCTTCCGTGCGGCAAGGCACGCAGCGGCCGCAAGGCGGGGGTGTTCCTCACCGCCGCGCGACTCAACCACTCGTGCCGGCCGAACCTTGCGCGGTCGTGGGACGAGGCGTCGCAGCAGATGACGTTCCGCGCGCTACGCGACGTCGCGGAGGGCGAGGAGCTGTGCTTGAACTATGTGGACGTCATTGGGACGCGCGCGCAGAGGACGGAGGAGCTGCAGAGTGCGTATGGGTTCGAGTGCGTGTGCGAGGCGTGTGCGCTGGGGTTCGAGGAGCTCGCGGAGAGCGACAGGCGGAGGGCCGCGATCCGCCGGCTGTTCGAAGAGGTGGCTGTATGTGGGAACGAGCCAACTCTCGGGCTCAGGAAGGTTCGTGCCTTCGTCACTGACCTGTTCGAGCGCTGCTCACGAGGCTGTGGCTTGCAGGTCAAACTCGCCCTCCAGTTACTGAAGGAGGAAGAGCTCGTCCACTACGAGGCATCGTTCTGCTTCGATGGGTTTCAGTTTTGCATCCTGGTACGCCCCGCAATGCTCTAGACCCCGGTAGGCGCGGGGATAGTAACATCGGCCGGTTAGGTTTCCGACTTCGTGAACGCGAAGGCGTGGATTCGCAAGGCCTGGGAGGCTTCCTGCAATACCTCCGGGCCAGACAGCCCTGCGTCGCGCGCGTTCAAGATGTATTGGGCCAATCCTCGGGCGCACGAGCTAGCCGGTATGCTGCCGCGTGCGACGCTGCACGGACCCGACTAGAGGCGCTTTCGGATCTGGCTTCCCACTCATGAACGGTGTCCATTCCCCGCATTTAATCCGCTCATTCATGTTTCGGCATCCCCTCTTCGTTAGGCATCTCACGAATCGTGACGGCGTATATGGTGCATGCACGAATCATTCATAAATAGCTTGCTTTGACTCCAAGTCATGGCCTCCCCGAACGTTTGCCAGTCAATGTATGAACATCATTCGTTTGAACTCTTAATTTTGCCGATGTAGCACTCACGGACTAGAACATACAAGGAACAGCGTGCCTGTTTTTGTTTCGCATGCGTTCAGGACATGATTTTCCAGCTTTAGAATGCGAACTGAACCCGGCCCGCGGACGGCTCCCTTTGTGCACCAGCTGACATTCTGGACCGACCTCTAGGTCAAGTGTGCGAGAAGCTTCGACATTACACCTGCCCGGGTTCCGGTCCCTAGAGCGATATAACTTCCTCCCGCTCACTGACTGTTCCTCACACAAGGATTAATTGGAACGGCAGCGTCACCCAACAGCGCCCACCATGTCATCGCCGAACAAGATCACGAAGATTGAGGTAATGCGATCGAATACCTCTTTGCGGACAAGCATGCTCACTGACGCCCGGTTCAGGTATTCCGCGTTCCGCCGCGATGGCTCTTCGTGCGTGTCGAAACAGAGTTAGGCATCGTCGGATGGGGCGAGGGCACTCTTGAAGGCCACACTGAGGCAATCGAGGGCGCGTTCAAGGATCTCGCGGAGCGCTTCATCGGATGGGACGCCGAACAGATCCAGGACATCTGGCAGCACGCCTATCGCTCTCGGTTCTACAGAGGTGGCCCGGTGCTCATGGTCAGTGTGACCAGATACCGTTCACCATCATTCAGGACTTGACTAACAAGAGCCTGTCCTCATCTAGTCTGCCCTCTCGGGACTTGACATCGCGCTGTGGGACATCAAAGCCAAGCGTTTCGGTGTGCCCGTCTGGCAACTCCTTGGGGGGAAGGTGCGCGACCGCGTCCGAGTGTACGTCTGGGTCGGTGGTGACAAGCCATCGGACGTGTACGACGGCGCGGCGGAGCGCCGCGCACAAGGCTTCACCGCAGTCAAGATGAACGCGACGGAAGCAGTGAGCTGGATCGACACGCCGTTGCTGCTGGAGGACACCGTCGCGCGTGTGCGCGAGGTGAAGTCGCTTGGGCTGGACGTTGGTATCGACTTCCACGGGCGGCTGCATAAGGGGATGGCGAAGCAGCTCGCGAAGGCGCTTGAGCCGCTGGCGCCCCTCTTCATCGAAGGTACCTTTGCAGGCCATGGTGGATAATACAGCTTTCTGATCCGGAGCGTCAGAGCCGCTGTTGCCCACACAGGTAGAGGAGATTGGAGACCTCGCGAAGATGGTGTCTACGCCGATCGCTCTAGGAGAGCGACTGTACTCCCGGCACGACTTCCGCCCGTACTTGGAGCGTCGCGCAATAGACATTGCGCAACCTGACGTCAGTCACTTCACCGCAACACGAGCGCGTAAGAGCTAACAGAAGCTGTAGGTCTCACACTGCGGTGGGATCAGCGAACTGCACCGTCTCGCGTCGTACACGGAGACATACGATGTCGCGCTAGCCCCGCACTGTCCGCTGGGCCCAATCGCTCTTGCCGCGTGCATGCAGGTCGCCGCTTCTGCACCAAACTGTGAGTCCCTCTGCTCCATCGCGTAATGACTCCCTGTAGAGTGACTGAACTCGCCGCCCCTAGTTGTCATACAGGAAATGAGCTTGCAGGTGCGTGCTCGACGTGTATCAATTGTCCGAGCATGACCTTCACATGTACCTTTCATTCACTTAGATGCATTACAACGAAGGTGCAGATTTGCTCACATATTTGGTGAACCCCGCCGTGTTTGCCGTCAAGAACGGCTACGTCGAGGTGTTAGACGGTAGACCCTCTCGCTCCCCTCTTTGCTTTAGCGTGAAGGTGCTCATAGAGATTGTAGGACCGGGCCTCGGAGTTGAGATCAACGAAGCCCTCGTACGAGAAGCCGCTGCCAAGCATTCCACCGAGAAGGCCTGGAGAAACGCGGTGTGGAAGGGAGAAGATGGTAGCCTGCGCGAGTGGTAAACATCGGACAAGTCATGGATCTCAGTAATCACTCAATCATCGGTATATACATGAGCAAGAAGGGACACTATCGTTGCATCATTTTTGTTGTGGTTAAGGGAACTTTCACTCCGGTCCGGAAAGCGTCTTCTTCGTCAACAGCCCGAACGCCCCGTGTGCGCGAGGGTTCTGCACATATTTCTTCATGTTCTTGGCGTCGGTGCTGTCGGGACCTCTCACCGCGCAGTATCCTTCCCAGGCCTTCGTCGCCCAAGCCTTCGCATTTTTGGTGTCGGAAACGGCTGCACAAAGAACCATTCGCGTCAGAAATACACGTAGGGACAAAAGCGAGATTGACTTACACGCGCAGAACTGAAATCCGTCGTAGTAAAAGGAGGCTCCTCTGGTGTCAAGGAGACCCTCCTCTGCGAGCAGCCGTATGGCCTCTTTCACCTAGGTCCGAGCATGAAGGATTGTCCAGAGTAAACAGGATGATGCCACGCTTACCTTCCGAATGCCAACTGCAGGCACAGCGCCGTACTGTCCAATCTCGTTATACAGATTCCCGATGGTGACGCGGCGCTCGTCGCTAGCCTTCAGATCCTCGTCCGTGCGCGAGCACGCCGTGCATTCACACACGAACCCGAACTGCATTTTCAGGCGGGCGCGGCGCGCGTCCCTGCCCGCGAAATGCTCCCCGTACGAGATCAGGAGCTCCTCGCCCTCCGCGATGTCGCGCACGGCCCAGAACGTGATCTTCCCCTGGCCTTCGTTCCAGTAGTTATTGACGTTCGGATCGCATGACGAGTTAAAGCGCGAGCCGAGGACGAACACGGCGCCGCTGCCCGCCGCGGTGCCGGTGGTGATGTCATGGTCGCCGCACGGCAGCGCGTTGGTCTTGAATACGCCGAGCGGGGGAGGATGGACGCCCTTGTGCGCGTTCGCGAGGCTGAAGTAGTCGCGCTGCTGAGCGTCGGAGAGGGCGGAGAGGGCGCGGAGAATCGTGGCGTTGGTGTACGACGGTGGTTGGACGAGAAGGGGAGATTCGGCGAGAATGAGCTCTCCGCGGGACAGCGCGCGGGCGGCGATGAGTCCGCGACCTTTCCCCGGTATATCTTTCAGAGTGTACACGACTGACCCCCTGTCATTAGCTGTGCATATGCTGCGATACACGACAAACATACCGTCCATGAGTGTGATGCAGCGACCGAGGGGAAGGAGGCGTACAACATCTGTCGACTTGGGAGGCAGGTGCTTATATTGCCGCACCTTCCGTTGGGGCTAGGAGTTTAGATCTAGGGCGCGCCGCTGGCCGATATAGTTCAAAACATTCGTGCTTCTTACCGCAGCACTAGGGAGCATCGAAGCAGCGGGGATCTCAGAAGTAGAAGAGGCTCTACTTATTCGAGCGGACACAGCTGCCTCGTTAACCACAATTAGAGGAAGACAGGGTCACAAGATGATCGGAGATGCTACAACGTAGTTTAGGCTAATGGTCTCGAGCATTATAGAACGACGTCTTCCCATGAAGCCTGACATGGCCATGCAACATAGGAAGGCCGTTCGCTACCTTTGGAATCCTGTCGAGTGATCGTTAAGCGAGCGGCATTATCAAAAGGGAGATAATTTATATTCAGAAAGACCTCGCACGTCATGGACATCCTAGAACTCAGGTCCCGTAAGCTTATATTTCTTTCTCCCGCTCTGGAAAACATCTGATTCTTCGGGATGCTCAGCAAGATTGTTCCAGTGTCGGGCGAAGGAGCTATTTGGGCCCCTCGACATGGTTAGCGTCTCACACGCCTTCTTAGCCCACGCGCGGGCATTCTCGACATCCCCGGCTCCTAAAACGCAACATAAGAAGGATTGAGTTGAGCGACGTTTCGTACGCGAAAAAAACACGCACTGGCGCAGAAATCAAATCCTTTGATGTAGAAGGACGCGCTACTGTGTTCGAGTAATTTTTCCTCCCGCAAGAGCTTAATAGCCAGTTTTATCTGCGGGACGTGAGCATGCGATCTCCTGTCCAGTGTATCGCGCAGCAGCTAACCTTGTGCAATCCGAAGGCCGAATCGAGGTAGTCAACCATGTCTGTGCGGATCTGGGCAATGTGGCGGCGGCGACGGTCGCTGTCCCGCAGCGCTTGTCCCCGGAGCGAGCACACTTCGCAGCGGCACAGGTAGTTGTAGTACTCCTCTAGCCCCGCACGCCTATCTGCGCGAGGCGCCAGGACGTCCACGTACCCAAGACAAAGCTCCTCGCCTGCATTGATGTCTCGTATGGCGTGTAACAGGAGCCTTTGTGCCACATCGTCCCACCAGTGGCACACGTTGGGCTGGCATGATCCGTTGAAACGCGCAGCGGCGGAGAAGATTCCTTCGACCTGGGTTATATCCCCTTTCGGGTCCTCGGGGGTCCCGCAGGGGAGCGCGTTGGTGAGCCAAATGCCTACCAGCGGGTTATAGGCGCCTTTGTGAATCGACCAAGCGTTGGACAAGGAGAGGAAACGAAGCTGGTCATCTCGGGACAGGCGGGAGAGTGCGGCTGCTAGGTCTTGAGCGGCGACTGTATATTGTTGGGTCAACAGAGGGGACTCCTCCAGGATCAGCTCTCCACGGTTGATTGCGCGAGCTGCGACGGCACCTTGGCCGCTGCCCGGAATATCCTTGATGGTGTATATATCTAACGATGTATGTAAGCCCATCATCATCGAGTGGCGAAAGGGTAGTCACCGTTCATGAGGCTCGGAGTAGGGTAGCAGCCACGGAGGAAGCATCTACAAGAGCACGCATCTTTAAGTCAAGCCCCTATAACCTGGTCTTTGTCTCCTCATGCACAAAGGGCCTAGGTCCCACATTATACCTCTGCAATGATGACACAAAGACAAATCGGAGAAGACGACATCGCATTACTGAAGTCTCTTTCTAGTTGTTAGAAAATTGCCCTGCCAGCTTCATCGCGAGTAAGTTCATCTGAAAGGTACTGAAATAGTTCACTCACTGTGCAACGAGTTTAGCAGCCGTAGTGACACGCATATTACTGGCAACGAACACTGGAGGAGAGAGAGAAAGCTTCGTTGTTAAGCGCGCATTATCCGACCCGCGGGAGAATCCGGGTTGTCTCGTTTCCTTCTCCGCCACTCTTCGTCCTTTCCTTCTCTCCACCATGTCTGCGCTTGGTATCTGCTCCCTACCAATGGATACTATTTTCTGCATTATCCAAGACCTCACCTCGTGTCAAGCAGAGTCGGGTGTCACCCAGCGTCGACATCTGCTATCCCTAGCTCTGACCTGTCGATTCCTGAGCGAGCCCGTCCTCGACACCATGTGGCACACGCTCAGGTCGCTTTCCCCCCTTCTGCGTACGCTACCCGAGGATCTCTGTACAGTGGTACCGCTTACACTCCAGAGTGCACGCGTCGAGTCTGTCCCTTGGTATCAGCTTGTGAGTCCCTCATTTTTGCTGCTCGCATATGGACTCGGAGCTAGAACTTGTTATACAGGTCTTTCTTCGGGCCCCAGCCGTGCATGATTTCAAGCGCTTCTTCACGTACTCCAAGCGTGTCAAGAAATATACCGGAGCCGCGTACCGGCACGATCCTGTGAGCGTATGGGAACGGTTTCTAAATATGCACGACAGCGTCCACCGCTCTTGGCCGGCTGCCCTGTCTCACGTCTTTGCTCCTCCAAATTAGTCCTGCAGAGTATTCTTGGGATGCACTACCTCATGGGCGCGGTGACGGTCCCTATGGCGCCCTTCAACAGCTGGTGCTGGATCAGATCCCCTTCGCCTGGAGCGCAGCTTTTCTGCGCTTAGTATCGACCACCTCACTCCAGCGACTCTCCGTTGTCTGCGAGGATGCCTCATTACCGCCCCCCGACCTCTTGGAGACGCTCTGCACTGCAATCAGCGAACTCCCCTCTGCGCGCTCCATCGAGGAGTTGATCATAGGTCTGGGTCAGCGAATATTGATCCCGCGCGAGGTCTCGCTGGAAGCGCACTACCGGGGCGCGTCCTCGCTCCCCTCCTCGCCTTGACAGCGTTACGACACTTCGACATTCAAGGGTGTTGCAGATTCGTTCTGGACGATCTCGTGCTCGAATGCGCTGCGACGGGCTGGCCCCATATCAAGAAGCTCGTCTTCGGATGGCAGGTTAGCAATGGCGACACGGGAGGCCCTGTTCAAAATAGCAAACTGCCCGAGGTGACGCTCGCAGGCCTCCTCCATCTCACTCGCCGGTGCCCCAAGTTGGCAGAGCTCGCCCTTGCTGTAGATATGCGCACCCTGCCGGGCAGCTGTCGGGATCTCGAGTTCGCGCGCTCCCTGCCGGTGCCTCTGGAGGGGCCTGCAGTGCCTGCTCTGCATCTTTTCAACATTACCGGCTCCGTGTTGGAGGACTACTCGGACACAGGTGTTGCGTCGTTCATCTCTCTGGTCTTCCCGCGGCTCCGGTGGATGTCGCACGATCTCGACCTGATGCAGACACCATGGTCGGGGTTCTTGGACCTCCATGCGTGCATACTGGCTATCCGGTCGCAGGAGAGAGCGTGGGGACTGTCGCAAGGGAAGCGGTTTTGCACGACGAATTCGGTGTAGACGTAGGTACCGGCGAGTGCCGTTTTATTCACTCTCGCGGTGCACATGCTTATATCGTATCCCTCTCTTTGTGTAGCAGTTTTGGACCCTGTGAAGTCCGCGCTGCAAGAGCTCGACACCGTGCTGGGGGCGTGCTTGGGACCTGACATCGCGTCGGATGCTAATGTCCGGTGGATTGTGCTGGAACTCCTGGTGTGCCTGGTGCTGGTGTGCGCGCAGGAGAGGACGTACGGCTGAAGGAAGGAAAGCCGTGGCGCGAGCCTACCTCAGAGGCGTAGCGAACACCGTACACACGCCGTGGACGGATGAGGGCTGGTGTTGTTTCTTCTGCCCGGGAGCACCCGCCCCATTGTCCTAATTCGGTTTCGCAACTCTCTGACAAACCGCCATCTGCCCTCTTCAGGATGCTACGCCTCTTGTCAATGAGCTGGCTAGGTCTTCGCCCGTTTCCGGCGGCTCAGTCCCCTGTTCTGCGCAGGTCAGCGGGCACGCATGGCTATGACATGTCACACAGCTGCGGAGAAGCGGGGATCTGTTCCACGAGGCGGTCACGCCGAAGTGATAACTTGTGCCTCCCGACGCCACTGAGCCACTTGCATACCCAGTGGCACCAAACGGTAGCTTGACCTTTTCTTTCCCTCCCAAGCGGGTGCCAGCTGCACTTCCAGATATTGTCTCATTACCCGAAAATATAGCATTATGGATGCCAAAGGTTGGGCTTTCGGCTGTATCTCTACTCGACGTACTTCTGTTAACACGCTTTACAGGTCGGATCATGGCAGTACCGTCCACCATCTGCCGTCTACCTCTAGAGACCATCCTACGCATATGCAAATGTCTCTTATCGCAAGAACGTTCAAACTCCACTATTCGTCGCGACTTGGTGTCGGTAGCCCTCACTTGCTCCGCATTCAGCGAGCCCGCCTTCGACACACTTTGGCACACGATTGACACTCTTGCCCCGCTGTTGCGCACGTTACCCGAAGACCTGTGCACTGTCACGCCGTTTGTTTCCTCGTCCATTACTAGCGGGGCCCCGTCATTGCGCTCGGTGTCCGAACTCATAACAAGCTCAGTGCCGCCGTATGTCACCCAAGGCCGTACCTCTGCACGGTCTCAGTTGGTGAGTATTGTATCTGTATCTGCACGCCTGAATCTCCGCTAAGGCTGGTCTTACGGAGGCTATCCTTCGAGCCCCAGTGCCGAGTGACTTCGTGCGCTTCTTCACGTACTCCAGGCGCGTCAACCGGCTCGGGATTCCACGGCTTGGAGGTCTTCCCGCCGGGAACATCACCGAGCAATACGCCTTGGCGTCTCGTCACAGAATCAGCTTCGCGGTCTGGGATTTCTTGTCGGCGTTTGGACCAAGGCCGCTTCTGCCCAACCTCAAGTTCATATACCACAAAGAATGGTTGGGTGACATAGGCGTAGACTGGCGCAAAGTCCCGTTTCACTCCGCCGCTCTGCTCTTCAGCCCCAAACTACGGAAGGTGGAAGTAGCCTGCGTCGACCCATACCTCGATTTCACGTATGCCACCGAGGTTATTCGCAACTTGTCGTACATTGCCACATCGGTAGAGGAGCTCAGCATCGAGGTCGACTCCAATGCCTACGAGCTCCCAATCCCCAAGACTGGTTATCTTTACGGCACGGAGATCTCCTTCCTCGGTCGTCTCACCAGCTTCAGCAGCCGCACAGTGTGCGTCGCGCCGGATACGCTCATTGCTCTGGGAAACCTGCCGTTTCTGGAGTCGCTGGTGCTTCGTGCCAACGCGGCCGAATATCCTTGGGACACCATGCTCTACGGGAGGTGTTCCGACCTCTTCCCCGCGCTCCTCGAGGTCACCCTGCACGAAACTAGCGTCCAGTGGTGCACATCGTTCCTGCGGATGGTGTCGTCGACGTCGTTGCGGACGCTGTCCATCTGCCCCGGAGATCACTCGCCGCCTCCTCCGGCGCACTTCGAGGCACTTTGTGTCGCAATTGGTAGCCTTCCCTCTGCCCAATCTGTTGTCGACCTCTCCATCACCATCGTTCACTCCGGATACAACTCTCATGGGTGCGGGGTATACTGGTCAGAAGACGTAGCGCCTCTCTTCGCCCTATCGGCCATGCAGCGCCTCGTGATATCAGGCGGCGGCTGCACGACCATCCTGGACGATGTCGCGCTCGAGGTGCTATCGCAGAACTGCCCCGATCTTGTAGAGCTCGTTCTGGGAGTCCGTTCCCGCTTTCGCGCAGAGCAATACCGTATGACGGACGACGACTTCCCGTACGTGACGCCGTGGGGTCTCCTTCAGCTCGTCCGTCGCTGTCCACGCATAACGAAGCTCGCCCTCGCCCTCGACCTGCGCTTCTCTCCCGCATCCCAAACCGACCCCAACTTGCGGCTCGCGTGGGCCCCTCCGGTTTACCTTTCGGGCCCTGAGGCACCTACACTCAAGGAGTTCGACGCGACGGGGTCCCTGCTCGGCGACCCGATATGCATTGCGTCGTTCTTCTCTCTGTTGTTTCCACAGCTGCACTTGATAGGGAACCGCACTGCGCAATCGCGGACGTGGGAGAATATGGAACACTCGCGGGCGTGGGCGAATATGGAACACTTTCGCTCGTGTTTTGCACAGGTGCGGGCGCAGGAGAGGGCGTGGGCGAAGAAGGAGAAGATGCGGCTTCGCGAGCCCAGTTCATCGGAGGCATAGCTTGTGACGTTTAGGTTTGCCTTTGTTTCATCTGCGCACAGTCAGAGTTTGATAACGCTTTTTCAGAAGTGACGTATGTTCGAAACAGCGAGCTTCAGATTTTTGCGTAGAATGGGCTATCAGGTTCGGAAGATAATAGTACCCTTGCACCATCGCCTCCAACGAGGCATCCCATCAGGGATACCGTACGTTAGGGGCGCTCGACCCACGGCGCCACCGGTTCGCGTTTGCACAACTGGGCGACTCGAGTCTCGTGGAGGCTCTTCCACAGCCAAATATGGCAATCCTTCATCGTTGGGGCACCTCCGCTTGGCATGTGAGTAGATGTCTACGCGCTGTTACATGCCCGAAATCGGAATCACATCCCCAGATGCTTCAGAGACCGTTCCTGTCACTGCGTGACTGGCAGTGGAGATTAAGCCGAACCGAAGAACAAGTGAATACCGCTCAACGACGTGACTGTGGGTTGTCACACCTACGGTATTGCGAGCATGGCTTTGCTTCGAACTGTCATATCGTCGACCGTCTCAGCTGAGACTTCGCCAAAATCGGAAGGGAGAGACAGGCACGCCGGGTACGAGGCCGCGGAAGAGTGGGGAAGCAGCCCCATTTACGGCGAGTGACAAACTCGTACTTGCCTACTGAATATTCGTCAACCCCCAGACGGCCTGAGCTGGACTTTTGCGCGGCTTCCCCCATCCCCAATTGGACCGAGGAGCCGCACGACCCCCTAATACCGTCCGGGCACGAGGACGAGGCGTTCGAACCGCAAATGCGGGAGGTCGAGCTTTCTCTCCTACCACCATCTGCCACTAGTTGCGCCCCCCTTGGTCCGCCAACACACTCGAGACGAGATCATGACAGGTCCGCCCAACATCGCTTCCCTACCTCTAGAGACTGTGCTGCGCATATGCCGTGTCATATCGTCAGATGGAGGCCCCGGTCCCGCCATCGGCCGTGATCTCACTGCAATCGCTCTTACTTGCCGTTCGCTGAACGAGCCTGCTTTGGACACGCTCTGGCACTCGATTCGCTCACTCGCCCCGCTACTGCGCACGCTCCCCGAGGATTTGTGCATTGTCGCCCCTTTCTTCAACAACAGTGTCGATGGACGTATCCCACGCGCAAAATCCCAGTTGGTACGTACTACATTGCTACTGGCATACATGAAATGCCATTGAGGCTCGCCGTACGCAGGTAATCCTTCGCGCTCCCGTGCCGAGAGACCTTTCGCGCTTCTCCACGTATTCCAGGCGGGTCAGAAGGCACGGCTTTCCTCGGGTTACACACGACTTCTTCGCTGGAGAAACGCTACCGCCTGGCGAGGAGTACGCCTTAGCATCTTCCCACCACATCCCCTACGCAATCTGGGACTTCCTGTTGGCCTTCGGGCCTCAGCCACTCCTTCCAAATCTGCAGTCCGTGTATCACAACGAGTGGGCCCTCCATATGGGCTTAGGCTGGCGCGGGACCCCATATCACTCGGCCGAGCTCTTGTTCGGGCCCAAGCTGCAGAAAGTCGAAATCGCCCGTATCATCGATCCGCGCGGAGACCCCGATCATACCACGACGCTCATCCGTAGCCTGTCAAATGTCGCGACCTCCTTGGAGGAGCTCATCATCGAGGTCGAACCCAACAACCACGACTTCTTCCCCGAAGCCAGATTGCTGTATGGAGCAGACATCCGCTTCTTTCAAAGCCTTACGAGCTTCAGCAGTCGCTCTGTGTGTATCGCACCAGATGCTCTGCTCGCTCTAGGCCAGCTACCATACCTGGAGTCACTGCTACTGCACGTGGATCCCACGAAGTACGCCTGGGACGCATTGCTTCACGGAAGGTGTGCCGACCTCTACCCTGCCCTTCTACGACTAGACCTACACGATATCTCCACGATCTGGTGCACATCATTCCTGCGAATGGTGTCGTCCACCTCGCTACGGATGTTGTCCATCCGCTGTGTAGACTACCCACCGCCGCCTCCGCGCCTCTGTGAAGCGCTCTGTCCCGCGATCAGTAACCTCCCCGCCGCTTCCTTGATCACCGACCTCGCTATCACCTTCCTCGACTCTGGACGCGAACCCTCCGGACACAACACGTACTGGTCGGAAGATATATCCCCTCTCTTCACCCTTACCGCCATACAGCGTCTCGTCATCGGAGGCGGTTGCACTACTATCCTCGACGATCTCGCGCTCGAGGTGATATCAAAGACCTGGCCCGATCTCGTGGAGCTCGTTCTCGGATATAATACTTGCCGCCGCACAGACGACGAACGTACACTCGAGGCCGACGACTTCCCATACGCGACACCTTGGGGTCTCGCCCAGCTCGCCCGTCACTGCCCACGTCTGACACAGCTCGCGCTCGCCGTCGACCTCCGCTTCTATCCCACATCACACACCGAACCTGACTCCCAGCTCGCGCGGGCTCCTCCTGTGCACCTTTTCGGGCCTGACGTACCCGCACTGCTGGACTTCGACGCGACGGGGTCCCTGCTCGGCGACCCGGTGTGCATTGCATCATTCCTATCTCTGCTATTCCCGCAGCTGCGTGGGATACGGAACGACTCTGTCTCGGAGGCATGGTGGGATGTGACTGATTCAATCTCGTTCTTCGCGCGAGTGCGAGCGCAGGAGAGGGTGTGGGGGTTAAGGAAGGGGATGCAGCTTCGCGAGCCGAGCTCAGAAACTTAGTTTGTGCACGAGACGAAATGTATGTACCGATTTAGCGCCGTTTCTTGTGTGACCCAGTTCTGACTATGCTCTCTCGAAAGAGAAACAGCATCTGGCATGATGTGCATGTATGACTGCGTACTCAAAGCTCGAAAGATGATGCTAGCTACCGGCGCCGCATTTGCCTCAATGGTCCGAGGCCCTAGCGCATAAATACGGCAAGTCCTTTCCCGCATGCAAACACTCAGTATGAGCGTGGCAGTGTGGCGCTACGCGTGCTATTCGGTCGACAGACTGAATGCGCTGGCAGCCGCGCGGCACTTGCCCAGGGTCGGTGACTCGTGGACACGCCCTCTAAAACGTGTGCACGCCGGACAGAGTCAACAGTCATGGCACCTCCCACCATCCACTCGCTCTCGCTCTCGGCTATTGCCACTCGTATAAGCTATCACATCTCTTCCTGTCACAACTCCGAAACAGCCGACATACGTCGTGACCTGGTCGCTTTGGCTCTCACAAGTCGTTCGTTCAGCGAACCCGCCTTGGACATGCTCTGGCACACGCTGCAATCTATAGCCCCTTTGCTTCGCACATTGCCAGAAGACCTATGCACTACTGCCCCGCTCGACTTCGAGGAATCATGCGGAGACGATATGCGACCGAGTCGTGAAGTAGTAACTCAGCTGGTGAGCCAGGTTTCCGCCGTACATGGACAGTTGCTGAAATCTGGCATGAAGGTTGTTCTACGTTCCCCGACACAGCAAGACTTTGAACGTTTTCTTGTGTATTCTCGGCGCATCGTGCGGCTGGGGTGCAATTTGTTTCCACGACACCCTCTCAGTGGACAGCTGATGTATCACAATGCACCCGCCGGCGAGCCCCGACATGTCCTGGAATCGCAACACCATATCCCACCGGCGACCTGGGATTTCCTGTCGGCATTTGCGCCACGGCCTCTCCTTCCAAATCTACAGTTTTTCTTCCACCAAAGATGGGTGCCGTATGCCGATTTGCATGGGCATCGCATCTCGATTCACTTTGCCCACCTGCTCTTCACTCCCAGGTTGAAGGATGTGATGGTCCGCTGCGTCCCCGCTCACCGGGCGCCGGAGCATGCAACTGAACTCGTTCGGAGCCTGTCCATTACGGCTGGAACTTCCTTGGAGCGCCTGAGAGTAGAGGCTTCGTCAGAATTCCATCCATACGTTCCTGGAACGGGATCACTACACGGCATAGCGCTTCTCCTATTCCCTCGCCTTACCAGCTTCAGCAGCCGCTCTGTCCAGCTTGCGCCAGAGGCTCTCCTCGTTCTAGGATGCCTGCCCTACCTGAACTCATTGTTACTACACGTCAATCCGGCCGCGTACCATTGGGACATACTGCCTCACGGACGGAGCACCATGCTCTTTCCTGCTCTGCTTGAGCTCACCCTGCACAACATCGACTTCGAGTGGAGCACGGCGTTCCTCAACATGCTCTCCCCCCCAATTCTTCAGGCCCTGTCTATCCGCTGCCAACCGGGCCACCCGTTGCCGCTCCCCATCGTCCTTCACGCCCTCTGCCTGTCAATCGCCGGGTTGCCCTCAGCCAAAGCTATCACCGGCATCTACATCATTATCGGAGGTATGATAGGTGATGACTCGGCCAGAATTTCCGACACATACGAGATTTATTGGTCTGAAGACATCGCCCCACTGTTCGCGCTGACGGAATTGCGGGGCCTTACTGTCACCGGGCAGTGTGTCGTCGTCGCCGACGACTGCGCACTGGCGACCATGTCGCAGAACTGGTCGCAGCTAGTCATCCTCGTCCTCGACTGGGCTTGGAACATGCACGTCCCGCTACAGCACCACCGCTCGCCCGAGGACGAGGACTTCCCCCGCGCAACGGCGTGGGGCCTGCTACAGCTCGCACGGGGCTGTCCGCGTCTGTTCAGGCTGACGCTCGCGGTCGACCTGCGGCTTGGACCCCTCCATAACCTCAACGCTGACCTCGAACGTACCCTCATTCCTCCCGTGCCCCTCTACGGGGACGCAGTGTCTGAGCTAGTGGAGTTCCAGTCAAAGGGCTCCCTGTTGAGCGACACGCTCACCGTCGCGTCGTTTCTTTCGCTGGTTTTCCCTGGACTCCAGACCATCCATAATCCGTCGCAGGAGTGGCTTGCGATAGACAGAGAACATAAGCGGCTTGTACGGGTGCGGGCGCAGGAGCGGGAGTTCGGGCGGAGGGCTGGGAGGCAGTACCGGTTGCCGGACGTGATAGTATAACTTAGTATGGGTGATACCGTGACCTCGTTGCCAGTGTAGTTGCAGGTACGGTTTAGTGGATTTCAGACAAACGTTTTGGCAAAAGCATCGTAGTATATTGTGCTTTCTGTACCGTACACTGCGATGAGCCCACTACATGCGCGGAGATAGTAGTAACTCAAGAATAGACTAGGATAGGGACCAGTGAGCGTAGAGACGTGCGCAAGAGGTATGACTCTCATTGATGTCGGAGGGTCAACGTTCAAGAGGTGGTCCCCGCAATCTATGAATTGCTTGGGTCAGGTGGTCGCAATATCTGGAGAGCTTCGAGTGCTTTTACCAGGGAGGATGTTCTGAGGGCTATCCATTTGGGAAGCGTTGTCGGCGAGGTTAGACGGTTTGGGTCCGGCGGGCTGGGAAGTTGCAGTCTGAGCGAAGTTCTGTTCCGCCTGCATGTGATAAATATAGCTACCTCAGCTTGGCCTCTAGCGACCGAGAGATGGTCCGGAACAGGCCCGTGTACGTCGCTCCAGAAGTTGAGTGGGGGCAGAGCGGACAAGACCAGCGTACGCTCTGTACACTGCGCCATACTTGCCCTGTTCGGGACTGGACTTCCATAGCGTAGCCTCTCTTCGATGCATCGACTGGGTATTCGAGATAAATTAGCAGAAGAGCAGCGACGAGGAGGTTCATACACCAGAGACGACATAACTGCACGGAGAAGCCTCATGTCACGGATATAGCCCGGTCAGCGCGCGAGAAGAGAGCGTATGTTGCCGATGTCGACTGCATGCATGTCACCTGGAGAACAGCCGGCTCCCTCGGTGATGTTCTCAAGTTCGCACGGAGGTCGATGACGGTAGCGTTGGCGATAGCGCAAAAGCAAGAAGACGAAGCAGAGCATGTAGCGGAGATGGCGAGTCGAGCAGAGGGATGGATGTGGGGAAGCAATTGAGTACACGCTGTTGCACGCAGCCATGTCCTGGATGCACGCATGAGTTCCTGTGAGACTATCAGTTCACTCGGGATCCCTACACCGTGTTCACCGTGTCCCTGCCACGCAACGTGATGTATTGAAGGTAGCCTGAGATACCCTCGACATCTAGTTCAGTGTTCGCCGGAGCGCGGATGAGATGGAATGTAAATTGATCACCTGCATAACCGTGAGGCCATGCCGTTGCAGGCTCTCAGGGACATGCGCCACTCTAGCTGCATGGGAAGCCTATTACGCTAGTGTTGAGAACCTACACTCAGCTTTACGCGCATAACTCAGCCACGGGCGAATGAAGCGGACGATATTTGGTGACAAGCCTCGAATCGCAATAGATTGCTCTAGTCGATGAGATACTTCCGCTTGAAAAACGCGCGGAGGTGGAATATCTGCCAAACACCCAACCCAATCAGGGAGAGGATTGTGAACCACGCAAAGTTCTTCACGCGCCCTTGCGTGGACACTGCGGCAGGCAAGATGCGTGTCAGCGGTGTTCGCGCCGGCGTGAGCGTGAGTATAGGACGCACTGTTCGTCTGTTGGAACCGCTCCTCCCGCGACTTCAGGTAGTCCATCCCGTCCACGATCTCTTTCACAATACCCTCCAGCTTGCGCATCTCCGTCTCGAGCGCGGAGAGCGACTCCTGGTTCGCAATGGCGCTGCACGGGGGAGGCTGCGGTCAGCCGGGGACGTGGGAAACGCCGGTGGACACTTACTTATAGTCGACAGCGTCGGCACCAATGTCAATGTCAAGGTCAACAACACGCGACTTCGGCTTGGCGTCGTTCGGAGCACCTAGGGCCGCCCGCGTCAGTCGTCGGCCAGCAGCTCTACTCCCAAGACACACGTACCGGACTCAAGGTAGTTGCGGAAGCAAACGCCGATATCCTCCTCCGCATGTGCCGTGATGGCGAACCGCTTCTCCCCGCTGATGCCCTTCTTGCTCAGGTAGACGTTCTTGTGCTCGCTCGAGTCGACGACCTCGATGTCGAGCCGCTGGCCCTCGCCCGGACCTACGTTCGCGGTGATAATGACGAGCGCGCCCGGGTGCGCGGCGTTCCATATGCACTTCGCGGGCGGATAGCGGGCGGCGGTGACGTTAAACTTGATTGCGAGCACGGTCTGGCTCAGGCAGAGGACAAGTGCCAGAAAGAGGAGCGGGAGGCCTCGCACGCCCATGTTGCAGAATCAGATGAAGACAGCGTGTATGAAGAAGTCGCACAGCGAGTCGTAAGCGGTTCGTGATGATGTCGACGGCCGCCTCAGCGTCGAGCAAGGGTGAGGAAGGTGAAAGCGGAAGGCGGAGCAGGCGGTGGTGGTGGCGGCAAGAAGAGCAGGTGATGGGCGCCTACGGCGCACTTGCTGGCATTTGGCACAGCTTCAACCTGGCGTGTCCGTACGTCGAGCGGCTGCGGCTCTGAACATTCCACCATCTGGCACCGGACGCTGACCGAACGTCGACATGAGAGCAGTTGTGTACTCGACAGCTTTGCGCGCGGAATACGCACCGTTTCATCAAGGTCACTCCGGGAGTCAGAGTATGCATCGACCTGTTTTTATGTGAGTCGCGTATACATAGCTTGCCCGGTTTTTGCAATAGATACCAGACGTACTTATTGATAGATCAGGGCATACAGAATGTCCACCTGCGGATATCATGCATGCTGTTATCTCAAAGATCAGGCTTCTACATGCCGCGCAGAAGTTGTACAGATGCGGCGCTTCTATCTATGAGCTGTACGACGGTCGGCGAGTGTTGACGTTCGCAGCTTATAGCGCCGACATCTAAGGGCCCAGAGCTTGCCAGGTACCGACTCGCTGTCGTAACAGAATTCTCGACCCACTCGTCACATATGAAGTCGGCGCGGCCTGCAATCGAGCCGCATTCCCATTCACCGTTGATCTCACGGTATGCGCTCATCCACAGTAGGAATTCGAATTCTCCTCACCATCCCCGCCACCGTCAGAACATGCACTTGAGAAGTACGATACGACGGTATTGCAAGACTCTGCACTTCGGACGGTCCGTAGTCTCGTGCGCGAAGAACATCTGCGGGAACGAACCCACTGGCGCACGATCGACGACGGCGTGACAGAAGCGCGCCATGATCGGTTTCGAGTGTCCGTGTGCCCTTCAGCGCCGGACAGGACAGGTGACTCGGTGGGTCAAACACATGCTCGTCGACTCTAGATCGCGAACTCTTTTCGGACGGTCACAGACACGGCGGCTCCCTGGGGGACGGAGCTTACTTCGTCCGCCATCCTGGCGGTACGTTTTGTCAAATCCACGGCCTCGACCTAGGGACCCTTGTGCCTTGGAACGATTTCGCCGCTGCGGACGTTCATCGTGTGTATCCTGGCCCTCAGAAGCACAAACCCACAGATATGAGAGTTCGCTGACTCGACCTGAGATATTCGTGGGGCCAAACACCCACACGGCCGAACGCCGATGACTCCTAGCTCCACCTCCTGGACCCAGGAAGCCATGGACAATGGATATGCGGCTTCAACGCACCGACCACTGCGGCCACCTGTACGATACGAGTTGTGTGGGTCTTATATTGCCACTATTCGCTCACTCACATATCGCGGGGGCTGCTTTACTCACTCGCAGGTCTGGCATCATTCCGTGCGATCCGTCATAGCCGAGGATCATTCTGACCATGGGCCAACATATTGCACAGATCTCTGGCGTCATTCACCCCGGTGCACTGTGTGCGATGCACGCGCATCGGTGCTGTCATCGACGAAGCACCAGGAGGTTGGGGAAGGCGCTCTCAGGCTTATCTTCGCACTTGTGCTCCCGCATCGGCGAGACAGCGTCGCCTTCGAACACGGCCGTCGGACTACCAATATCAGCGCTTCTTGCCCTCAACAACATATAAATCGAGGTTCTCTCCCGTAGCCGTTTTCCCCGAGCCAATCCGACACACTTTTGAAGTTGTTCCTTCCAATGCCGCTACCCAGCAAGCCTCATTCGCTCGACGTGAACCCCGCTATATGTACCATGCTCAACCCATCTGTGGAGCGTGTATACATTCTAACCGAATCTGTGCTACGTTGTACGTGTCTCCCCACCCCTCGCCTATGTGGTGGTTATCTAACCACCATTTTCCAGTTGTAATTGAGCACGACCGACTGCCATTCACCGTTGAAGAGTCGCATGAGTTCTCAGCTCATCTCGTACACGACGTTGGATCGATCGCGGAGGATCCGCTCGGGCAAGGCGCACCCGTTGTGTCTGCGACCAATCACGTCAGTTCGACCCGGAAGACTCTTGGCGGGGGGACCCGTAAGGTCGCTGTAAGTCACACAGTCCTTTACGGAGAGTACACTGCTAACTATTGCGGCCATGCAGTGCGAGTCATGCTACGAGGCGCGGAAGCGGTGCGAAGGTCCGTGGCCATGCTCAGGCTGCAAACGGCGGCAGCTACCATGTGTCCCACGCAAGCCGCGCCCCCGTAAGGCTCGCGCAATCCGGTTCGCAAAGGATTTTGCGGCGCACGCTCCCCATGTTGGAAACCACGATGAGCACTCCAGTGCCACCTACCTCCTTGGAGAACACGTCAACGGTAAGTCACTACGCTGACAATCGCTGTGAAGATGCTCATCACGATTGGCAGCCGAGCCCGGATTCCTGCCAGACTACTTCTCGGCATGGCACCGGAACGATGACGTGGACGTGGCCCCCATGCAGCACCCGACGTTCGTCTCGTCATCACCCAACATCTTTGAATACGCGTCTGGAAGCTACGACCGGCTTACCTGAGCGTCATGCGCGAGAATGTCCGTCTTCCATGCAGCTCAACGCCGACTTTACTCCGCGATCGCTGCCTCGCTCCTCGGTGTAGCAGCCCCTCTCAACCAGCGTAGCGGGATCCGCACGCGTGCGCGAGGAGTTCAGCGTTGGACTAGGTTCCGTTCGTTTCTCAGTTGACCTGTATCCTGTCCCTCCAGACCTCAGTCCCCCACTGCTCTTTACTGACCCCTTCGTTGCTTAACAGCCTGCCGCATTTGTATTGAGCTCCCCCCGCTGTTTTCTGGTTCGTGTTGATCAGTTACATTGGGCTAGTAGCTCCTGATGGGCGGGCTGTCTTACGTTTCTACCCTCTATATCATTTGTTACTTGGCTCGGACCTGCGCTTGCAACGGACTGACTGCAGCTGTGCTCGCCGCTGAGCACCTGTTTGACCACGTACCCGTCTTCGAGAGTGGCATCGGGGAAGGCAAGAATCCCCACATAGCGTAGAGCAGGGATCACGAGCGTAGCGTGGATTTTTCAGCGAGTAGAGCCAAGCTTGAGGCGCGAAGCACAGGCTGGGAGGCGGTGGGGAGACCATACTTTGCTGATGCCTGGTATATCCATAGCCGCTCGGAGCGCAAACATCAGTTTCGAAGCCACCACCAGATAACGCGCAGGTACTGGTAAACCGGTATATTGGTTCAACGACTCGTACGCAGAGCTCCTCGTTAACATCGTTTACAGTGCGTAATACCTCGGAGTCCGGTGAGCGACCGGTGAGGACTCGAAGGATTCGCTGTCCATTGACGACTTATTTCCTTTCTGATAGCATCTCCTCCGAGACCATGGGCCCTACTTACCAAGTAGCGGGGATATCATCATAGCACAATGGCTCGCTTGTAAGTGCTCAGTAAACTCAAAGCTCTCAATCTCATAATCGTTGAGTAACAGGTCACAATGTCCAACCGCGACGCCAGACTTGCTCAGAATAGACGGATCAACTATCCACCCTTCGGCGGCGCTTCGCCGGTGGTGCCTCTAATTCGTCCGCATCGTCCCCGCGGTGTTTGCAGGGGGTATCCAATGGACCCACTGGTACCTGCTATGAGCGAACGATGCTTTACGCCCTCAACGTCCAAAGGGACTTACCCGTGCTCTGAGTTGCGCGAAGAGGGCTCCATGATGTTACGGGCCTTAGCCTGAATTTCGATAACGCTTCCTCTTCACCTGTGCCACGTACGAAGAATTAGCCACTCATGGTCTTTTGACAGGTTGACAATGGCGTTCGTACCCAGTCCGAAATCTTTTCCCGGCTTCGAGGGCGAGTGGTTCAGCTGCGGGCTTCCCGCTGTTGCCGACGTCAGCCGCAATTCAAGGACTATTCACACGGGGACATACCAATACTCGCACTCGGGGAGCGAGTGGGCGACGAGTGAGGAGTATAAATGGGATGGCCTTGAACCGGTGAAGTGTCAGCGTGCTGCATTCTGACACGATGTACTGACAGGATACCCACAGTTTGTGGCCCGCTCGTCGGCCTCTGCGGCCTTGCGCGGACTCGTGTCATTGGCTTCTGTGCGATGACACTGTGGGCCACCCCCCCTTAAATCTATGATCTAATCGTGATATGATTGAGATAAATGACGAAATAAAATCACCATTATTTCGAGTGGCTCATTGTAGCACTAATTCAAAAAGCTGCTTTGCCTGAGTTCAAGATGTGATCTGCCAGAGAATCCGACACATATCTGAGAGCATATGCTGATCTGTTTGTTACATAGAGCAGAATGTAATACTGTGATTGTATCTGAACACATTTCTTTGGAATGCCTGAATACATTATGGTAAATGTAGTGATATCATTGTAATATATCTATCATTCATCTCTACCTTTTGATTGTGCTCGGATGTAGTATATATGCTGTCATTTGTTAGAGA